CTTGTTAGGAATCAGAGATCAGAGGCGGTCAAGCGGAAGCGAACAAACACACACACACACACAAATAGCAGAAATAAGAACACGAGATTTAACGTGGTTCGGTCAGTAACCTACTCCACGGGTTGCAACTAGGGTTTATCTTTTATTAGGTGCTCACAGATTATAGTTACATGATTGGGTATTTATAAGATATAAACTAGGGTTAACAACTTGCTAAACAAGAAACAACTAATGGGCCCTTTAATTAATAACTAAAACCGGCCCCCCATGTTTCTTCCCTTTAGCCGACCAGGCTTAAAGCCCACAGCTCTAAAGCCTTCACCGAATAACCCAACACTCCTTTCACATGGCTGAACCACCGCGGCCTCGTTTCAGTCATCTAGTCCACCATAAGGGAATTGTAGACACATCCTCTATAAAATAGTCATTTGCCCAACAATAGAACACTCTATTTCTAGTGCCACTTAGACTCAGAGAAACATGACTACTAGAGAAGTTCAAAATTCATACACGTCAAAAAGCTTACACCTAAATGGGTGAGCTATGAAGTCTCAAGATGATTTTTGACTCCTCACCTTGACGCCTTACTACATATGCCCTAATGGCTTTTTAAAAACATGCATCCAAATCTCAAATAATTACAAAATCAAGGGATATCCTCGTCAATTCTATATACCGAGGGACCTGGGAGTCCTACAAAGAGTCTTAAAAGAACGAAAGAGCATTCTCCTTAAACTCATACAGAATCAACAAATAAAATTCATGTCATGTAATAAACTTCATGGTTTGACTTCACGGATTTTAAAAAAAGTGTTGAAAACTAAAAAGTGTGCAATTAAAATTTGTTTAGAGAGAATACTTATGAGCCTCATGTTTCATTTCTTAAAGGAAAAGATGAGAAGTTGATGTTTATTTTGGGTCAGACGAAAAAGAAAAGTGAGAAGGTTATTTTGGAACATGGGGAGCATACTGTGAAAAGTGGAATTGTGTGCTTGATGTTGATGTGAAAAAGAAAAGCTAGGAATGAATGTGAGCCACACAAACACTACTAAATATAATATATGAAACAGAAATACTGGGACGAACAAAAAACTTAAAAAGGGGACGAATAGTGGAAGAGAGGGAGTAAAATTTACAAATGGACGATATACAGATTTACTAAGTTCAATACAAAAAAGAATTACACTGTCCTTGAAAGCATAAGGGTTCTAATCTAACATACAATCAGTGGTTGAAACTTGAAACAATATCATTCCCCAACTAACTACAGATAATTAATGAAATTCTAATTGAAAGATGACACAAAATTTAAACTAGCAAAAACATACTTTATATAACTTAAAATTCAGGCAAGTCATCAACAGGTAAGAAAATATCAAAAGGCACCAGTAGAAGGCTTCAACGCGCGCGCGCGCACACACACAAGCATACAATCTCAAAACTCAGTTTAGCCATTCAACAACAAATAAAGTCCACTTCAGAAAGGCAATGCACTAGAACAGGATTTCCCGGTGAAAATGAGACTAATAGAGCTTTTTAAGTGCCTATAACCACATAAACATAGAAAAAACGTAAAAAAAACGGGATAAACCAGGGTAGCATCTTGGAAATAAGAAGAGAGTAGGGATTTTTTTTCTGGGGGTGGGGGGGGGGGCTATAGAAGAAGAAATTCTGGACAGAGGAAGTTGAAATATCAGGGCCTGAGTTTATTATGAATATTACATAACAAAAGGTTTGCACTGAAGAGATAGATACCTCCAGTTGATTGACTTAGTATCTAGATAAATGATGAAAGACAAGAGAGAGAGAGAGAGAGAGAGAGAGACATAGCAAACAGAGTAGAATAGCGGATAGAAAATGTTCAGTCGGAATCTCGAATTGTCCAAAGAGAAAAAGTGTACTTAATGCTAACTTGGTATCAACAAAATAATGATACTAACAAGGCAAGCTGTCACGACTAAAATGATTATCGAAAGAAAAGAGAATCTGGACTGAAATAATCAATAAAATGGTAATGGTAGCTAGACTTCTCCAACCTAAGGTTCACAAACCAAAAAACAAAGAAATAGCAGGTAGCAATTGGCCCAAAGATCGAAGCACAATTGCACATTGCCTCCCTTGAAATTCTAGAACTCCATTGCAATTGGTATACTTACCAGTTACCGCACCTGCAGCTGACCTAATCAAATGAAGAATCAATAACACATGGGATGTAAGAAAAGTTAATGCTGGTCTTGAAAAGAAACTTTCACATGTGCTACTCAATAGAGGGAAGAGAACGAGAAGACAATACTCATTTGATGAACAAAATATGTAGTTCTTTATGAAAAGACAAGCTAAAAGGCACTTATACTATACCCTAAGACTTAGCAGTATTCAAAAAAAAATGCCTAAGCCAGTAAGCCTATGTAATATAATTGTATAAATATAAACCACAAGATAATATGTGAAATCAACACCATATTACCTTGTCCTTTAGCACCACTGGATCACTAAAGCACAAAAGGAACCTGAACTTTGTTTACGTAAAAAGAATGCACCTACCATTGGTTGACTGCTGATCTAATTACTTTTATTTGGCTGTAGCTTCACAAAGAGAGAACCTTTTTTTTGCTATTCAGCTCAAACTCTGAGGGTAATGTACATCATTCTCTATCAATTGTAGGAACAAAACAAAATACCAATTCATGTCAATCCCATTGTAATCTTTTTTCTCAATTCTCAATACTGCTAATTGCAAAACAAAAGCTTGAAGATATTGAGATCTTGATGGAATCCTGGATATTCAGAATGGAAGATGCAAATTTTCAGTAAGGAAATTAGGTGATGAGTTCAGATAAACTTTAACCTTTCTTACATCAAGTCAGTGTGGGATGTGCAACATCTCAAAATCACATGCACTTTTACATACCAAATGATAATGGGTATTGGTAATTTTTCCCCAGCTTTGTCGTCTAAGAATTTTTAGCTATATAATCATCCAATACCACTCCGGGCAATTTATATTACATGGAAGTGCAACTTTAAAGATATAAATAGTGTGAATCATGCTCACTCCAGTTCCAGATTAAAGTGAATGAGAAAGCTTATCTAAAGACTTAAACATACTCCGTAATATATATGGAAAAGTTTATTTCGTAGACAGGGCAGGAAGGTTCCTAGACCAAAAAAAACTATTTTAATATATACTACGTATTTCTTGAATAACCATCTTATCAATTGCTGCATCTGAGGTGGTAGAACAGTGAGACCACTGGCAAAGGACTCAAAGCACAAATTGCCAAAAAGGTAGAATAATTTCTTATAGAAACATAGATCCATAGAGTGGATATGAATCACATAATAGCTTTCTACATTCTACTAGTATAAGCCATTCTATGAAAAATTATGCAAGAGCATCAGTATCGTACAATTTAGGCATAAAAAGTAAATTGAAATGCTGAATGACTACAATATAGATTCAACATAAGCTAATCAACTAGCCGTCTTTCATAACAAAAGCTTGTTTAAATTTTACAGAACTGCTCATACATATGTAATATGTTGTACATAAAAGGCTGCAGAAGGATAACCATAGCCACAAAATCCCATCAAAGCCTTGCAAATGTTGGCCTCATCACTGTATAGTATGGTCATTCTTCAAGAAAGTGATTTGCTAAAATGATTAAGCATTTTATCTTTAGGTGCTGGACTCCTGGGGAAACAACTTCAGATGCAACGTGAAGTCCCTAAGAACACTGGTGAGAGCACTTAGGGGGAAAATGCTGATATTGAACATGGGTATGTCCCAGATAGGAATATGAAAAGCTAAAATCTAGACCCTGCTTACAATTCTCTCTGCCACTTCTTAGCTCAAGGCCTGATGGTGACTATAAAATGCATCCCCTCCAAATCAATGAGTGAGTAGCAATACAATTATCGAGTTTGTGATGTCAATAGCATTGCCAAGTAAAAGTAAAGTAAATCTAGACCTTTTCTCTGATCAATGCATACGTCAGTTACAAACATTTGTAGCTCAGGGGCTCACAAGTCACACCATCCACTACATCTTACACTTCCAGAATAAATATGTGATAGAGAATTGTCACTTGGGACCAAAATTTTGATATAATACACCGATAAAGGCACTCCATGCTCAATAACCAAGAAGACCAAGAGGTTCCTTGTTCAAGCGTATCAAAAAGTCCTCCCCCTGGAACCCTTATGCATCCACTTCCATAATAAAGAGGATGACAAAGCAACTCTGAAATATATGACCGCATCTTGTCCGTGCATTTATTAATTAGAGGCTCTCCAAGAGAATGTTCAAATGTGCTACAATGAGAGAATAGAAGGGTCAACTATCTATATTCACTGAGTCTTATCCCTACCAAATGAGCTCTAAATGTGCAACAGATTCAAAAGACTTCCTGAAGCTCTGCCATATGGGGTCTATTTTTAGTTCCATAATAATACATCTGAAGTATATCAATATATCATAGCACTCCCTTTCCATGTGACACAGCTCAAATACTGTTCACATTCACGTGTTTACTACAGGAACCCGGTAAACAGAACATGTATATCTCTAGAGTTCCTTAGACTTCTTCCCTGTAGCAATTCATAATGGATCTTGATTGGGATTTAGTTCAAAATGACAATCCTTTGTCTGTTGCTTAGAGTAAAGAAAAACCTGCCTGCAATTCAAATATGTATTACCATTTATATATTCATGTTAACCAAAACAGAGTAGGCTGCTAGCTTCCCGCTGGGACTCTAATAGGTTTCTGGCTTGTTTTCATGATAAGAAAGCATAGAACATCTTAAAATTACCAATTCGCATACTGCATGATTATTTTTCTTGTGCACTGTTCAAATTTTCTTAAAAATTATTGTTGTTCAATTTTTCTTAAAAATCTACTCTGGATAAAATAGAAGAGAATAAGGAATTAAGGCTATGGTCAAAGATTTAAACACCAAACTAACTCTCAGTCGTCACAGCATAATAGCTTTGGGTGGTGACAAAATGTAATAATGTAAATATAGACTTAAACGTAAACATTGTGTACTGTGAAACTTATAAATGTTGGTGTGCGCACCAAAGAGAGTATGAAATAACTGATTAAGGAGGCATGAAAATAAAAGACAGCCTTAAATATTTAAGAAAATTATTCAAGAACTAGTCAACTGGTCGGGAGCCCACAAGTATTTTATTAGTTCGGGCGTGTTTAGTTTTTCATTGGAACCAAGACAATAAAAAAGTTACTCTAGATGTAAATTGTAAATATAGTCTAGAAATGTTCAAAGAAGCATCATCTACTTCAAACTTTATAAAAGTTGGTGTACGCACAAAAGCAAGAAGGAATAACTGATTGAGGAAGCATAACGGAAATAGCCCAGTATAATCCTAAGTTCGTTGGGGTCTAGTTGTCTAGGGGGGCATGTAGATGGTTTCCCCATTTTTTACGGAGAGGTTTCCTTTAGATCATTAATGCATTGTTGCATTTGCTACCCAAAACATCATAGAAAGTAAGAAGCAAATATACTTGTAAAGTATAATGTGCCACTTTGCTAATCCAATATTTGTTGTGGCATCAATGCATCAAGGGTCTAATGAATCATATTGGGTTTGCTGTTGTTGTGATTGACCAAACCTAAAAGTTAACAAAGCTAGTAACAATACAAAAATATATTTCATATTTAGTAGGTGTTTCTCTATACTTATAAGTCGGTCAAAACTGCTTATAAGCAGTTTTTAACTAATAAGTCAGCAGATGACATGTTACTGTGTGCTTATAAGCTGCTTATAAGCCAGAAAAAATAAGTAGGTCTTAGCTACTTAATGTTAAGCCAGTTTTTTCGTTTCTCCATTTTGACCAAATTATTTACAAAACTGCCTCTCACCATTTATGCATATTTCCAAGTGACTTATCTATCATTTAAGTCATTTTACTTCCATGAAAGAATATTTGACTTATAAGCAGCTTATAAGTTAATAAATTGCTTATCACCAATAAGTCAATAAGCACCAGCACAGAGAAACACACCCTTAGTCTCCACATATCGGTAGGGGGTGTTGAGAAGCGTGGCAGGGAGTTGGGAGGAAAGGGGATTTTTTTGGGTGGGGGGGGGGTTGCTAGGGGAAAATCTAAGCTCGAGTATGAGATATTACACATTGAAATCTTGCTTAGGGTTAACTCTAGAATTTAATTAAGAATCACTCCTAATTAAATAACTAGAGCCTAACACCCAGAACCACTCTTAAGATATAAAAATTAGAAATTTGTTTGAACAAGCATCATACATATTAGGAGAAAATGCTCGAAGAGTATTAACTTGATTTAAACGTCATTTCAACATATACATTACAATGGCAATATGGCCATAGAGGAACAGGGAGAAACATTACTTTTACTGATGAAGAAAAACTATGAAAAGTTGAAGAGTATTTATCATGCTTTTATTATTCCAAAAAAGTGCTTTTAATAGAGTAGCATTAGTCTTCAAGAATCCTTTCCATATTTCCCTAGGGGTAATTTCGGCCAGCATAGAATGATAGATGATGATGATATTTATTTGATTATTATGGCTCAAAAGTGGAGGTAAAATTAAAGAGGAAACAAGGTAAACAAAGTGACCATTATTGGTTGCTTTTCTTTTTTGATTTTTCGGCTAAACAACAGGTAAAGGGGTAAAACTTGGCTTATTTTATATGGTGTATTTTGTAAGAATTTAATAAATATAGTGGGCTATAAATATAAGGGTGTGTTCAGCAAGACATGTGAAGGTTTGTGGTGTAGAGCCAAGCTTGGGTATATCCATATCCCATGACGCGTGGGTCAAATTTTGTTGATACTTAATAGGCTACACATGTAAACCTTTTTATGATGGGTCAACATATAAGGTTCAAAGATGTCTTATTTTTACATTTTCCTTATATATTAACTTGCTTGTGTACGATGCAACTTTTATATGATATATAGTTGACTTTGTGTCCCTGGGTCATTTTAGAGGCTTAAAGAGTTGCTTTGAGAAAGTTCACGACACCGGATTTTTTGGAGACCAGATAGAGCAAGAGGCTGAAAAACACAAAGGGCAAGGAGCGCCAATGGATATATTTCAGGCACTAGATGCTAAGCTAGGAAGGTCACATGCAAGGTCATACCATGACTCTAATCATTCACTTCTCAACAGGTGATTAAGATGCAAATTCATGCAGAACCAACAACATTTTGCAGAAGAAACCAACATTACATTTAGAGTGTTTGAAAAATGGTATAAATGCACTCCTTAACTTAAAAATCAGAGGATCTTTCTTTGCCCAGACATCATTTTCCTCTCTTCAATGTCAATAGAGATCCCTAGATTAGACATTAAATTGTCAAATTCAAAACTCTTTTAAGTTGAAACTCTTAAACTTTGAAGATAAATCATTTACTCCACCCCAAAATAATCTTCCAATATGAAAATGGCACGGAGATCAAGAGAGGAGAAAATTATATAAATGTTCGAGCTTACTTTTTGGGTTTGGTAAGAGCGAAGTCAATGCTAGTAAATATGCACGTCGTTGAGGGTAAAAGTGTAGTCTTATTTAAAACATGTAAAAGGTGCATCCCAAAAGAGGAAATGGGAAGTTGATATTGGGACTAACAAAAAAGGAAAGTGTGAAGTTAATTTTGGGGCGAGGAAGTATTATTTAAGTTATTTTCTTTGATCTCACCCTCTCTTGACTATACCAAATTTGATTATTTCTACACATGCTAATCTTTCCATTGTATGGGTAGATAACTTAGGGCTAGGGACCAGGGTCTAGGATTTTTTGCTTTATGTAATTGAGAACTTGCAGCTTGAAAATTTGCCTTCTTGTTCTAAGTATTATGTGCACAAAATCTCTTGATTGTTATTGTATGTATTTTTTGGCTAATCTGTACACAACTTCCACAAGGCAATCTAATGATAGGTTGAGTACACATTTTCTACACTTGCACAGACTTCTACACATTAAAAGTTGAGAACATGGTGTAGATAAGTACTTTTGTGCTTTTGAGATTTTATTATCATTAGTATGTGATCTTGTACTAATAATATTTAAGAGTGCATGTGTGAGTCTCCTTACCGTGAGGGTGACACAAAAGATGCCATAGCACACCACTTTTTCACTAACACTATGTTTGGTTCAAGGGATTTGGTAGGAAAAAAAAGAAAGTGGTTTTCCCTCATTTTCCTCACCAAAATGGGAGGAATTTGGTTTTCCTTCCTCTTAGTACATTTTGCCTTTTCTTGTTCTTTTCCCTCCACTTTTCTTTTCTTTTCCTCTCTAACCAATCAAGAAAAATGGTTTCCTTCTCATTTTCTTTTCCTTTCCCTCTCATATTCCTTGAACGAATTGAGCAATAAAGGTTTTTAATATTGCTTCCAATCTGGTATCTTGTGTTCGATCGCATAAAGTGTAAAAACTTGGAATCATGAATCTCTGTTGAATCACATGTTTACTGATACTAGATTTCCTATTCGAAACAGACAAATCTAAGAATTTGTGTGAGCTAGTGTAAAGTTTAAGTTTGCAGATAGTGCTTAACCTATAGATTAGTCCCTTCTCACATGCCACGCCCAGAAGATGATATAGTTGGTGCTTGGTCCCTACTACACAACAGTTGCAACTTTATTAGCACCTAGTAACACAACACAAATTAGAAAATGGTCAATCTCAAACCTAGGATCTTTTACTCATCCTGATACCATAGCAAATTATATGTTGCACATAAATAATTTAACAATTTAATGCTGACAGATGTTACTTTATGGTTTTTCAAATGTAAATGTATCATTTTCTTAAGATTTATACATATCTATGAAGCAAGAAACTTTTCACCTGTATGACTATTGGAACTAATGGGTATATGGTTTGTCAGATTCTCGGGGCTCAAGTTTAGACATGCTTCCCATGCACCGCCTGCAGTAGAGCAACACTAAAGTTTGTGGAATTCCAATATACATACTTGAATCTGAAGTCAAAGTCAGGATATGCAGTTACCAAGTTACAAAAGTTGGCCAATGTGCGGTCACTTGAGAAGATGGAAAACTTTGTACAGAGAATCAAAACATATGGTTTGGTCAGATATACAAAATGGAAATTTTATGGCAAAATTGAAGATTCATAAATTCAAAAACCTTAATGAATTACAGTTGAACTCTTCAATCCTAGATTCTTAACGGAGAAGTATGCCTGCTCCAGTGTATGTTCCCTTGCTCGTGGCTGAGTGAGACAAAATGTCCATGACAAGTTCTCAATTAGGTTCGTTCAGCAATAATATTTTATGAATAACTGCGGAGTAAAAATACTTAAATAGGTGTAGCCTTACAAGAAGAGTACTGTCCTAAAATGACTAGGAAACCAAATAGGAAACTATAACAATTAAGGAAAAGGAAATAATGATGATGATGATGATGATGATGATGATGATGATGATGATGATGATGATGATAATAATAATAATAATAATAATAATAACAACAACAACAACAACAACATTCCATTTAAGGATACTAAATATAGATAATTAAACAATGAGACTTGATAGGTTTAGGCGTGTAGCCTTACAAGAAGAGTACTACCCTTGACTGTACTAGATACCCACAAAAGGATAGTGCAACTGCAGTTCTTTCTAGTCGAGATATACCTTTGAAGCTGAACTGCTGAAGGAAAATTTTTAAAGAACGGTGATTCAACAGGCAGTCATATGTGGTATAGAATGTTGTGCTGCTAAATGGTGTCATGTTATGAAAATGAAAGTGATTGAAATGTGTATATTAGGATGGATGTGTGAGCACACTAGAACAGATAAAATAAGAAACGAAATCATCGAAAAAACGTAGAGGTGGAAACTATTGAAGAAAAATTGACTAATTCAGTGAGAATCGTATAGAGTGGTTTGGACACATGCAAGATGTTAGAGTGTCATCCCACATCGGAAGTCCAAGAGTAAAGTAATTGGTATATAAGCTCTTGAGTTCAACTAACTAATCGATTGGATTCAATCTTTTAATGTGGTTCAACCCAAGTGTTTTATTGCCCAATCCAGTGATCCCTATCCCATCTTAAATTCTATCACAAGAAAACCTAGAGAGTAGAGATGCACCGGTTAGAAGACTTGAGGGGTTAACAAATGAATTATGCAAAAGAGGAAAGGGGACCCAAAAATACGTGAGAGGATATTATTAGGAGGGATTTGTCTTATCTGAATATGGACAAGAGTACGGTAATACATAGAAACAATGGTGAGAAAACATTTCTATGTATAATCAAACATGATTCATTTCTTGGTTCAGGTAGCCTACAAGTGACTTGGGATATAAGGCTTTGTTGTTGTTGTTAAGGTCCAATAATTGGAAAGGACTCCAAAATCAAATTGGGCATGGGTGTCATTAGTTAGACGTTTCACATCTCTAGATACTATTAATTCAACCCTTCAGATTCAATGTCTGCTCCCTAAACTTGCAATCTACCCTTAAACCAACTGTGTGAGTCGTCAATCAAAACTACGTCACCCGCAAATAGCATACATCCGTAACAAGTGCTCCTAGATATGCCGCATTTATCCATCCATCATTAAGGCAAATATAAATGGGCTAAGGTTTTATCTTTAGTCCAAACCCATGTCCCCATCAGGACGAGAAAGTCCTAAAATCCCCTTCCATTGCCATAACTCAAGTCTTAATGCCCTTATACATGTCCCTAATTGCTGTTATGTAAGCCACAAGCACACCTCTCATATTCAAACATCTCCAAATGACACCCTTGGGACTTCATCATGCGCGTTTTCAAGGTCAATGAACATCATGTGTGTAAGTCTCGCTTAGTATCCCTATATTAATTTTTTTAACCTCATGACAAGATGAACAACTTTTATTGTTGGCTGACTCAAGAAATATTTGAATTGGTTCATTGACTTACACAGATCCCTTGTCATCCCAGATCTTCATTGTGTGACTTAACAATTCGAAACACTATATTTGTGCTTTTGAACATCACCCTTATTCTTATACATTGGGAGTCGGGACCATTGTATGACACTTCCACTCCTCTGGCATTGTAGTCGTTTTGAACATGACAATATGACATTAAACAAGTAGCTGGTCACTCTATTTTTGTCTCTCCTAAGTCCCTCCAACAGTGAGCTGGATTTCATCTACACAAATGCTTTTCCCCTCTTCAAGTTACAAATAGCCCCCTAACCTCTGTAGTCTTTAAGTGCCTAAAATAATCAACCCCCTCTAACTTTCAAACACTGCCCAACTCCCCCTAGCACAATATCCCCTCCTTTATTCAAGTGTTCATGGAAATATGTCTGCCATCTTCGTCTAATACAAGCATCTGCAACCACAGTACACCATTTTTATTTTTTTACCTTAATGCACTTCACTTGGTCCAGATCACACATTTTTCTCTCTTGCCTCAGCAAGCCTATACAACTTTCTGTCTTCCCTGTTGCAATCAATCTCTGCATACAAGTGCTCAAAAGAATCTTTTTGGCCGCAAAGACTACTAGTTGTGCTTGACTTCTTAATACCTCTCATTTTTTCTCCCTTCTCCACCCAGTATATGCTATCCACTCGCGCAAAATACACGACATTATTAGCTTCCACTTTCCCTTGCTCCTTTTTGTTCTACCACAAGACCTCTAGGCGTCTCCAGGCCTACCCCAACATACCATTTGCACTACTCTTCCAAGCCCTCATATCCACCAACTTCAGACTCGTTTCTTGAACTTTCGCCACATTCAAGACTCCCCATGCCATCATGCCAAAATTCACTCACTACCAACGTAAAAGATAAACTGGTGGGCAAGTACAACAACAAAGCCTCGATCCCAATTCAATGGCAGGTCAGTGTTTGAACAAATCATATGTGAACTCACATTCTTCTATTTCCAAATTACGGAGTATATTATAAGTGGGTATGATTAATTAATCATTTCCGAAGCACAAGCACATATGTAAACAGTCTAGCAGGTCAATCTTCCAAATTCGTATATATATTCAGTTTTAAATTTCAACCTCGAGTAAGTTCATTGTTCACATTCATATCACTCCTGCCATAATTCATATGGAGAAGAGATTTAATGCCTTGTTTGGTTAAGTTTTGTGGGTATCAGTATTTGGATGAGAAAAAGTCCATTCAAAACACAAGTCCGCCTCTGTAGCCTTCCCCTGTTTTTCTGGCGTTTTCAACTCATACCATATTATGATTTATGAACCAAACACAGTGAGACCGGGCGCTATGAAAAAGCTAACCATGTAAGGAATATTCTAATTTCCAGAATGATTCATTCTTACAGAATACTAAAACTAAAACACAGGTGATGGCGATGACGTTGATAACAACAAAAGAACTGCAACAAAGGCATCCACAATGAACAAATTAACAATAATAGCGTTAGAAACAATCGACGCAGAAAAATTAACAAACGGGAAACGGAATGATGGGAGAGTTACATATATCACAATGATCGGAGATGTGATCGGAGACGAAATTACCGAGATAGAGCGATGAAGGATCGACTCGGGCGGTTTGGATCAGCAAGTGTGAGAAATGAAACCCCTATATTGCGTGCGGACGTGGAGGTGGAATTATTATTTGGGATAGGCCAGGGACACCCGCTTTTCAAGTCAATTTGAGGTCAATGTACGTATGTGCTGCAAAATTTATCTCTTTGTCATTTTGTCAGGTTGGTTTTAACTTATTTTATGATTTTATTGGAAATAGGTTTGAAGTCTTGGAACTTTAAATTGAGGCTTCAAATTTTTATTTTTTATATTTTTAACACACATTTTCTAAAACTAAATCGAATAAAACTTTATTTTAATTAAATTTAAATGACAATAATTCATTAAATTAAAAAAATTACGTTCAATAAAAAAGAACGTTTAATAAAAAATACATTAATAAAAAAGCTAAGACAAATTATATTTGATCTTGATCTCTTTTTGTCTTCTCTCAAAAGTATACGTTTGAAACCTAATAACGTACCAAGGTCGGTTTCCATTATTTCTATCTCTTCCTTCAATTACCTTTGTTTCTCCCTCTCTTATTCCCTAATATTGAACGCACCCAGTTGTTCAACCATTGCCCGGCTGATTTTGTCGTGAGAGGAAACACAACCAGACCCTCAGAACCTGTGGCAATGGATTTTGTCTTCTTCCTTCCAATCAGCCGTGGAACGGGGTCCTCGTCGTCGGAGTCGTCTAGGTTGAAAGGGGATCTTTGTTCTGAAGAGCTAATAGTCTCATTCGCCTCAACCTCGGTGAAGGATCTTTTCTTTGACGATCCGGCCTCAGTGTTGTTGAGTTGTTGTCATTTCAGTGAATGACTTTACATTCTCAAAAAATATGGGGACCTTGCCTTGGTACCCGTCGTCTTGATACCGGCAGTGGCTTACCGTAGAACAATCGCATCGTGTGCGTCCCGATCTTTCGGGACCAAGAGCATTCCTCGTAAACTCTGATAAACTTTCACACTTTAAAGTTGATGTGGCCTCATTTGTAAGTGAGTTGGTCTCGGGTTTGGTAGGAGACGTTCTTGTTCATTGCCGCAAATAACTTCTCCTCGATACAATCCCACATAGCATCCTTCGTTTGCACGAAATCTTTAAGAACTATATAATTGGAGGAAAAAAATATTTTAATACAAAAATATAAAAAATAACATATATACAATATATACTAAAAAACAAATAAAATTTACCAACAATAGGATGCTCGGAGGCGTCAACCCAAGTGGAGGCCAACAACGATTCTTTCTCCAGGGTCCACTTTTGAATGGACTATTCCGCCTCGGTCATCGGCTTGTTGCCCTTTGGTTTGTGACTCTTTTGGTGTGAACTTTTTTTTGTGCACTTGGTCTCGGTTGAGTCTCTAGAAAGAACTCCGGGTCATGGAGATTCGCCGAGGTTTGCGTATCATACATCGATGAATTATCGGCATATGATTTGAAAATCCATATCGCTTCCTCGTTTGGCTAAGACTGAACGAAGAAACGTTAAAACCGAAGGGATTCATATGTTAAAATTAAAAACAAATACTTGAATAATTTTTTTCAAGAAAGAAGAGAGAGATATTTTTATTTTTGGTGGGTTTTGCTTTTTAAAATATAGGTTGAATTTATAGAGGGAGGAGTTGAATTTTTTTAGCCCAACGGCATTATAGCCATTAGAGAGGGAGGGTTCAACAGTTATTTTTGCGCTCCAATGCGCGTCATTGGCGTCAAACCTTTAGCGCCGTGTTATCAAGAGAGGGAACGGTGTTTAATGCCTCCTGGCGTCAAAATAAGAAATAATGCAGCGGGTGTTAAGGGTATCACCACTGCCCTTAGGCCATGCAGGATGCTCGGTCACATCACCTTTTACTTTCCTTTCTCTTTCTCTTCCTTTTTAAGGGTTTGCCTCCCTTTCACTTTCCCTTTTCCTTCCAATTTTTAATATCATTTTTTACTCTGTAATACCTAATTTAATTTAGTTTTTTTATACTTAAACTTTAAATTAAAATTAAACTTAAAAGTACATTAAAATTTATAAATTAAAAAATTTAAGACAAATTTTTTTAATTTGGTATATGATGAAAAAATTTTGGAAAAACAACATAGACATACTTCATATTTAAAAAATAAAAAAATACATACAAAGTTAATCATTGCATCAACTACAATTGGTGGGGCAAAATTTTACAAATGGTCTACCAAATCGACATGTAAGTGGAGGTGCGTATGCTGGTTGTGAAATGCAAATAGGTTCGACGTTCTCAAGAACATCACTCGGGTCGTATTCTCATACCGCATGTCTTTCATCTTCGAGGATCATGTTATGTAATACTCCCTCCGTCCTAAAATGTTCTTCCCTTCTCTTTATGAGGTTTGACCGACTTTATTTTTAATTAAATTTATTTGATTTTAGGTGTAAAATTAAAAAATGAAATTTATATATTTAAAAATTATATCAAAAGTTCAACAAAACAATATGTGGCTATTATTTTATCAAATAACTAACAAAAATAGGTAAAGAAAGTGACCATGTGAATAGTAATTGGAAAGAACATTTCAAAACGGAGGTAGTATAATACAAGCATACATAACATATCTTAATTTTTTGGTGACCACGCACGAGCTGGATTTTAGATCATGTGTCAGTTTAACATCCCAATAAATATACACCTTGGTTCCCATGACACTGGGAACCAATGTCATGGGATGACCCGAGAGCGCTCCGGTGCCCCATTTATAAAATTGACGGTTCCTACCCCCCCTAATCCCTCGGTAAACCCCCCACCCTGCCCCGACCCGAACACACCCCCACCCCCTTCATATACCACTTTTTTGTTTTTTAATGGAGCATTAACAACAGAGTACCTATTAAGCTATCAATTTACTCATTGCATGCTCGAACCAAAATTTTCTATAAAAGATATTCTGATTTTTTTTAAGTTGAACCACACAAATACATTGGGATAGAGGGAATATATGTACATCAAGTGAAACAAACCTACATGAGGTTCAAATGGAATATGGTTCATGTGGTCATTGTGGTAAGAAACGTATATATGAGATATATATACATAAATAGCCCATGTGGTCATTTATAAGCGAGTAAATAGTCTCCGAACTTTTGAAATTTGCAAAATAGTCCTTGTGGTAAAAAAAATAATTGCATAATTATTAGCCCTTCAAGGAAAACGTGAAGCACGCAAGACGCGTGTCTATTATGCGAAGATATGAATGAAACATGTGATATGTATGCTTGAAGAGTAGTATAATGTCCTTTATCTTTTGGTTCATAGTTCTCACAACTTCTTCATATCTTCCATAGTGATCGTCTTATGTTAAAGAGCATCTCACATTGGAAAAGTGTGAGTAAAATAATCGGTATATAAGCTCTTGAGTTGAACTAAATAATCGATTGGGTTCAATCTTTTAAAGTGGTTCAGCTCAAGTGTCTTATTGCCCAATCCAGCTGTCCATACCCCATCCTAAATTCTATCATGGTATCGGAGTCAGTTTTAGCCCACCTCGTTTGTCAAGGTGTCCGTCTAGACGTTCATTCCTAGCGGCCCGTTTGTCTTTAGCCAGTGTTCTGTATGGAGTATGTATCCAACGGCCTGTGTCCTGTTTAACACGATTGCTTGTCTGGAACCATTGGTCAAGTGGTTAGATTCAAAAAGGCCTTTTAATAGCCCACTTTTAACCCCGGATTTTTGTAAATGGCTGTGAAAAGTTAAAAATTGAGTGTTGTACTGTACAATTTAAGGGGCGCTACACTTTCACTAGTTTTTGCAGCGAATATTTGAGTACTCGCTGTATAAACTCTCTAAAGCTGCCCCTAAATTCATTTCCCGTCTCCAAGTCTCGCCCTAGCCTCTTTCTCAACCCAACACTGTCCGCTAGTCTCTTCTCCAGCCGCCGCCAACGAACACTGATATGCCGATGACGATATCATGTCTGCGCCTCCCCTTCCTTTTGGTAGTCATGCCTTCTAGTTCGTTCGCTTCAATTCGACCTTCGATTAAGGTATATGTTTCATTTCCATGTGCAAGAGTCTTTCTTCAATTCTTTCCATTTCGAATCTAAACATAGAAAAACAAAAATGTTTGCTATGGTTTTTTAGATTCAGAACCCCATGATTTCAATTTCAAGCACTGCATATACCAATTGGGCTCATTCCAAAATTGACGAAGACTCACGATATTTCACAATTGGGTATTTTATTTTGTTTCTCTATGCCTTCAATTTTTTTGACTTCCACTTTTAAAAAATACTTTTATTACTTTTAAATTTTAAATAAATGAAAGAATGAGCCACTTTTACTTTGGATGTTCCTTTTTTTTTACTTCGTAGGTTAATATGGGCATTTGGACTAAACATTCAATAAGTGTTAAGATGAAATTGAAATGTTTGAGGTGATTTGGGACTCTTGAAGATAGTATAACCGATTAATAGGCCAAAGACTTAATTTCTCAACCTTTATTGGTTTGTTTTCTTTTCTTGATAAGTTTCCTATATTCAATTTTGGAATTTTAGGAGGGGACTAAAACTACCTTGATTAACAAACTGCAAAGTTCCTTCTCGGGTTTTACAATTTCAATCCTCTATCCCAGATATGGTATTGCAGTTGAAGCCATGAGGTTTAAGGTATAAATAGTGATAATTATTTTGTCAACTCAATTCTCTCTTTTTTTAGCTGGATAAGATGATAATTAAGTAGAAAAAGTAGTTATGAGGTTATCTTTTTGTGGATCTGAAATAACTGTAATGAAGAGCAAAGAGTCAAATACAATATCATCCTTTATCCTTTATGTGCTGCACATGTAGAATTTCCTTTAATTTATTAAGAAAACTTTTTATGGGTAAACTACTACATTTATTATTTAAGTTAGTTTAGCAAGTGCAACATGTTAAACTACTTCAGTTCAAAGGAAAAAAACTCAAAAAACAGTCCCTTATTTTATTATACTGCTTTTGATTCACCGTGCATGAATGTGTGATTTTTCAACTTTAAATTTGATTCAAAGTTATATCTGCATATGCATGTATGTGGTTTTTTCTATTTAGCAATTTGATCATGTCTTAGGGACTCTGGGAGGGTGATATTTAAAACTATTATATATACATAGTATATACTCAAATAGATTTATTCTGTTCTTACTCTCTAAATTTTGATATCATCATTGTATTGCCTCACTAATTTGGTTATTTAAAAAAACTATTTTTGATTGCAGATGGATATATGAACAAAAAAGTCTAACTAATATTTCCCCTAAATCTCCAGTGTAAGTGTTTTGCACTTCTAGACTGATCTTTCAAGTTCTCTTTATGTACAATGACATTCACTTCTATAGAGCTGCTTTATTACCTATTTAGTAAATGTTGCAGGTCAATGATCAATCTACAATTGCAACTCCAAGGGAAGTTGGCTAATGCTTATTTGCTAGCTGTTTCGCTGCAACATCTATTGCTCTTGGAACGTGATAAGATACTAGAGCCAGAAAATTTAGTTTATAGCACTCTTGAAACATGCTGATTTATTGGTGTTTCTTTTTCGTTTTGGTTACAGATGTTGCCTGTCTTTTGTACGAGCATATTGATGTTGTTCATTCCTTCTTTTTGCTCTTGTAGCAATGTAGCCTAATTGGCCTTCGATTTCAAAAAAAAAAAAGAAAAGAGAACAAAGATATGAAGCTATAAACTTTTTGGATGTTTTCTGTGCTATGTTTTTTAAGGTTTTATTTACAGAACAGTGTGTGCTAGTACTATTGAAATGGATATTTTAAAATAATATTTAAAAAAAGATGACTTTACATGGCACATAAACGTGTGTTGTGTAAACTATTACTTTTACACAGTGGATATTTATCCGTTGTGTAAACCATTATACAGCGGATAATTATCCGGTGTGTAAACATGATACATATTGCACTGGTCATATACACAGCGGTTGATTTGCGCTGTGAAATGTCAAATTTATCCGCTATGTATTATCTATTTTGTAGTAAAGTTTCTTCTCTTTAGTTGAGTTCTTTCACCTGCACAAGAGAATTGAAGTGTTTGCATAGACATTAATATTAGCCTCACAAAAAAAGTTGCATGTTGGCAATTTAAGTCCTAAAGGCAATGGAAAATAAACAATTCAAACTTTGGCATGATGTAAAAGTTACATCCAATAACCACATACATTCAAACAGTACATTGTGTGCTGCCCATTAGTTTAAGAAAAGAAAAATGTGGGGAAGAAAGAATGAGAAAAAGGAAAAGATGTGTGAGAGACAAAAAGTATGATGGAAAAAGTGTTTCCGGCAGATCATTAGTTGTGCCTTTTGAGGTACGAGAGTATGAGAACGCTAACGCTAAAAGTTACTGTCAGACATTCTTTCCAAAATGCTAACGCTAACGTTAATCTCTACGCTAATGCCAAACGGTGCCAAAATTCAAAAAATGAAATTCATTATACATTTTTTTAAAGAAATAAACTAGATTTTATAAGATACGAAGTATTTTAAAAAATTTAACGAGTTGAATTTTTAAACAAACCGAATATCTTGTGTATGATAATCGAATCAAATACAAATATCTAAAAATATTTGAACTGAATCTGAACCCGAATTGGAATACCATTTAAAACTGGCAAATACGAATGCTCTCCTCGTCCCAAAAACAATTTCTTGTTGCGGGTTATGATGGTTAGAAGTTTTTTGACTCACTTTATAATATAATTGACATAAAATTTAAAAATAAAATTTATATAGTTAAAAACCACATCAAAAAAGTTTACAAAACATGAGGGGACAATACTACGGAGTATTTTTTATCACATAAGTAATAAAAATAAGAAAACAAAGTGGTCACAGACTCACAATTTAACTCTGTAAATAGTAAGTATGAATCTTTTTTGAGAAAGAGGGAGTTAATATTAATAAATATTTGATCTGATTCGATTCGATTCGTTTACAATCATATTCCATTAGTTAGACAATTAGCCAATAAAAGGAAAGAAATCCCAGTAATTTTTTTTATTCGAACGTGCATGTTTAGGGTTCGGGTTGAAAGATGTTTTTCTAACTCGAACCCTGAAATAACCCGAACTTCGAATAACCCGACACAAACTCGACCCGCCCGACATGATTTAGAGGTCTATATAAAACAAAACAGAGAAGAAGTACAAGCTTACCATTGATGAGGGCACAATATAATTCGTGGGTGGGGGCTGGCTGCTTTACATCAATAATAATAATAACAATGTGAAGCCTCTTTCCAAATCGTTACAATAATAGTGAAAAGTGCCAAACTTGTAGTGGCCCATTGAATCATATCTCAACACTTTCTCACATAAAGTTTCTCCTATTGTTTTTTTAACCATTCCCTCTTTTCAACCTTTATACACGCCTCCACCTATATGCCTAAAAAGGATTTCCTATTTATTTTTGAACCATAAATATTAGGATACGTCAAAAGTGTATTCCATTTATTTATCATCAAACTCAACAGTACACATTTCTTATTCACTTCTCTTTCTTTTTAGCCACGTCAAGAAAATTTGTGTTAGAAAGACTACAAATGAGGTATATTTTTGGTATACCCCTGACATTTTTGTCTAATCTTTCCTCTCAAATACAAGTATGCCACATTCTTCCCCACTCAAGGATGTGTTTGGTTGGAGAAGAGGGGACAAAAACTTTGTGTGGCTCAAAAGTTTTTCTTTAGAGGGCAATGATTTAATTTCGGTATTTTTTTAATTCAGTTTAGTTCAATTTCATTCAGTTCTATCAAATGACCCAAAAGTATGGGATCCAAAAATTTCCATCTCTTATACTCTCATCAACATGCATAGAGGGTAGGCAAGAAGTGCAAAGAGGAAAAAAAGTGTTTTGAACCAAACAAGAAAATGTATCATTTTCCCTCCTATATTCTCTCTTACAATCAAACACACCCTAGAAGGAACATTAAAAAAATTAGGAAAATTACAATATCTTTTTAAAAAGAATTCTCCGTATATGTCTATAGGGATAGAACTCCACTAAGGGAACCCCGCATTTGATACCACTTTTAACACATAAAGACAATTATTTTCTGTGTGTGCTCGTAAAACACTATAGTGTCATATGTCGGGTTCCCTCGCTTTTTTCCATTGGCATAACATGTTTACCCAACTAGTAGACCAGGTTTTGTTAAATTAGAAAACCATGAAATTCAAAGTTTACATCTTTGCCCTCCATGCTCCAATTAAGTAAGGATATTGACAATCACAACCTTAGGGAGAAAAAGAAATTTCACCAAACAATCATTCAACACTAAAGTGATGCATCACCACATTTAGGATAGAGAACCCAAATTAAAAGAAGTCCAAGTCACTATGGTGTCATGATGAGACCCCTCTCCAATTTGCCCAACATCTATACTTTCATGATTAGGTTTAGTTTTTCCCAACGATAACGATAGACTCATTCCGGATCCTGCTTTTTTTTACTGTCTCAAAACAATTTTTACTTTCAATTTCCAGCTTTGATAAGAGAAATTGCATATATCCTACTTCAACCGGTTAGGTTTTGGCCTGAACCTCTCAACGAGAACCGTGGTCAAACCACATCGACATCAAGCTTTCATGAGATTCTTATCCGAATAAATAATCTTTGACCGAACGTAGGATTCAAAATACTTGTGTTTTTTAAACATACTAAAAAAATTTAACTACCCACATTTTATTTTTTGAACTTTTTTTCTACAATGGGACAGAGAGAGTATTACTTGAGACTTTGATGATTAGTATTTGAAAATAATTAATTACAAAACACTTTTCTATGGCCCTTCCTTCAACTTCAAGGAGTCAATATTACACATTTCTAGATATGGGTCTGCTTCCCGTATCACAAGAAAGGACACCTACAAACAGTACAACCCTTAAAGTTCAAATAATCAAAGAGGGCATATAATTACTAAAATACCCTTTCATTGACTAAGGACACAACTGTCGGTAGAACATCGCCCATTTGGCCCTGCACAACCTGAACGCACGCACTATTGCAACAGCCCCTAGGCTCTTTTCATCATCTTTAGGACACAAAATGACAAGCTAAGAACCCACACTGCTGGAACAAACAACATGAGTGGTGAAATGAAAACCCCTTCAAGTGATGAAGAAAAAGAATTGAACTTGGGTATCCCATTTTTTACCTCAAGTTTGTATCCATTGGTTGAATTGGTTCGGGTAACTTGTACGTACCCACCTATACAATTTGTATTCTCATTAAGACTTTCCAAAAATTGACCTGATCGATATCCAACCCCGACCCATACTGCGCCCTGAACAAGACTTTTGATAACTAAACCCGCAAGATGTTCGAACCCAAAAATAATCTTCTAGTGAAATTTGACTGAATCCAAATTCGAGTTGACTGACCTGGTGACGTAAGCCTTTCCAAAATTATTGTACTTTAGTACTCCCTCTGTTCTAAAATTATCGTACTGCTTTGAATTTTGTGATTTTATTGTAACAAATTATGAAAAAAATTATATTTGGTTATAATGTAAATTTAGTACTGAATATAAAGTATATTTCAATATTTTTATGTCAAAAAAATTCAAGTGTTGGTTTAAATATAAATATTATAAAAATAAACGCTCATAACCAGTTGGGTGGGCTCAAATCCAATAATATCGGGTGACGGAGATGTATTTTCCAATCTGATCCCAAACTTATCGACTCAAACCAAAAATAACCCGAACCCGATCGGCCTGTTTTCCAGCTGTAATACTCATAATCTATCTATCTTAGAGCTCTTAGAGCCCGTTCTTTAGAACTTGATAATTTGAAGTTAAAATATCACCCCCAAGCTGGGTCATGTTAGAGTTTTCTATTGTTATTAGTTATGAGATCATATATCAATGAAACCAGTTTTTTTCATTCAACAAATTAGCAATGAGAAGGAAGAAATGAAGCATATGTAATTACCAAATAATCCTTCCCATGGGTTCAGAAGAGAGGCAGGCATTGCATGTTTAAATCAGTGGAGATGATGGGTGTTGATTGGGCTGCTTGAATGCCACAGTGGGAGCAATCCTGAGACTCCTCCTCTGGTGTTCGAGAACCAATTCGCCCGCGAACCAGTCCAGCTTCTCCAAATTGCTCTGCTCCCCGATCCTCTTCCCACCGAACAGCACCGACTCCACACTCTTCTGTTTCAGCATCTCGTCCGCTATCCCCACCAGCCTCTTCACGTTGTTTGGACTCGGGTCCGTGTCCACGTTCACCCCACAACTACCTGATGCGCTGTGTCCATTTGCCTGTCATTATTGGACACCGTCTGTTAGAATGTAAAAACATTTTAAGGGGATGGGGGGTGTGTTCAGGTCCCACTGTGGCATTCAAGCAATTGAAAGGGGTGGGGGTGNGGGGTGTTTGGGGGTAGGAACCGTCAATTTTACGAACGGGGCACCAGAGTGCCCCTGGGTCATCCCATGACATTGCCAGGCAATGTCATGGGAACTTTGCCCTTACTAGTATGTCCTTGTTGAGACACTGCTACATTTTACAATGTAAGGGTATGTTGGTCATTTTACTCTATTTCCTAAACTATGACAGTACTTCTCTAGGATAAGTGTGCAAAGGGTCTATGTAGTTGTTAGTGGCTTGGTGCAAGTACATTTTTGCAATATGTGGGAGAGGAAAAAAAACCCCACAACCATATATATGGCAACACAATACCTTTTGTTAGGGACACTATAGTTTTGAGTTAAATGACAAAACCCATATAGTAGAATGGATATAAAGTAGCCCCATGTTTTGTAAAAATGGCTCATTTCCAGCTCAGCTCATATCACAAAACTACAACCTTTCCCTATTCTGCTACCCAATCTTCTTCACACTTTATAAAAAAGTTGATCCCCCCCTTTCCTTCCCAAGATGGAAATGTCAAACCTGCCCTCACCATTTGCCCACAGTTTTTATTTCTTTTTTGTACGGAGTATATATTTGTACAGAATACCCCTACAATGGTACTCCTTCTGTCCCTAACAATGTTCTACAATCTTTTTTTATTTGTCCCAAAATAAAGTTCCACTTTCAATATTAGACATACTTCTTATAACTTACAACATTTCGCTCTCTTCTTAACCATTTACTTTTCTTAATCTCCGTCCGGTCAATTATAGAACTTTAACACAGAAAAGGTGGAGTGTGTTTTATTGAGTACATTTTCCCTGAGGCATAGTTTAGGTGGTTGAAAGGTGAGTGCCAAATAGGTTAAATTTGGATTCTACTCCTAACAGCGACAATAAAATTGACAAGTATGAGGTTCTTGTACGTGTCAAGAATAGACCTTATTTCCTACCGATCAGATTAGCATTATAACTCAATTTATTTCATCTCAGCTTGATATTCGAGATGGTAGTGGGAGTACCCTATATATCTTCATTCCAATCATTAATATCCATATTTGACTTTTAAAACTGAATCAATTAAGAATCATATCAATTTATTAAAGAAAGAATGACGTGCCTGAACACGGACGTAGTTGGAGGTGCGCCACAGGCCAAAGGACATGGCGACGACGTGGTCCACGAGGTCGGCCGAGCCGTCGCCGGAGATTCGGGCCATGGGTATAGCCCATTGCTTGGCCTTCCACCCTTTGACTTTTTCATAGTCAAAGCTCCCTTCCAAAAGCTGACCTGTGCCGAGGGAAAGTACCAAAATGTCCTCCACCCCTCTCACGAAAGGGAACTCCTGCTTGTTGTGGAGGACGTGGGTGATGGCCGCCGCCGCCGGGTTGCTCATCGCCAGCCCTCCGTCCACCGCCAAGCACCGGGTCGACCCGTCTACGGATTTCATGCAAACCGGCTCGAACACCCCTGGGACCGCCGATGTGGCCCGGCACACCTCCCATAGCCGGAAGTCGTAGCTGTCTGTCTCCAGCGCGTCGGCGCGTGAGAATATGAACGCCGCCGTGCTAGATAGGTCGTAACAGGGGATCAGAACGGGCTTCATCGTGTCCTTCAGGGTCAAGCTCCGACCGGTCCTCTCGTCGGAAAAAGCCTCTTTCATCGCCTTCTCCAGCCTCCCGGTAGCGGAAACGGTCCCTTCGCCGCCGCCTCGGAGCACTCGCCTGACCAAACCGCCGGTGCCGGAGCTCGACCCCTTCTTGGGGTACAGTTTCTTCCCCTTCTCCGCCAAAAACCTCCACGTGTCGTCGGCGGAGAAAATCGGCCGGCTCCCGTCCTTGGTCGCGAAGAGCATAGCAGCAAAAATTCCCCCGACGCCGGAGCCGGCAGCCACGTCGAAATAATCTGCAATTCGGGCATCTGGGTTGCCGGATTTCACCTTCAGCGCCTGCTCCAAATACGCCAGCGCCTTGCCGGAGATGATTCCCCTCATTCCGCCGCCGTCAATCGCCAAGATACAAATTTTCCCCCTCTGGTTCTTGATTGCCTGCAAATCCTCGTTCCCGTCGACCTCCGGAGACCTGGAAACAACCTCGTTCTTCTCCTCCGGAATCCAATGCTTCTGATCATCATACCCAAACAAGAACTTGCTCTCGAGGATTGAAAAGATCTCGTAACTCAGCTTATCCGTATCTATGCTCGGTTCTTCAAGATTCCGATGACAACCCGCCATTTCCCCGAACAAAGAAATTAAAAATGGAAAGGATAAAAAAAAAGAAGAAAAGATTCCCCCTTTTTAGCTAAAATCAAAAACCCATTTCTCTAATGCCAAGAACAGTACATAATATATACCAAAGGAGCACGAACGAGAAAAAAGAAATCAAAAGAAAGGGAAGAAGACGATGAAGATGACAAAAGGGTGGGAACAACAAAAGGCAGAGTAGCTGCTGCAGGGCATGTCTGATTCGAAGACGCCAATTGAATCAATTATGCAAAATTTTCGTAATATATGTTCATGGGTCTCTCTCTCTCCTCTTCTCTTCTCTTCTCTCTCATGTCGCAATCTGCAGGTGTTTGTGTACGGCACGCCCAAACCCCACAGGCCTTGTAGGGAGATGGATTTTTCCAACATTTCCAGTTTGGCCCCTGTTCTTTTTGGATTATGTATTGAGATTTTCAGATCCTCTTTTAAATACCCTTGAGATTGAGGACCATGCCTTGAAAAAATGGGTGTCAACTATCAACTCCGAGTAGTTCAGACCTAAAAATTGAATTATGGTTTAAAATTTTGGAATGAATTAGGTTTTAAAAGGTGAAGTATGTTTACAATGAATTAGCTAGTCATAGTTATATTTGCTAAAAGACTAAATATATATAGCCTCAAATAATATTCACATAGTGATTTGTAATTGATGGGATATTAGGCGTTTGATGTACATGTGGGCCTTTTAATGGGCCGAGCCCACAAGGAGCGGAGAGGAAGTCCTTAGCCCAACTACTACGTAGATGGAAAGAGCTTCTTTCTCAGGCTAACTATGCCTAATTGCTGATTGAATAGAAAGCACAAGGTTAAGCGTCAATGGAAGAGGGAGACCGACTGGACGAACCTTCCATGATTATCACTTACCTTGTTGTACTCACCAGAAACCCCAATGTCGAGGGGAAAGGTAGTGGTGCTATCGGCGGCCGCCGACCGCCAATCACTTGTGATGAAACCTAGACGAGATTGGGATCACCATCGAGCATTTAGTTTAGCATTGTCGTTGCTACCCTCTCCACCCTGAGGGGGGAGGAGCACACGACACCACTGGTCAAGAAGGTCTTAAGACCAATGATGCAAGGGCAGACAGCGGGCAAGGGGAAAAAGACCATCGTTCTCAGAAGAAGATGGCAGGTAAGGCCAACGAGAAGGTACTCATGGTAGATGTGCTAAAACCCATGGAGAAGGAAGACGAGTCATCCGCATACAAATGCGTCTCAGCCTTCAAAAGCTTGGAGAACCTGAAACCCAAAAAGTAGCGGGTGTCGGCATTTGACCGCTTGAATGATGGTTATTCGCCGTGGCACAAAGATCTGAGGACCCACATCCCAAGACAACGTGTTGAATCCTCGACCACCTCAAAACCTCCTTCCCCTTTCCAGGAGATGAGCAGCTTCTTCTAGTCCAAGGGTAAGGATGTGGGAGAGTTGTGGAAAACTGTAGGTGAGTTGAAGAAAAGGGTGGATGCATAAAAATTCCATGTTGTCACACCATATTAGATTATGTGACCCTGTTTTCACGACGTATTATGTTTTGCTTGCTCCCAAAACACTTCAGGGCACCCCTGGTTAACGCCTATAATGGAACGATTGATCCCTAAGACAGTTTAACTCAATTCCGGGCTAATGTAGTCATGTTGGTGTACCCAAAAGAGATTAATTGTTATTTCTTTTTAGCAACCCTGGAGGGGCACACGTATGAATGGTTCTACAAGCTTTCAGAAGGAACCATTGATAGGTGAAAGGGTCCACATAGAAAGCTCCTTGAACACTTTGCGGCAAGTTGCCGCAAGAAGCTCCCCTACTCCAACGTCCTGAATGTTATATTAGGTTACGAAAAGGGGAGAAACATAGAGATTTTGTGACCAACTTAGAAAAGGAGGCCAGGTATGTGTAAGGAGCGGATGACCAACACTCATCACTATGATTCAAGCAACACTCCTCCGAGGAGATGTGCGCAAGGAGTTGCGGAGAAATCCACTACCTACTTACTATGAGATGTTGGCCAAGGCCAAGTTTTTGGCGCTGGAGGAAGATGAAGAAGATCCTCCGGACGAGCTCTTGGTGGGCGAGAAGGCTCCCGCTATACAGGGGAGCCCACTAGAAGCAATAAGAAGAGGAAAGACTACACCAAAGGCCCTAACCTAGTGGGATCCCATGCGAACCGAGTCTCTGTTAACACTGTTTAGAGTCGTCCTCTACCGCCACAGAACCAGGAAACCTATTTGTCCAAGGCAAAGCCAATTACTTTGAGTATCATCATAATAACACACATGATACCACTGATTGCATTGCCCTGAAAAGGAGGTGGATTAGTTGATAGGCATGCCCTTCCAACACCAACTCCGAGTGACGCACCTGGAGGAAATCGCCAATAAAATCCATCATAAATGGGGACGATCAAGATGCGGGTAAACTTCATCACAAAACCAAAGTTATTTGGGGTGAAACTTCATCATGGGAGGCAACACGGGTGGGGATTCCACCACAACCTAGAAGAAGTTGAGAAATATGTTCCACTTGGCCAAGGTCCAAAGGCCACCACTACCTAAAAAGGCACGAAGGGAGCCCATCATGTTCATTGATGACAACTATCCACCCTTCATGATCCCCCTCGAGACGCCCACGTCACAAAGAACTATACATGTCTTGAGCTGACCTCAAGCCAGTGAAGACCCCGTTGTCAGGGTTTGCTTGAGATACCATTGAGGCAAAGGGCTTGATCACGCTCAAGGTTAAGGTAGGAGATGGCACCCATCAGATTCAGCTCGAAATGGAGTTCATAGTAGTGCACTTGGATTGTGCACACCAGCTTATCCTTGGTCGACCCGACCTGGAGGACTTGGAGTGTCTCATCTCACTTGTGCAACTATGTATGTAGTTCCACATGTCTTCGATGGTGAGGGTGGCCAAGGAAATGAAATAATCAGAATGTTATTTCTCAAAATTCTACATGGTACCATATATAGCAAATCCTAGGGAAACTCTAAGTCTGATTGTCGATTTCTTTGACAAAAATTTTACCGTCAATCATCGTCGCCTGTCTTGTCATTCGCAACCGGGTACTGGTTGGCGACATCCTCATCAACATCACTGTCTCCATCAACATCCTCATCGACGAATTCCTACAGCGTCAACATTACCTTTTTTTATGTCTCCAAAACTTGAAAAACATTGCATTGAACAAACACGCGGATTAAGCATTCGTTGCGTTTTATAACTAATGTTGGACGAAAACATGCACAATGGCAAGAAAGAAGCACAAATCAGCTCAACATGTTATCATTGGAGGAGAGAATTCGAAACAAGTTAACTCGTAGGAAGAAACATTTCACTCAGAACAGCCTCATTTTGCATCTTCCTCAATGGGGTCAGTTTGAGATGGCTCTTCGGCCTTTTCTTCTTTCATACCTTTCTTTTTCTTCCCCCCGCCTTTCTTCTTGGTCTTTATAGGAAGGGCTAGCCATGCCTTTATCTCAGGTTCATTATATTGTCAATTTCCTTTGTTGTGATCAGCTCCTAGAGAGGATGTGACGTGATCCTATCAGATCCATTGGGCATTAACAAAACCGTGAACTTTATGTGTGCAACCAAATCACCAGGTTTTTCATGTAGAACATGATATGGCTATAAAAGATCATGGTTAACACATTCTAGCAATCCTAAACGGGCCCTCTTTTCTTCCAAATCCCTGGCATTGAAGGGCATGATTGGGAACTTCTGGTTGATTTCACTAAGGATGAATCTTGACGCTTTCATCTTCAAGCTATAGGTTTTATCAACAGCCCTCTTATATATAGTTGTTTGCTTTTCATCTATCAGCTTTGGCTTTCCTTCACCCGTGCTTGTCACAATATCAATAGAATAAACCTCATTTTCTTCAAATTCTGCATCATCAACTCTAGTTTCAGGGTTGGATACACTCAGCACAACTTTGTTTGCATCAATAACAAATTGTTTCATTTGATGACTCAAAACACCCTCAACAATCTTGCAATCATAAGCTGCAGCAACCTTCTGAATGGCTTCTGTTACATCAGAGTTCTTCTTTCCAGGTCGCACAAGCCTCAAAGCAACTTCAGCAGCAGTATTTGCTGCAGCAATAACATCAGCAGCTTTTCCAGTTACTGGTCCTTCCTGAAGCACATGTGTGTGCGCGACCACTGCTATAAAACCATCTATGTGACACCCCATATCGATTTTCAACATATCACCATCTTCCAACACTTTCTCATCAAAGGACAAAGGAGAGTAATGGCAAACAGTATTATTAACTGAAATGCACGTCGGAAAAGCAACACCCCTTTTTTGAACCTTGATGAACTTCCCCATGAGTATTTAGTATTAGAGTCTTTAGATAATGTTCAGCTCTCCCAAATGTCATATTATGACATTGGTGTACTGGAGATACATACAGTGCTTTGTTAGTTTCCAAATCCTACTCGCTTAACCCCTCCCCAAAACCCTTTGTCGACTACCTCTCATTCGAACCCCCTATCCGTTTTGTTAGAGTGTATCCCACATCGGAAGTTGAATTAGAAAAAGTAATCGGTATATAAGCTCTTTAGTTGAATTAAGTAAGTGATTGGATTTAATGCGGTTCAACTCAAATTCCTTATGACTCAATCTAATAACTCATACCCCATGATAAATTCTATCATGGTATCGGATCAAGTTTTGGCCTACCTTGTTTGTTAAAGTATCCATCTAGACGTTCAATCCTAGCAGCCCTAGTCTTTAGCCCAGTTCTCCGTGTGAAATGTAAATCTAACTGCATGTGGCTCGTTTGATTCGATTGCTCGCTTGGAAATCCATACCAAAACGACTTGTGGTCCTTTAGATGTTTGCACTAAAAAATCAAGGGATGGAAATTCATTTGGAAGTGGTCATCAACCGATTAGATTCAAAATGACTCGATTATCCACCTAAGGAGGAGTGTTAGAGTCTATCACACATCGAAAGTTGAATAGAAAAGTAATCGGTATATAAGCTCTTGAGTTTAAGTAAGTACGTGATAGGATTGAATCTTTTGATGTGATTCAATTCAACTGTTTTATTGCCAGTCTAATGAATCGTATCCCAACCTCAAAATTGTACCACATTTTTCTTCATAAGCAACAATAATTACTATTGCCTATCGGCGAAATAGATATGAGGCGTGTAGGAGCCATGTGAGGTTCGAAAAAGGGATTATGGTCATTGTAAGACTCCGACCCCCACTCATAGGATTGTTGAATAGTTCTACAAATCAACACAAGTCTTTCTTGTGAACTATTGTTAATTGGCCCTACAAACCAAATTCAACACAAGTTATTTCTGTGCATTTTATCCTCACTCATGCATGCCTTAAAACTTTCTCAAGTATCAGCATCCTAAAATTGTTCTAAGTCAAACATATTTAACTTTGAAATTTTTAAGAAATGAACTTTCGAAAACAAGATGCATTTTGTTCTTTATAGAACATGCAAGATTTTATAATATATATAACGTTGAATCTAAATGTGAAAATTAAATAACCATTTCAGCAAACGGTGTAATAATTTATACCTGCATGTGACGTGAGTTCGTGGGATAGAATCTTAGCCTTCGTTTGCGTATACATATATTTTCGGAATGGGTAAATCCATTACTATTTTTATCATATCTTTGTTGCATTTTTCTTCACGGTCGCATTCACATTTATAACCTAATTCCTAATAAAGCCTATGGTGGCAAATATATGGGTCTAGATCTAAGTATATAACAGACTTCAAATCATATGCAACATTAATTTTGAGCAGGTAAAATAAATGGACATTCTAGAGCTTTATAGTAAATTTACTTGATTTATATTCATGTGGTTGGATATCAAGGCATAGGGGTAACTACTCTATATACTCTGTATGAATAAGCACAGAAGGATCATTAGTAAGAAAAAATAGTACTCCGTATTAAATTTCATCTTAATATTATTTTTCAATCAAATAAGAAAAGCTATCTTTAACACGATATATAATTGAAAGAATTTGAAACGAAAAAAAATGAGATGAAAAACAAGTTTTCTTGTTTAATTAGAAAGAAAAAGAATAAAAAATTCAAAACAAACTGAGAAGAGAAAAATCAAATTTCTCTCGCATTAGAAAGGAAAATAATAAAATTATTTTCTTTTCTTTTCCTTCCAAATGTACTTAACCAAACAAAGTGTAAATAATCTTCCTAATTTTTTTGCAGTCCCTAAATAATCTTAACTTTTCTTAAGAGAAAAGAGTTAAATGTCCAAGAAAAATCTCTCTCATCAAATTCTATCCTTTTTTTACTTTTCAACACTATTTTTTATAATTCTGTGAAAGTAAAAAAAAAATATTTCAAGACGGAAAGAGTATAAATCACGAATCTATTTAATGAGTATAAGAAATATGAGTTTTAGAGGATGTTTGTGAGTGTAGTAGATTGTTGAAAAAGTAAAAGTTTTAAGTTGAATCAAAAAGCAACTATTTTTAACTTTGCTTAAAAGCACTTTTAAAGCTCATTTTAGACTGTAGAAGTCATAATCTATAAGTAGTAGCAGATTGGCAAATGCGATAAATATTACTTTAGTGAAGCAAAAGCTCACAAGTTATTTTTAAAGACAACCCCATACGCCCTCTTAATATCTCTCAATATGAGATCATTTTTGTGAGTGTCTTGTGAAACCTAAATAGAATTTGGATTTAATATCTTCTGTGTAATATATCTTCTAAATTCGGACTTGAACTATTCTAGCATTCTAAATGAAAGACATACCTGAGAATCTATCAAATTCAACAGAAACGGCTCGCTCGGCCACTGAGAATCTATCAAACTCCATAAGATATATATAAGAATTTCTCTATATTTCACTTTTTGAGCACAAAATGGCATAGAATTAAAAGGAAAGGCTACGACTTATTTAGAGAATTAGAGTATATATATGATTCAATATTCAAAACTAAACCTGCCAAATATCAAAAACACTGCATTGGTCTCAAAAGATTTATCATTTTTCTGCCTCTTTTACGCCTGCGTTGGCCTCGTTTCTCAGCAGCGGCGCATTGTCTCAGCTGGTCTCTCATAGTTCATCCTTTACATCACTATAGGCGGTAGTCGTCTCATGGACTGGAGGTGGGGGTGGGGGTGTTTCCGCCTCGGGTTTCTTAGGCGAAGCTGCCTTTTGAATCTTGAAAGGAATGGATGCATTCTTCTTCAAGAATTTGTAGAAGGCCACTACAGTACGGTCTGTATCCACCGTAAGCTGTGAAGGGCAATGCCATCATATTACTTCGTATATATACACACATAAGTTCTCAACAAAAGGAAAGAGTTGGGAAAAACTAAGTACTACTCACGGGCTCAAAGCTCTTGTTCCCGGCTGGGAAGAATAGCAGAGTCGGGAATCCATCAGACTGCAACCAAATAAACAACTTGCATTTGTTATTCTTATAATTGTCATCATGGAAGTCATGAGATGGAAGAAAAAAGGTTGAAAGCCACGGAGCCTTTTCTTGCGTGTAATGTGTGGGGCCACTCAAACAGTTCATTTCCTCATCACACCAAAGCGAACCGGTGGGATTACGCACATGTGAAACGCTTTAGTGTGGTGCACTGAAGCATTTCGCTTAGAATGCACACCACTAGAATATGTTTGGTTCAAGGTAAATAATAGCATGGAAAATGCATAGCTAAACAATTATGTGAAGGAAAGTTATTCAATCGTATTTAAAATTTTAGCATGGAAAATGAAATATCGTTATCTAGTACTCGAGTTTACAATAAGATTCGTTTGATAAAATATCTTAAAACAAATTTATTTGAGGTTAAGCTTTATCCTTTTCATTCTCCCTCAAATTTTCTTTCCTTCCATTTTCTCCTCTATTCTTTTTATAGCGCGTAAACTTCAAACGACCCCTACAAAATCAAGCATGGAAACCAAGTCCTTGTATATACAATCCATCTAATATATAAAGTACCTTTGCTCTAGGGTGCTCATTGGCCGTCCCATCCATCTTGGCAATAACAAGCGAGTCAATGCCCTTCAAATGCTTGGCGAGCTTGTTGTATACAGGTTCTAGACTTTGACAGTGCCCGCACCAAGGAGCATAAATCTAATTTTTCAATCCGCAAACACTCAAAGTTAGCATTATATTGTGGTAAACACACCAAGATCAAGATGCACGATTGTTGCCCGTACTGATATAGGTACCTCAAGAAGAACATCTTTAGATTCATCAAGAACAATTTCATCAAAGTTATTGCCAACCACGATTTTAACATCCCCGTCATTCTGTGTCAGTAATATAATGTGAGCATAGAAATTTGGATCCAACAAGGCTTGACTACTTATTGAAGGGTATGCACCAATTCACTTACATTCTCTGGAATAGGTTCCGACTTGTAAAAGGGCTTTAGATTGTCTTCCAGAAACTTCTCCCCAAAGGACTGTATGACAAAGTAGAACAATGAATGGAAGAAAAAAACTGTTTGCTAGTTGCTAGTATGTGCCCATGATATCTTTTATCTTTAAAATGGTCATTCTAAAGGAGAGCGACTAAACAAACCTTGATATTGATTGAAGTCAATTCACCTTCCAACAAGAATTTCTTCCCATCATCATTTCCAGTATATGCAATGACCTGCAACCATTATATCCCAAATAACAGAGTAAAATCCAACAATCATTTTATTTAGTTTTAAGAAATCGGCTCTGAAGTAAACAGCAATGACTTACCTGTGGGGTATTTCCTGTAATACCGAAGTACTCTGAGACTGATTTTCCAAAATCTTCATTGTCCATCTCCACAAAAACACATAGAAGCTAAAGTGAAATAAGAAGATTATCAGCAACTTTTAACACATTGAATTTCACGTATAATAAGTTATTAATATAATACGGATTTAGTAATACGGTTTGAAGTGAGCATGGCAGTACTGTGTCAGGATACTGGATTATTGGAAAATAAAACTTGTTCACAATAAAGAACGGGACAGNACACAATTAAAAAAAAACTGTCTATTGCAAGTCATACCCATATCCAGAATAAATTATGGGCACATAATGTTGAAATATAGCTATAAATATAATGAGAATAGTGTTCAATGCACACCTTTCCTTTGAAAGACTTTGCAGCTTCATGGAATGTGGAAAGAAACTTGTCTGAATCATTTGAACTGGCGAAAAGAATTAACTGGAAAAAAAATGGTGTTAGCCAAAACAAAGATGCCTAATATGATCACAATGCAAATCCTTTTCTGTGAAGGATAAAATATACGAGCATCACATATAAAAGCTCCATCAATGGCTGTTTTTACAGGTGGAGTTCCTTAACTGATTTCCTCATTGGCATTAAAAGGAACCATTAAATTATGAAATAAAGCACAAGGACTTCCTATAATTCAGACCAATACTATACATTAAAAAGGCCCAGATTAGAGATTCACCTGTTTCTTAATTGGATTATCAAATATTTGTGGTGCGGTTTCTCTGGTGAAGTAGTTGACAAGAGGAACCTTGTTCTCATAAACAAATTCAGATATTGCTGATTTCGTGAACACGCCATCTGTAAGAACATGAGGAAATTGTGAGTACTTCCGTCTTTGAGAATAACTTTACAACATCTTTAGAGTCTAAACCACACCATCTGGAAAACTAACCAAAAAGGTTAATTTTTTCAGCTTCTGTTTTAATCATAACAAGAGCCGGACGTTTGACTTCCGGATCAAGATGGAACAGCTTAGCTACGTCAGAATTGGAAGTTTGATAGAAGATGACATCATCTTCAAGTTTTGCAGCAGAAGCAAGTTCATCACTGTATGATCCCTGTGAACATTATAAACAAATATATATAGACACACGGAAAGAATATGTGATTGGAATAAGTATAAATTTGTTGAAACCTATGAAACAAGAATGATTAAACCCTGCAAATCAAAAATCAAATCTAATACGCTGCTGATCAAACTTAGTTCTATTGGAATAAGATTAAAATGAAACGAACAAAAAGCTTCCTATTTGTGATTGACTAATAAGAAACAAAAAGTTAATAAAACTATAAAACTCATCAGAAAAGGGCATTTGTAGAGTTTACCACCAAGCTGTCCAAAAATCCCAAAACAAGTTTTGGCTCAGTAGCCAAGATGTGCTCTGCATCCTCTATCGTTGTTATGTTGAATAGAGCTGATCCGGTCTTCTTCTTTATCCATGCAACAATAGCCTCTCTGCAAATAGAGCATATGTGGATTATATTATCAAGAAAATTTTCCTCAAAGTTTTCAATTTGATGTGCTGCATTCTATCCCTCATGTAGGACACTAAGAATTATATGACAAGACCTTTTTCTATTGGAAATTTGAGGGGAAGATATTCGATTTTCACTTATTTTTGTTGTAACGTTTAGAAATGGAGAATACAATTTCTTCAATTTCCCCTTAATTTTACTGGCATCTCCATTTCCATCTTCTTTCCTTCAAAAACTGGATTCGCGAATTGGCAAATCCACTATCAAATACAGTTATACAGAGAATCAGAAACCGTATTTTATGCATATATAAGCCAATGCAAGCAAATGACTAAAAAGCTGCTTAATTACTTGGTTCGTTGGCCATTGTAGGGCTTGTGAACACCATCAACAAATAAGTAGACGGTGGGGAACCCCTGCACTTCATACTTCTGCGCCAGCTCAGCCTCCTCCGCAGCATCCACCTTCGCCAGCGCCACCGCCTCGCCCTTGAGCTCAGTGGCCGCGGCCGCGTACTCCGGTGTTAAAGCCTGGCAGTGCCCGCACCACGGCGCGTAGAACTCCACCATCACGTACTTATTCTTCGCGATGAAATCGCTGAAATTGCCCTCCTTCAGCACCACCACGTCCTTCTCGTCCACCGCCGGCGGCTCGTAGGAGCCGTCGTCGTCGTAGCCGTGACCCGAGGCCTCGGGATCTTCCTCTAGATCGTCGTAGTTCTCGAAGTCGTGGTGTTGTCCGTACGGATCGGAATGTGAAAAATCGGAGTCGCCGTCTTCCTCCAGGAAGCTGAGATCCTCCTCATCCTCATTGGCCGCTGCTCTGTTCTTGCTCTCTGCGCACGACGCTGTTCGGGAAGATATGAGGAACAGCACGAGAACCGATAGAACTGCAATAGATTTCGGGGAAGCCATTTTAGAGGAAATCGAAGACAGTTGACACTCTCAATCCTGGAGGAAAACAAAAAAAAAGGAGAGTTTTTGCCGCTTGCGGAAATACAAGCCGCGTCGCACAGAAAAGGCGCGTCTGGATAGAGGGCGGCGCGTGCGGGCGTGTTGTGATATGGTTTGGAAGTAGTTGGACTAATGGTGTAAAGACACGTAATAACATGAGCCTGACTTTAGAGAGAACACTCAAGTAAGCTTTCACTCTTCATATTGCATAGTGTACTTGTGTCTCTGAGGAGTCTTTGTGTTAAAATAAGTTACCTCATTTTTTAATACTCTTTATGTTAATTCATTATTCATAATTCTACCATCCTAAAAGACATTTTTTTCACTATTTATTCTCAAACTTTCTAAAAATTGAGTAAGTCTTTCTTGAATTCTAAAAGAGTACATTCTTAAAATTGTATTCAATTTTCCTAAATTAGTCTCCAAGATAAACTAATTATCATATCGAGATGATGCCGGTTATTTGAGAATAATGCTCATTTTAAGTCTCTCGACTAACGGTCACCAAATGACATCAAAACAATTTTGGCGTATTAAGTAATTTTGATTTAAAATATTTGTAATCAAACATAATGAATCATAAACAAAATTTCTTTTTGGGAATATAATAATATCTATATTTATATACTTTTTGTGCCTCCATTGACATAATACCATCTTAAAAGAACCACGATTTACTCATTTTTGTGCCTCCATTTTACCAATTTGATTTACACATTTACATATTCTTATTCATATATTCATATTCATACACCCACATTACTCTAATATTTCCACAAATACATTTTGTACCCAAACACGGGTGACATATTAAGCTAATTTCTATCCAAATCTGCTTTTTATTAAGTGGAACATCTTATGCTCAAAAAGTCCAAAACCTCTCTCAATTTTACACTTCTGCAGAGGTTTAAAAAAAGAGCAAAAAACACTGAGATCTCCATGATAGACATCGACACTGTTGGAGCAGCATGATATGAGTGTGTGTGTGTAGACACACACACACACGAAACATGAACTCCAACTATGTCCTGATTGTACCTCAACTGTACAAGAAATGCATATGATTTGAGTTTTACATAGAAAATAAGTACGCCGGGGAATGTGACAACATTTGCTGATTCACAAAGATGAATGAGATGTCAACTTTCAATGTCGGGTACAGAGTTACATGAGTAACATAACTTGCCAAAAATACAAAAAAAAAAAAAGTCAAAATTAACACGTACAAAACACTTTCTAAATCGGTGTAAAAAATTAAATTAAATTAAATGCCCTTAAGGATTATGAACTGTGTGTGTGTGTGGGTGTGTGGAGGCAGAGAAAATATTTAGCTTCCCAACTACCTGCACAGTACAAGCAAAGGATATCTCCCACCCTGTTGAAAGTGAGTTGTCGATGATTCAGACGAGGGACCGAAGAAGAGAGAGCCCCTGTGTGCAGGCAGAGGCAATACAACTGCAGTGAGATATGGCAGTTTGAATTGAAGCATATACGCGGGCTTGAGACTCTCTACTATAGCAACAACACTTTCCAAATCTTTTTCATGTACACGACTAGAGACCAAACCGCAAGCCAGGCTGAGATATAGAGCAAGACCACACCAGAGCTTGCAAGGCTTCCTGCTTCAACTAGGCTGCATTGGCACAAAACAGTAGCTTGTTTAATGGCCGACTATATGTGAGTATTTATTTATTTATTTAGAGTGAGTAATTCAGAGCACAGGTGTACGTTACCCGATGGAGCTAAAAGAGTGAATCATGGGAATGTTTTTGCTTTGGGTAAATAAATTATAGAACAAATCAAACTTCCTGTGTTAAACTTCCTTTGTTTCTTTCTTTCAAAATATGGGTAGCAAATGCAGTGGTGCATCATGGGTCTAATGAAAACAATGTCTTTGTTTTTTTACATAGGCCGGGCTGTGTAATCTTGGCCTCCCAGGCCCTGATGGACTTGGGATTATACGGGGTTTGTGGGTGTTTTTGTGTTAACTTAGAGAGCTAGCTATATGTCCAGATCAAGCAAACTCGCCTGCTATCTCTTGTGGCAAGGAGGATGGTTAATGCAGTCATCTGTGTGGCAGTCTTCCACTTTCCCAAGTTATTCACAGCAACAGCCTGCATGGAAAATGTAACATGAAACTTAAGATCCATTTCGATAGCGGGAACTACTAAGGAAAGATAATGGGAAAGAACACGTGAAAAATTGGAAGGGAATAACAAAACATAGACAAACTCACAAATTTATTTTAGATATTATTTGATACTCATTCTACTTACGAAATGGTTCAAGTTACACCGCTGACACCTCGTCCCTTTCAGGGCCCTATGGTGCTCTCTCGAGCCCAGGACTGAGTCCTCCCCCCACCCCCCACCTCCCCCGGCTCACACTAATCCCCGTGTAGCAAGCCCTCCTCCCCTTTCTTAGGTGACAACTTACAACGCCCCCACCCACAAGGGCGCCAGTCCTCAGCCCCCAGCAGAGCAAAGTAGGGCCCTCAAATGGCACGGTGTTGCCCTAACACCGGTGTCTTTTGAACTACACCAATTTTATTGATTCATATTTATTATATATAGACATTCAAGACGGGGGTCTCTTGGAAATAGCCTCTACTTTCTGAGTAGGGGCAAGGTCTACATACACACACCCTCCCCAAACATACTCTTGTGGAACCAACTGGGTTGTTGCTGTTTTAGACTAAGAAATCATTCATTGCCAATGGAGCTAAAAGAGTACAATGGTTTGGCTTCAGACAAAGAATGGACTAAAACAAAATGGCACGTTAAACTTCCCTTGCATCTTACTCCCTCCGTCCGGAAATGTTCTTCCCGTGTTGACTTGGCACGCTTATTAAGGAATAGTAAAAAAATGCAAAATTTTCAAAAATGCACATACTATAAACTTCAAATCTCCTTTTATTATTAAAAAAGTAGATTTGTGATAAAATAGAAGGGTATTATTGATATTTAGCCTTAAAAAGCATACTAAAAAAGGAAATGGGAAGATTATTTCCGGACGGACCAAAAAGGAAAATGGGAAGAATATTTCCGGACGGAGGGAGTACTTTATATGAGGTTTTGGGCAGTAAGTGCAGCAAAGCATGAAGGGTCTAAACTAAAAGTAAATGTGCCATACTTTATACCAAGTTTGTTGTTGTTTGTTGTTGTTGTATACATAGTCTAAGAAATCTAAATATATCTTAGTCGGGATAAAAAAAGAGTATTTCATAGCAAATTTTTCCTTTCCCCTGTCATTTTCCCAAATCAATTACATAGAGCTGGGAAAAATATTTCGAGTAAAAAAAGGTTTTTCTACCTCTGTAAGCTTACTGCCCTGAGAGGCTGCCCATTCTCTCACAGCAGACATTGTAATCTGGATACAAAAGAAGAGATATTCATGTTAAAATCAAATATCACTGCTGAAGTAAAGATCATCATACCATCACAGTTACAGAGAATCCACATGAGCAAGATAAATAGAAACATTAAAATCAGTTCTCAGACACAAGTATTTCATTGTGTGCTTTATTTATTTGCTCAAATTTCAAAGTCTACACATTTCATCTGTGTGCAAGGCACTATATCAGTTGGAGACTGAAGAGCATGCAAAAAAATATTTTGGTTTTGCCCTCCTTAATTTACATCCTAATATTTTTTAGACATTTGTAGACATTATCCAATACTAAAATGTCAATTCAATATGTAGATTAGCTAGGAGGAATTTGGAGTAAATCTAGCAGGACACCACAGAAAGTCCACACTCAAACTCCACCTTTAAGTAAGCAAAAAAAATGAATCAGTTAAACAAGGTTTCGGTAGTGTCTTTCAAAATACAATCATGAGAACCGGTAATCTGAATAATCAAGTCACAACTTCATATTACATGCTCACTTACTTCCTAGGGCAAGATGAAATAACAAAAAGCAAAAAATCTAGGGAGTGTATTAAAAAAAAGAGTCTCAAAAAGCAATAAGCAGGTAGTTACTTGCTTTAGGGCTTATAAAAATTAAAGGGAACCCAATAAACAAAACTGCGAACGAATAAGCAGGTAGCTACTCCCTTTGAGCTTATGAGGCTTCAGTGGCTTCAAAAAGTACTCTGTATTTACCTAAGCCTTTTATCCATTATCAAACATGAAAATTGTAAAAGCTACTTTAAATAAGCGATAATCCTAAATTTATTTAATTTTAAAACACTTTAAGCACGAAAATAATATAAAGCAAAGAAAAGAATAAGCAACTAACCTCCCTCCCAATAATAGCTATTGAAGGTACAGCCAATAGCCACGGAAATTGTCCAAAAGAGCTGGCTTCCAAAGGTCTGGTACACAATAAGACCAAGGTGGCAGCAACCATTAGCTGTTGCGGTCAAAAGGAAACTATATTAAACCCTTTCCCAATCTGTACAAAGCCAATAGGGAGACATTTCTCTGGTTTGAAAGACAAGTGCTTCTTTTGCTATGTAAATTTTCAGATGAAGTGAATCTTCTTCAAGGACAATACCTTATCAGCAACTGGGTCTAAAAATGCACCAAATGCAGTTCCCAAATTCAGCTGGACAATTTTGAGCCATAAAACTTGTAAATTTGAGTTGAAAAAACAGAGGCAAATCATTACAAGTCCCAAAAACATAACAGCACAAATTTATACCTTACGGGCAATATACCCATCAAGCCAATCGGTAATTGCTGCGGCAATGAAGATACCAGTAGTAGCCGATGGTCCCCACCAGCTATCCACATAGAAGGCTAGTTTTAGAAAGTCAATAATTAGCTTTCACACAGAACAGTGCCTAGTAAAATATGGCAATCTACTAGTGATCACTGAATAGTGAATATATAAAAAAAACCTAAACTATCCATATTTTATCTGAGGCTTCCTACTTGTGTCAGTTGTGTGAATTGCAGAACATTTAGAAAATGCTCCCTCTATCCCATAATTCTTTTCCTTCTTTCCTATTTGGAATGTCCCAAAATTTTGTTCCACTTTATGTGATTTATCTTCTTTCTCTCTTCTAATCAAACTTCAACCACACAATTTTTAATTCATCAAAAGGTGAGACAAATAAAACTAGAAGCATAATTGCAGACCGGAGGGAGTAGTTCATTTCTAGAAAAATAAAAGAAAATGATCAATTTTATAGTTTCCAACTACAGAAAGGCTCTTTCAAAATGTACACCAGAAGAAGGCAAATTTCCAAAACTCTTTCAAAATGAACTGTATATTGGAAAATATTAAATGGTAAATGAAGTTCATAAGAAATTTAAAAAACATCAAAATGATGGCCTCTACATTTCTTTCAACAACAACAGCCCAGTAAGGTCATGTGACATTTATTTTCAGAAAAAAACAACTTACTACGTATTTACTATAATCTGCAAAAGATGAATGTGCAGTACAGATTTGTGAAGCACCACATCCCACACCACAAAAAGCAAAATGGCCAGTTACAAAGGATTGGAATGTGTAGGTAGCACGTGTTAGGACTTTTTACGCAGGTTTTTTAGGCTGAACTTTATTTTACTCTTCAGTTCTGTTTTAAAATAGCCTTTACGAACCAAGACTCCTGATTTTTGAATAGAAAATTTATCCGATAATAAAAATAAATCTAATGTGATCAAACTTAAGGACAACACCTCAATATTTCCAATCACAAAGGGATTTAATATGAAGAGAAAATATATAAGGACATGTTTCAAATTTTCTCACAGGAAAATAATTACAATCTTCTAACTAACATACTCCTCTAGGAAAACTAGAGAAGTATAGAAAGTACTCCTCTACCAAATTAGTTTTCTCACTTTGACTACAAAAACATTAAAAAAAAGGGTTGAAAAGAAAACAGTGAATGGTTAGAATTTTGTTTAGAGGAGAGGGGTAATTTGGACCACATATTCTTTTCTAGAACAGAAAAAGTGTGAAATTTATTTTGGGATGGATGGAAAGGGAAAATGGGAAACCATTTTCCATTTGTGGGACAGAGGGAGTATAATAAAGTCGGAATCATATTATGTACTCCGTAACTTATTACACCACAAGATGAAATTTTTATAATCTCTATACCCAAATAGGACGGTTCTGATAAATATTAAATAGCAAGAATGAAAGAAAACAAATGCCATGACTTCATCATGCCATATGTTGGGCATAGCTGTTAGTATAGTGCAATACACAGTGCAAACGTGAATACAAACGTTACTATTTTGTAACTGTGATTATCGGCATTTGGAAAAGTCAAAGCATGTAACTTTAAAAAATGAAGAAACTCATGCAGGATGAAACACATCTCTTTAAGAGATGTGGGCAGTCTCTGCCTCTATGGAATTTGACATTTGAATTCTCCTTTCTTAGGCTGCATTCTCTTTCTCTTTATCACCTATCTAATCTTCCACAGCGGTTCTACCCAGACACTAGATTTTCCTCTCACACCACATCTCCCAATACTTTGAAACTGCATACTTAATCAACCAATTCTACTTATTTGTAATTTGTTAGAGCTTTCTCATAATGTTATAGAAATGAATCTTGTCATCTAGGATCCTTATGCTTCTAAATCACAATTTACAAATCAATTCACCATTGAACGACAACCCAGCATAACCAAAACTCTGCTAGACCCTTGAAGCATTGCTGCATTTACTTTCCAAAACTTCGTGGATAGTAATAAGCAAAGAAAGCTGAATGTGCCATTATGATTAAGTTCATTATTTCACCAAAGCTAAAACAATTATCAAACCATTCACATTTGGACAGCTATGATGTTGAGTCTTTAGAATTATTGCAGCGACTTATCCGGATAAAAATATCAAACTTCATCCCATTGTGTAAAAGAATTAAAATGAGAACAGAAACACAAAGATTATACAGTGATGGAGCCAACTTTTTTAGCATCCACGTCCTTTTTCCATTTAATCACATGACACTGATGACTGAACAACTCAACACATACTCGACCAGAAGCTAGCTCATGAGTGGAGGTCTGGTATTTACTATTCTCTGATTTCTTAAGAAATTAATGAGTGGCTCATTACAGACTCTAGACTCTGAAGTTGGATTTTTTACTTTCCATATGTTTTGGGAATTAATAAAAAAGAACAGAGGAGAATCAAGGGGGGTGGCCACGAGGGGCATTATATGAGTTCCATGTAGCCGAACCATGTATATGGTTTGTGCTAACTATAGCTTAATACCTAGATTGTACCAGAAAACATGGTTGGTAAATGTGGAAAACTAATACTCTCTTTGTCCCAATTTGAGCTTTTCCTTTTCCAAGGAGAAAGATAGAAGTGAAATTCTGTAGCTAAGGTGTATGCAGAAGAACTAAATGAAAGTGTGATGTTTATTTTGGGAAAGAAAAATATTTAAATGGAATATTCTGTAGAACGGGCAGAACTTATAAAATTCATAAAAGGTTAGTCTAGCCAGCCTAATAAAAATGAAAGATACACAAGTAATGATGATGAGACCAAATGAGGAGAGGATGAATACGCAATCTTTAAACTCCGTAAATAAAAAGGAGACCTAAAACATCATTTGAGTGCGGGACTTACTGCTTACGAGAAGCGGAACTGCGGCAACCCGGCCAATTGTCAAAATTGTAGGCAGAGTAAGCAGTTTGGCAGAATGAGGTGGGCGCGGAGAGGGCTTTTGACAGCGGTGGTTTGCGGGAGGCGGAGACGCGGAGGCATCCAACCATCCGTCTCCCTTGTTGTCGGGGTCGGAGCCCATGTGAGCGGCGGAGATACTCCCGGCAGCAATATTATAAGGAGAATGCTTTCCAGCGCGGCAAAATTGGAGGTGGGGGAATCGATCGTCGGCGGGATGCGGAATCCTTACCCACCGCCACCAGGCGCGCGTCGAAACCGCCGGGAATCTGAAGTTAACGGCGGCGGGTGAGAAGGGACGGAGGCGATTGAGAGGCTTTCGGGAGCTGTAGATGGAGGCAGCGACTGCGTTGAATTTGAGGGATCCTCCGGGCATGGTGGAGTGGGGGGATGGATTGGTAATGCGCGCTGCGGCTTAGGTTAGCGGAAAGAAGGGGGTAGGGCTTACGTTAGCATGGATGTCCTTTGGTTATCTCCCTCGAAAAAACTATGCCAAGCCCCTAACGACATTTCCAATATTAACCCATAGAGCGAAAAAATTGCAAATTTTATCAAAATAACTTTCAAGATTTTATACTCCCTCCATTTACAAATAAACTTTACGTTCACTATTCACATGGTCAAACTTTATTTACTTTATTGGCTTATTTTTGTCAACCATTTGATAAAATAATATAGTTATGCCACCTCTAGTTTTGTAGATCTTTTGATATAGTTTTTTAATATGCAATTTTTATTTTTTAATTCTACACCATTTTTCATATAAAATGATTTGAAAATAACTTCAGTCAAACATCGTAACGCGTAATGTAAAGTTTATTTGTGGACGGATGGAGTATTTGTAATAAGGCAATAGCGGCTTTTACATTTTGTTTAAATGAGTGCAATGGACATTCCGTCCAATACTTCATTCATAGACGTCAATAAATATGTTTTTCCTACTTTGCCCTCAATGTTTTATTGTTATAACTCTTAGGTCTCTCATTTTTTTGATTTCTTTGTTTTTCTTTTTTTGTTACTCTTTTTCTGGAACGTTTTAAAAAAAAATTTCTAGAAAATTGTATCAAATATTTAAAATTGTTTATACGGTATAAAAATATACTCCCTCCGTCCTATAATGATCTTCCCGGTTCGCAAAACGAAGAAAAATCCCAAGTTTTTTCAATCTATTTTATTTAAATATTGGTATAGAAATAAAAAATAAAACATACATATTTAAAAACTACACCAAAAGTTCAACAAAACAAGTGGTGACAAGAATATTTTATTTTATCATATAGGCCATGAAAAAACACAAATAAATATAAATTCCCGTGAAATTGGAATAGTGCTCTAGGAAGATCATTATAAGACGGAGGGAGTATCAAATAAGGAAGTTCCCTAAAAAAGAAAAGACAGAGTAAAATTAAAAAATTGAAAAATAAAGCATTTTTCGTAGAGTCCTCAATATTCTTTTGTTAATACTTTGTATAAAGTATTAAAAAAGAGAGATCTAATTTTCTTTTTTGATAAGGTCCTTATTTTATTTTATTTTTTACGGAGTATATCATACTACCTCCGTCCCAAAGTACTTGTCCACTTTTGACTTTTTCAACCAATCATTTTCAACCGTTGACCTATGATTACACAAAATATATATTCTATATTAACTATATAAAATAATATTTTGAAAATATTTACATAATGAAGCTAATAAAAATATTTTTGTATCAATATCTAATATCATATTATTTAATTTGGAGTCAAAATTTGTCAATTTTGACCAAAAAAATCGAAAATGGACAAATGCTCCAGAAGGGCGGTAGTTCAAAATTTTGAATTTTGAAACTATTTTCTAGAAGAAACTTTAAGAAGACCTTTGTGAAAAAAGAAACAAATTAAAGTAAAAAAAAAGAGAGAAACAAAAAAAGGAAACAAATAAACTAAAATGTGAGGGAGCTAAAAGTTAGTATCATAAAATATTAAGGGCAAAATACGAAAAACTTATTTATTAACACCAATGGATGAAGTATTTGATTAAATGTCTGTCCCATCCTAGTCATTACAACAAAATTTAAGGACTTCTCTTCTCTTTTTGAAAATATAGGGGCATGAAAATTATTTTGACAAAACATGCGTCACCCCTAAGTACTTTTTTGCCAATCAGCCATATTGTCTAGGTGAGTCTAGGTGATGTAACTCCAAATGTAATTAAAGTATGTAAAAAAGTTATAGTAAAATTTGAATCTTTACGATGATATAGTAGACGATTATTATTTTGCATAATGTCCTTACATATATTAAAGATAAATTTTACTTTCTATTCATCAGTCTAATATTAAACTCATTTATCCTTTCTTAAGTAATCTTTTGCCTAGACTTGTGCAAACAAGATGGATATGTGCATGCTTTAATACCTATATGGGCGGGTCGGCCCGAGCCCGAATTGTATCTGGGCGAATATGGAACCTACATTTAGCCCGTCCGGGCCAGCAGGCCCGCCCATATTTATCAATTACATTTACTATATGAGTTAACTAGTCCATTTACAATGCTAAGTTCTCACTCATCCCTCTCTACAAAATAGCACAAATTATCTTAGCCCATTCTTAATGAATTTAGCCCAAATTATTTAACCATAAAATCATAAATGAATAAGTAATAAAGGAAATAAAAGACGTGGAGTTGTGAGTTGCTGGAAGCGGCAATTAGCTTCTAGATTTGGGAGCCGCTGCGGCGCTGCGCCGCTGCATCAAGAAGAGCAAGAGACATCCACTGCCACTTCCATCAACTTTCATTAATTAAGTCCAGAGAGCTATTTTGTTGCTTGCCTTGATATGAACAAACAAAAAACTTAAATTTGTCTTATATTTATTTTTAGTATTGAACCTAGACTTTGTTTCTTTAGTTTACAGTGGGGTGTGTCTATCTACTGTTGGTGACTCCATCTTAAACATTGGTTTCTTTTTTCAATATTCTTTTTATGTTTTTTCCGGGCCGGGCGGCCCAGTGGACAGTTCGGCCCGCTAAAGTGGGCGGGTATGGGTAAAGAATTTAGCCCATTAGATCTGGGCCAGGTCAGGCCCGCCCATGTAAATGGGCTAATAATTTGTATTAAACCCGACCCAGATCCTGCCCGGATCCGTGTTTGCACAGGTCTACTTTTGCCACAAGCCTGAGAAAACTATGGGATGAGATTTATCATTTTCCTTTATTAATCATACTCTTTTTATAAAGATTTACGCGTTCTTGCTTTTAAATGGTCTTAAAAGATGTGATCTTTGAAATCTAATATAATTAAGTATACATAAAAGTTAATTTGATCTTTAATACCCGTGCAATGTAAGGGTCCCTACAAAATTACATAGACTAAACAAAAAGAATGTGCTCAATAGAAAAACGGTATGCATAATGTGATGCAGTTTCTATGACCGACATTGAAGCAATCACATAGGTTGGCCCGAGGGGTCATGCCATGACATTCAAAATGAATGTCACATGAACTAGCCCGTGTTTATTATTGTATGAATAGTCAAAAACCATTTTATATTTAGTCATGGCCAGCCCAAGGCCAAGGGGTGGGCCCAAATCCATTTTTTGGAGGCCCAATTTTTTTTATTAAAAAATTAGAAAAATGATTTTTTAAAGGTATCTTTTACAATGTTTTGTTGTATGCGCAGGTGCAGCTAGTATTATAATATATTAAGTATTGTTTTAAAAAATAGTTTATATAATTTAATTTGTTAGGGTTAAAGACCAATTTTTTCTCTCATTTATAGCCATCAAATCTCTGAGACGAGTCATCAAATTAATAGTCATATAACATTAGCATTCTTGTCTGATATTTTGCCAAAGATTTGCTATGTTTTTTTTCCTATGAGTATCATAAGTAATTTTAATGTGCCTTGATTTTTTCTTTGGGGGGGAGGGATACGTGCCTTGATTAATAATATAACATAATGTATAAAAGAATGCAACCAAGTGTCTCACTTCAATGCAACTTCTTTTTTCATAGAGTTGTATTTTTGTAATTTTAAAAATCAAATGTGAAATGTAGTCATTTCAACACTTTTTATAGGCTTACAAATGAATCCTTTCGGTTTTTTCTATCATGGTATTAATATAATAAAATTAATAACATGAGTGTGGATTTAATATTTATGATTATATAAAAATTTGCCTTTATTGTGATACGTAATTTGTATCTACGTAACATCACACGTTCAGCAACAGCGCCTGTAGCTCAGTGGATAGAGCGTCTGTTTCCTAAGCAGAAGGTCGTAGGTTCGACCCCTATCTGGCGCGGGATTTACTCTTTTTTATTTATTGAGTAAATATTGGTCCTTTATTACCCAAGTGGTCCTTCTTTTATGGGTACCTTTCTACAAATAGTTCTTTTTTTGATCTTCTGTCATGTTGGTGTTAATTTGAGGGCTAAAAGTGTAATTTCACAATGATAATATATCTTTTTTGTCATGCACAATTCCAAAGGCTGTTCCGTTTGCGTCGTTTGTGAATTACATTCGCTTTTTACGACAACTATAGTCTACAAATGTGATCTTTCGTCAGAATCCTAGCCCATAATCATAGTCATTATTTTTGTGTTATTCATTTAACCAATATCAGAACACGTCACTAGACATAATGTTGACGTCAAATTATACTTTTAGCCTTTAAATTAACACCAACACGGCAGAAGATCAAAAAAAGGATCATTTGTGAAAAGGTACCCTTAAAAAAAGACTACGGGGGTAATATTTGATAATAGATGACTAAATATGGAAACCCCTCTGTTATAAAGGACTAATTATAAAATTTACTCTTATTTATTTGTTAATGCTCAGCAATTAACATCATCCTCAAATCTTCTTTCCAATTGCAATGAAGTAAGCTAGATGGGTTCAATTACTTCCATTTTTTCCTCTCTCTAGAAGACTAGAAGAAGGTGTTGCTCCAATTATCCGAGGAGAGTCTTCAAACCATTTTCTTGATAGATTAGCCATCTTTTTCTTCATTGTTAATTTAGCTTTCTCACGAAACTTTGACTCCCTCCTCGAGCTATAAGGTCATCTCCAATGGGATGCTCAAGTGAGATGCCTAGATGAGAGAGAATAAAATGTCAAGAGATGTTACCATTGTAAGTAGATGCTCAATAAAAATGCCCAATGAAGAAAGAGAATGGAAGATGATAGATTGAGCATCGATGTTCCAACTTGAAATTACTACTTCTTTTAATTAATTTAATATAGTGCTCCAATAGTTTATGTGTCATGTGTCATTTTTATTATTTATTTGTTTCTTTTAATTAGTGTAAAGGGTTTTTATTAATAGCTTTTTATTAGAATTAGATAGCAATTTTATCGTGTTCCAATTGCAATGACTTTTTTTGAAAAAAAATTAATTTCATATTCAGTATGACTATTGAGTGTTTTAATATAATTATACAAACCAATTGAGTATTGAGTGTTTTAATATAATTATACAAACCAATTGAGTGTTTTAAAATAATTACACAAACCAACTGAGTGTTTTAAAATATACTCCATCCGTCCGAAAATAATCTTTCCATTCTACTCTTTTTTCCGTCCGGAATTAATCTTCCCATTCTACCTTTTTTTCCCAACTCTTCCAAAAATACCCTCCCCTCCCATTCTTTATTTCTCTTCTTCCTTTCTTTTTTCTTCCTTCTTGCCATGTCCGTCACTCATCTCTTATCTACTCCTTCTCTCATCTCATTCTTCCATATCCCCACTCTTTATTTCTCTCTCTTTTCTTTTTCTTCTTCATCTTTCTTCTTCTCTTTCCCGATCTATCCACCTTCTTCTTCTTCTTCTTCTCCCCTTTCCCCGATTTGCCCCCCATCTTAATATCTTCTTTTTCTTTTTCTTCTTCTTCTCCTTCCTTTCTCATAGATCTAAACAAGTTTGTGCCTCAATCACCCTCCGTGCCTTCTTCTTCTTCTTTTCTTCCTCATCTGTCTTCTCTTTCTTCCAGATCCGCAATGGTGGGAGATTGCAGCGGTACGAGGACTAGCGACTGTGGTTGGGGCTGGTGGCAACACAGCTGCTGGTGGAGATGGTGCGGTTGGGGGATGGGGTAGCAGTGGGAGGTGGTGGGCAGCAGAGGGTAGTGGGGCGGCAATGGGGTTGGGGCAGCGGTGGGGGTGGAGGGGGCAAAGCTAGGAGGGTATTTTGGACATTTTAATGCCATAGTCAACACTCACTAAAAATGAGTAAAAGTCAAACCGGGAAGATTATTCCCGAACGGAGGGAGTAGTTTTTTTCCATTTATTACCGTGGTGTGTTGTTAGCAATGTATTTATAAAAGCTTTAATTATTTAATACTCCCTCCATACCTAAATATTTACACACTTATTATTTAAAAATTGCGGGAACTTTTGTTTATTTGTGTGTTTTCCTAGATTATTTGATTAAATAAAATATTCTTGTTACATCTTGTTTTATAGAACTTTTAATGTGCTTTTCAAATATATAAATTTTATTTTTTATGTATATACCAATTTTTAAATAAAAATAAAAGATTATTTTATTTATTTGGAAGTAGGACCCACTAAAATATGTAATAGAACAAATGTTTAGACATCTAAATGAGATGCCACCATTGGACGAGTTGGATGTTAAGAGAGATGTTAGAATAACATCTTTGAAGTGGGGTCCCATTTGGACATCTAATAAGAGATGTTACCATTGTGGATGCCCTAATTGTCCAATTCTGATGACCTCGACAAAGGTTATTTAGCGGCCTTTGGGGTTCCAGTGGTCTCAAAGGCCAATCGCTTTAGTTTTTTTCTCATTCCCCTCGTATGTTTAATTGCATTGGTAGTTGGCCTCAAATTGAAGATTTTATAGGTCAAGCTTTTTAGCATTAATTTTGATTTTTCATTGTTGGAACTGTTGTATGAAATGTGGCATTGTATGTGAGCAAATTACAGTATTTCTTGGCAGTTCATTTTCTTTTTAACAATATACATTGGTATGTTTGACATTATGCAGTAACAAGATTGTTATTTTTCAGTGTCATATTTGTCAATGTAATTTCAACTAACATTGTATTGAGACTCACTATGCCGCCATGTCACTTAGGGGTGGACAGAGTGCAGTTCCGGTCCAATTCCCGAACCATCGGTTCCAGCAACGCCGCTTACTAGCTCCATATTTGACATGGTTGAGAAACGAGCCTGCGCCTTTTTTGATCTCGATTGGTAATTTGACCACCAATTCAATACTTGTAGCAGATTTCATTAACCAAGATTCGGGCTCGTAGAATATAAAGATGCCAGAGAAGTGGCTGGAGCCTAGGGAGATTGTGCAGATTTTGAGAATTCCAATCAACATTAGCAGGAAGAATTGTTGGTATTGGTCTGGAGATCCCCAAGTAACATATACGGTCAAGACTGTTTATCGTCGCCTAATTGGCGAGGCTCTACATGCGTCCACCTTTATATGTTGGGGCAGACTTTGGTGAATCCTGATAGATCCTAAAGTTAGTGTTTTCTCGTGGAGGGTCAATTAAGGTATCTTTCCTACAAAGGATGCTCTTTTGACGAAGGGGGTGGCGGTGGATTGCAGTTGTCCTCGTGCGGGGAGAATGGGAATACTATTTTTCACATTTTTTGCCTTGTCGTTTTATAGGTTGCGTTTGGACCCTTTCGGGTGTGGGAGGTGATCAATTTCTGCCAAGCTCTTTCGAGGACTGGTTTTAGAGTCGTCAAAATGGATTACTCTCAGAGCTCAAAATCATTGCTTGGATTTGCTAGGCTATTTGCAAGGCACGTAACTCAGCCATTTGGGATTATAAGGAGGCCACACCTTTGACAACGAATCGACTTGTACAGGCGACGATAGATAGAGAATGAGCTAGCAGCAGGATCAATGCTCAGCAGCCTTAAGAACTGCGCCCGGACTGTTCCCATTGGAGGGTCATATCTCATTCGACTATGTTTTGTTTGATCCTGGGGGAGTCTACTTGGCAGCATCAAATGGTAAAAAGAGCAAATGTTAAGACCCATTGATGGCAGAAGCCCCTGCATGTAAATAGGCTTTGTCATGGCTCAAGAACGGGGGTGTTTGAGATGTGGAAGTCTTCTCTCATTGTGCAAAGTTGGTTAGTATGCTCAATCAAGGTAATTCATTTGCTGGTTCTTCTTATTTGGGCTCGGTTATTGAGACATGCTTCGAGTTGGTCATGTCTTTTTCTAAAGTGCCTTTTGATTTTGTACACCGTGATTCGAATGTGGTAGCTCATACATTGGCTAAATTTGCTTTGACTGAGCCGGGCTTGTGGGATGCTACTCCACCTAATTTTGTTACTTACTTGATTTCCTCGGAATGAATTTGATTCTTCCCTAAAAAATAAATAAAAAAGTACTCGAGGTACCAAAATAGAAGAGTTTACATTGTGATAATGTGTCACTGTACATGGACATTTCACAATATTTTTTTATATTATATATTGGCATGATTGACATTGCATATTCATTTTAGCTTTTATTTTAGGAATAAAAACATGAAACTTCTATTTTGATATATCTTCTATGTTTTAATCATACTTTAGTCTCTTTCCTTTGTTTTCTCTCTTCCCTCACTTTCTTACCAAGCCAAACAAAAAAAACAATAATGCTACTTGCACACTACTTGGTGTACACCAAGTTAACCACCAAAGAGGTGCACAAGCAATTTGATGATCTATAAGGACACAAAATACAAATGCAATCACAAAATTTCCTACTCGAATATTATGCCATCACCAAAGTGTCAATGCAACTATTTGGTGTACATATCATGGCTGATAAAAAAATACTCCCTTTGTTCTAAATTAATATTTGAAGTTTGACTTTACACGAAGTTTAAAAAAAGTAAAATTGTGTGGTTGAAAGTGATGCAGAGAAAAAGAAAAGAAGTGAGCCACAAAAAGTTTTCCAAAAAGGGAAAGTAGAAGACTAACTTGATTACACTATTTTGGTGTAACCTTAGCTTTATTTATTTTCTAATCTTGTACTCCCTCCGTCCCAAAACAAATTAATTTTTTTCGTCTCTCGATAACTTTTATCTATTTGTGTGTTTTTATTGAGTATTTGAACAAAATGAAAATTTTTGTCTCTTAACTCCTAATTTGTAATCAAATTACGAATTTTCCTTTCCTCTCTTCATACTCCCTAGTCCCTCCGTCCACAAATAAATTTCTTGTTCACTATTCACATGATCAAACTTTATTCACTTTGTTGGCTTATTTTCGTCACCCATTTGACAAAATAATATAGTCAAGTCACCTCTAGTTTTGTAGATCTTTTGATATAGTTTTTAATATGTAATTTTTATTTTTAAATTTTACACTATTTTTCATATAAAATATTTTAAAAATAATTCAGTCAAATATGGCAAATTATACCGTACAACCGGCTGTACCCAAAATTGGGTACAACCGGTAAATCAAAGAAGAAAAGGCGTCGATCGAAGGAGAAAAGAGGTGCTCGTAGTCGGGTCGGGTCGGAGGAAGGAAGCTGCGCCAAAAGATAGCTGCACCAAATCGGGAGGAAGAAAGTGATTCTATGGAAGGGAGATGTGCACGGTCGATAGAGGAAGCTGTTGATAGGCCGGAGGAGAGATGGGAGACGATTGATCTGGATCGGAGGAGAAACCCTAAACTCGATCTGGTGAGAGAAAAGAAAGGGGTTGCAGGTGAGAGAAAAGAAAAATATTTATGGTATGGGTTTTATTTATTTGAAAATGAACATTAAATTTTTTAAGAAAGAGTACTCTTTTATTTCAGAATGTACAATACGTTTTTTATAGATAAATTTTATAATTGTATTGAATAAATTTGTGAATATGAATACTACATTATTTTAGAATGAGTACTACATTTTTTAGAATGAGTACCACATTATAGTTATGTTTGTGCGAGAATGAGTACTACTTCAATTCAGAATGAGTAGTATCTGGATGTATCTATCTCTAGGTACATCCGGTTGTATGATATAGGAACTCGTCAAATATCATAACGCGTAACGAGAAGTTTATTTGTGGAAGAAAGGAGTATAATGGAAGAAGGGGAGGGGAAACCTTGCCCCTAGTCTAATGGTTGTCAAATTGTTCTAATCGTAGCATTATTGGGGCATGGAGCATTCCGTAATCAATCCGTATGTTCAAAAGTGGACTGAGATTTCTAAAGAAGAAGAATAAAAAACAATGAAGCTCATACTTCGTCTCCCCGAAATCTGTGCGATTTCTGCCCTAAACTTTCTCCCACAAATCCACAATCACTCAGATTAACGCACTCCTACGCCGTCTAAAAACTTCTCTCTCTCTCTCTCTCTCTCGCGTGGCGCTAATCTCGCTCTTCCCATGTGGCGCACCACCACCCCTCTCCTCTCCCATTCAAACCACGGAGTGGCAGCACTGTCAAGAAAATGAATGGAATTCGTCTGCATTTTCCGATTTCTTCTCTCCTTTTCTCCGCTTGAAGTCCAAATCCATAGACCCATTTTGACAATTTCCCCCCTTTTCCGCTTTCCCCTTTTTTCTGAAGTGAAATCTCGAATCATTGTACTCTTATCTGACAATGAAGGCGAGAGCGGATTCTTTGCCTGCAAGAACGGCGCCGCCGCATCCTTCCCGAAATGCCCTCGATCACAAGAGGTACGTTGTAGCTTTAATCTATTCAGCCGGCATTGAGCTCTCCGTTCTGTTTTTTCGCATCTCTCCTTTCCGATCCGCAATCTTGTTGGGTGGATCTTTCGTAATGTTAGTGGTTGAGTTGGTAGATGGTGGACTGTGTAGTGTTGCCTCACAGTGGTTTCCACCGACACTGTGTTTTCTTGGGATTTGTGGCTTTATTTTATGTTTTTAAAGACGGTTCTTTGTTCTTGTGGATGTAGTGATGGTGAAATTCGAGGTAAATTGGTTATGAAATTCAATTTTCTGAATGGAATGTATGATAGTTGGTACATTGGTTATGAAATTCAATGCTCTGATTTGCTACCTGTACTGTGCTGCTAGTCTATAGTCAGTAGGATTTCTCTTTATTGAAAATGTTCTGACCTTTTTGTTTGAATGATTATTTGACTAATGTGTTTGTGGGTGCTTTTCATTTGATGGTTTAACTAATGTGTTTGTGCTTACAGGGATGCTTATGGGTTTGCAGTGAGGCCCCAACATGTACAAAGATATCGTGAATATGCTAATATCTATAAGGTTTTAACTGTTGTTTCATTATTTGCTTGTTGTGTTAAACATTGTGTGTTTATTGTCTCAGAAAGAAGGTTGTGTGTTTTAAAATGGTGTTAGGAAGAGGAAGAAGAGAGGTCTGACAGGTGGAAAGACTTTCTTGAGCGGCAATCAGATTTTGCACAGTTGCCCATTAATGGGAAAGAGTTGCCTGATAAGCCAATCAATACCGAACTGGAATCTGGTTCCCAGAATGATTTTGAAAATCTGGTGGATAAAAAAGAGAAAACTCACCAGATCCAAGTATGGTGTGATGTTAGACCATCGCTTCGAGCGATTGAAGATATGATGAGCGTGCGTGTTAAAAAGGTGAATATAGAGAAAAGTGAGCCAGCATATGGAATGGCTGCTGAGAATTCATCATCTACCATAGAAGAGTCTACCTCCACAAAAGGAGGTGGGCTTGACGAGGACTCAGATGACGAGTTTTATGATCTGGAGAGATCCGAATCGTTGGACAGATCAGACTTGGATTCTTTACACGATGTCTCTCTGTCTGAGAGTATTGCTGAGGCTACTTCGGCTAAAGATTCTTCTTCACCTCATTGGAAAGAAGAATTGGATTGCCTTGTTCAGGGAGGAGTGCCAATGGCTCTCAGGGGAGAGGTTAGATAAAAGCATCCATTCATGTCCCACTAATGTTGTTTTCACTTTTCATCATGAATAAGGAATGCAATCTTTGAACTTCCCATTACAGCTTTGGCAAGCTTTTGTTGGTGTGAAGGCACGTCGAGTGGAGAAGTATTATCAAGACTTGCTTGCTACAGAAGCAAAATCTGTTAATACCGTAGAGCATAAAAGTATGGAATCAGAGGATAATAGTAACAGTGTACAGTCTAGTGTAGACTCAGTAGGCGGGGCTGAGAAATGGAAATGTCAGATTGAAAAGGTCAGTAAACAATCTTTTTTTTTCAATTTATTGCCACTGTGATCCAATAAATTCACTTCTCATAAACAGGATTTACCTCGAACGTTTCCTGGACATCCTGCTCTGGATGAGGATGGAAGGAATGCTTTGAGGCGTTTACTTACTGCATACGCTCGCCATAATCCTTCTGTAGGTTACTGTCAGGTATGCCTGCACAGAAAATGACATGTCTACACACTACCCCTCTGTCCCACTATTTCAGTATCATTGGCCTCCCCAAGTTCTCATCCCATTTCACAATTGGTATATGTGGCTTCATACTCAAAATTCAATATCAACCACACAGTTCTACTTTTCCTAAATTTGAAGTCACTCACATGTCCCAAAGATAGTGGGATGGAGGGAGTATATAATAACCATTATAATGTGTACAAAATATTTTATTTTGCAGTAGTCTGAAAGCTTTTCCATGTTAAATTACTGCAGGCCATGAATTTCTTTGCTGGTCTCTTATTGCTCTTAATGCCAGAGGAAAATGCATTTTGGTGAGCTGGAAGTCTGTTCGGTTTCTTTTTCCAAACAGACGGATTTCTGCCTCAATTTCCCCACTCTTAGGAGTATTGACCAAATTTATAGTGGTTTGGAGTTAAGATTATGACTGAAGTAGTAGTAGTTTTAACTAAAAACAGAGTTCTAGTCTGGTAACTGGAGAAAAATATGGTAACTTAACTGGAGTGTGGATAACTAGAATATGTTGAAAAGAACAAACCTATAGTCTTGGAAATAATTGATCAAGTTTATGTATTCTGGAATATATTTTTTTCACCCATATTTCGACAATACTTCTGGAGTTTCAATTTAAAGGGGGGAAAAATGATCTTTCAGGACTTTGATGGGCATTCTAGATGACTATTTTGATGGCTATTACTCGGAAGAGATGATAGAGTCTCAGGTAAGTGTCAAGGTGCATTTAATCTTGACTGAACCCTTTTGCATATCCTCTAATAACCAATTGCGCAATCGTAATATAAATTTAAAAGTGACATCAACCCAAGTATTTCACATCTTTTTTTGTCAGGTAGACCAACTCGTTCTTGAGGAATTGGTGCGGGAAAAATTTCCAAAATTAGGTACTTCCTTTATTCTTAGTTTTTTGACCCGACTCTAGTACCTATCTAAATTCTAATTTGGTAATGTCTTTGTTTGTCTTTACTGCAGTTAATCATCTTGATTACCTGGGAGTACAAGTGGCGTGGGTCACTGGACCGTGGTTCCTCTCTATATTCATGAACATGCTTCCTTGGGAAAGTGGTCAGGCTCTTTCTCCTAATTTGATATAAATCAATTAATTAATACTCCCTCTATCCCATGATTATGTTCTTTGTTTGACTTGGCTTGCTTTTGTAATAAAGTGGGAATCCTGTGGTTGAATTTTTTATAGAAGAGAGAGAAACAATCTGACTACATAATCTTTTCCACTTTCCTGAAACAATGATGATGACAATTTCAAAAGGAAAATGGATCAAAATGATAATCTTTTCCACTTTCTTTGAAAAGGAAAATGGATCAAAATTTTGGGACAACTCGAATAGAAAAACATGAATAAAATTAGATGAAGAAGAGAGTAGTGATTATTGCACCTATAGTTTTGCGGACTATGATGGTATGATGTTCTCCGTGCAAATATAAAATGAAACAATGATGATGACTATTCCAAAGTTTCATCTCACCATTTCTTCAATTGAAGGCTGGGGCACTACTTATTTTGCATGATTTTATAGTGTTAACTAATTCTTGGCAATACATCAGAACTATAAATATCCTACCACCGACCCCAACATAGTTGTGATTAAGGTGATGATGATGATGTACACCTATAGATGTTAGTGGAAAATTCATCTAAAGTAGTCTTCATAACTGGAAGACTCTGTACTGATTTTCCAGTTCTTTCAGTTTGTCCATATTTAGATTGCTTGTTAAAAGGCAGGTAACTGATGCTTTTATTGGATTCTAGTTCTTCGGATCTGGGATGTGCTTCTGTTTGAAGGAAACCGTGTGATGTTATTCCGGACAACGCTGGCTTTGATTGATCTATATGGTAATACTTCTGTTTGTAAACATTGGTTGATTCCAAAGTATCAAGTTTTTTTTCTAGATTGCTCTGAAACGATTACTCTTTATATGTTAACCATTCTTATGTAGGACCTGCATTGGTGACAACAAAGGATGCAGGAGACGCAGTCACTCTGCTGCAATCACTTGCTGGGTCCACATTTGATAGCAGCCAACTTGTTTTGACAGCGTGTATGGGCTATCAAAATGTTACTGAACCCAGATTACAAGAATTGAGAAATAAGCACCGGCCAGCTGTTAATGCTGCACTTGAAGAGAGATCTAAAGGTTTAAAAGTATGGAGGGAGTCTCAGGGTCGTCTAGCGTCTAAACTATACAGTTTTACACAAGATCCTGGCTCTGTGGAGGGAACCAATAAACCAGATAATAGTGTAGATCCTTCATCAGTTAATGACAATGTGGACGAGCTATATGTTAGCATGAACAAGAACTTGGAGAAGGGTTCTGGTCCGGATCTTCAAGATCAGGTTGCTTCCAAGTTCTATGCATGTTCTACGTATCATGCTCGTCTTTGATTTTCTCTACAAGGAATTACAGTTGCTGTTCCTTGTTACAGTGCTGCATTGTATTCTACCACTTCATAATAACCTTTACATCTCTTTCAGTTGCAATGGTTGAAAAACACATTTCATGCAAGTTTTGTCCATCAAAAACTTGGAATTGCGAGAAATGCTTATTTAAAGTGTGGTAAGTTTAAACTTCTGTGCTATGTGCAGGTGGTATGGCTAAAGGTTGAACTGTGCAAGTTGCTGGAGGAAAAAAGATCTGCTGAACTAAGGTAAAATAATCTTAGAAAAGCCTATCTAATTTGACTTCTGATTCCAACCAAATGGTGTATAATCATGCAGCTGAACATTTGTTTGGCCATTCATGTTCCTTTAAATCTAAATTTATAGCTTCGTGATATTTTTACTTTGTGATGTTGGGGAAATGGTGAAACATGAAGATCTTGGTGATCTTGGGGAAATGGGGAAATGGTAAATTCCTTCACACAAATAATCCACTCTCTACCTGCCACTCTGATGCAGCTGCTATAAACCTTCTGCTTCTTCCTTTTTTCTTTTTAATTTAAAAACCCCTCTGCTTCTTCAAAGTGATGTCATGATAAGAAATGTCAAACCAAGATAAGAATTCAACTTAGCTGGTGATGCATATAAAATTTTATACGGTCTTGAGAAGAAGTGGAACCATTGGTTGGAAAGCTCACGAGTCACGACTAACAATGCATGCCTAGAGTTTGTCCAATGGATTTTTGATGGCAAGTTTTCCGTCCTGTAGTCTACAACAACAACAACAACCCAGTTAAATCCCACAAGAGTAGGGTCTGAGGAGGGTGTGTGTACGCAGACCTTACCCCTACTCAAAAGTAGAGAGGCTGTTTCCAAAGAGACCCCCGGTTCAACGTCGAAAGTTGCATTGCTTGACTAACTGCTACTTCATTAATTAAAGAAGCGCAGACAGTTTAGAGATCCATTTTGATTTATTCCATCACACCCCAAAGCCAAAAAATGGTGAAATTTTGGCTCCATCGGAGATGATGGAAGAAAAATTAATTGTTCCCTCCGTCCTGTAGTGTCAAGCCAAATTAATTGTTCCCTCTGTCAGAAAAAAAAGAGCCTTGTCTGAGTAAGGCACATCTTTTTTTGTCAACTCAATCAAGGTACAAGCTTTTACGTGTTATGAAAGGTCACTTGTATCCCTAAAACTTATTTCAAAGATTGCATGGAGTAACTAACTAAAACTGCTTGCTGCTTGGCTTTACCAGAATTATACATAAAAATCAATGATAAATTTTAAAATCCTACTCCTTTTATGGACAAAAATCTTGAAACATAATCTTTTCTTGGGACAGATGGAGTATTGGTTTAAGTTCTATGCTCTTCATCACTTCATCGTTGGTTCAAATTGGAAAAAAGATCCTTAATTAATTGAGAAGCAAGACAATCAAAGAAAAATGACTATTTCATTATATTGAAAACACAAACTTTTTTTTATAAAATAGCTGGTGTTAATGTAAAAAAATAGCTTACAGATTTTTTATGACGTCATTTATACCCTTTACTAGTAATAAAATCAAACTTTAAGATGCATACCTCGGCTTAGTTTAAAGATGGCATGCTTTTTTTTGTCTGGTTTGCATAGTGTGACACAAACACACAATGTTGAAATCTCTGATTTATGTGAGTGCAGAGCTGAGGAATTGGAAACAGCATTAATGGAGATGGTGAAGCAGGATAACCGGCGACAGTTGAGCGCACGGGTATATCAGAGAAATCCTTATAATTGATTTATCATCTCGTTGCTGCTAAAGCAGGGTTTGCTTTCTTATTCTTGCTTATTCTGCGTATGGTCATGTGAATGTTTATGTTGGCCTTGAGTGAAGATGCAAGGTCAGGGAGTGCGTCGTTGGATGTGACTAGTATCAAATAGAAACCACTTCACACAGTAATTGGAGTAAAAGGGAAATGGGGATTGTATTTGAAATGTCATAAATAGATTCAAATGGTTATAATGTATTTAATCAGTGGAATTTGTGAATACTTTTTTTATAGATTGACATCATACTCACTCAACTTGGTACTAAATTTGTAACCAAATAAGAATATGCTTGGGTTTTGATATTGGGTAGAGTGTTTGAATTTGAATTGATGAAGAAACATTTAAAGGGATATCATAAACATTGCTTCTACAGCTGCATGTGAACTTCCCTGTCACGCTTGGACTGGAGACAAGACGTGTTAACTCTCTGGGCTCTGAGGACTGTTTACCTTATTAGTGTTTTTTAAAATTAATGATTTTGTTACAATGGGTGTTCCTTTGTTGTTTGTTAATGTAGAGTAATAATCCGGAGTATACAAGTTAATTGGTAATCTTCTTGCGGTTAGGTTGAGCAATTAGAGCAAGATATTGGAGAGCTGAGACGGGCTCTAGCTGATAAACAAGAACAAGAAAATGCCATGCTTCAAGTAAGTTAAATTTAATTCAACCCTTGTTTTTTTCATTTGGGCATAATAATGGATTCGATGTGGTGGGTGGTATAGGTTTTGATGCGGGTGGAACAAGAGCAAAGGGTAACTGAAGACGCACGGAGATTTGCTGAACAAGAAGCAGCTGCACAAAGAAGTGCCACAAAAATCCTTCAGGAGAAGTATGAAGAAGCTATGGCTTCCCTCTCAGAGATGGAGAAGCGGGTGGTTATGGCTGAATCCATGTTGGAGGCAACATTGCAGTATCAATCTGGTCAGACCAAAACCCAACCTTCTCCACGGTATGCACATCATATTAATAGTAGTAATTCAATTCACTCTTTCTTTAGGAAGATGGAAAAAGTTTCTCCAACTCAATTAGGATAAAATATGATTTTGCTCCAAATATGAAAACTATTCACACAAGGTGTGTGTTTGGGGTTGATAGATCTGGACAGCAAGATTCTTCCACTCAAATGCTAACCAATCAGGATGGGCATCTTCAAGAGATACCTGCAAGAAAAATCAGCCTTCTGTCTAGATGGCGGGACCGAAACAAGGTTTGTTTAATCTTTTGTAATTGTTATTATTATGGATTCCTTTGGAACTTCAAAAATGATAGAAGCGGAAGATAGAGAGGAAATAAAGGGGGGAGGGGAGGAATTTGGGAGTTCCAAACATAACATATACTAATTGATCAGGGGAAGCCTAGCAGCAGCTCAGAGGAGGAGCCAATGAATGAGGTTGAAAGTCCAAGGCTTCCATTGGAGACGACAATGAATAGTGGCCTTCCAGTTGCCGCAGAGCAAGCCTGAGAAGCCGGCCCTGCCATATATGCTTAATTGTCTGCCATACAATGGCTCCAACACAGGCTATGTTTTGTGTCCGATGAGATTTGATCCGAATTGTCCTATAAAAAAGAATCCAACATCATTTTGTTTGTTTCATAGCCCTGAGAATAATGGTGCATAGTTGAAGAAGTAATACATATAATATCATATGATACAATACGTGTGAATTAATAATGATGTAACATGGACAAGTGAATGCATACTCTTTTTTTTTTGTTCCCCAATTGTATAACCATTGATATGATATGATTCTTTGTGGGTCGGACAAGTACACGAAATTATAATGTTTGCTCATTTTATTATAAACCCAATACCGTATGAGAAGTCAAAAATTTGGTCAGCAAAACTCAAAACAAGCAGCAGTGATTTTTTTTCAAGGACCCTTGGAATTTGGGATGGTAGTTTTTTTTTCTTTTCTTTTTACATGGTAAACAAATAAGCACAGTTCAATAATGAAATGAATTGTAAAGTTTCTTTTAAAAAAAATAAGCAGTCAAAAATTTTATGCACAGAAAAGTCATACAAGGATAATAAAGCCTAGATGAGTTCCTTCTCCATGTAATGATAAAACTCTCTTTGGTACATAACCTCCTCCCTCAACTTTTAACTCCTCAAAAGAAAGCAGCACTGCTCAAACTAACTTTGCTTTTTTACCTCACACAAAGTTGCCATCATCGCTGCACCCTTCTTCGGGTCTTGGGATGGAAGGAGGGAATGAAGGCTGCCTTTGGTGGGCCATCATCTGGTAGGGTTCGTACTTCTGTGAGGCTAGATAGTTCAGGGCTGTGACCACGTCAGCCATAAGAGGTCTCATGTTGGGCTGCTCGTGGACGCACATTGCAGCAACAGCAAGGGCTTGATACATGCCCCTGAGTGGAAACTTACCCTTAAGCATTGGATCTGCCATTCGGGAGAAGTTCTTCCTGTCTTTGAACAACGGCCGTGCCTGTCAACATTATGCCACAATCAGAACCCTATAATAGATTATGAAGAGGACAAAGGAAACAAAAAAAATGTGTAGAGTGGAGAAAAGAAAAGCTGTGATATTGAGGGACTGGTTTAAGCCTTTTGCCCTCTGGTCATTTAGTTCAGAAGAGATGAATAAGGAGGGAATATTGTTTAGCTGATGAGTATTCAATTGCTACGAATTCAAATTCTAGTGTTTGGTTAACCATGTAATGGAAAACGAATATTGAATGCAAATGCCAAAACACCACTTTCTAGTTATACATGGTTTGCCACTCCTCCTAGAAGTATAGGGGTAATGATGTCTTATTGAGTCCAAACTTTCCTCTCACTGGGCATGGAAAAAACAATACAATTTGGTGGAGATGATTGTTTTTCCAGGAATTGAGGGAAAAAGATATTCACATGGAAACTTCATTCCTTTGTACGAATCATCAATTCTCTTTACTTGGGAATTGATGAACAGAGGAATCATTTCCCCGCGTACCACACGACTGTTAGCATAAGATTCAATAGTGAGGCACACAACAAAAAGACTTATGTGGAAGTGGGTGCATAGTTTTTTTTTTTTTTGGGGGGGGGGGGGCACACAAAGGACTCTTATGGAAGGACATATTCTATGGAGCCGTATCAAGCTCCCTTATTATTGCTCATTGTCACCTTCATTCAATGTCATAATGGATNTGGATCCTACTCCCAACAGAAACAGTCTCTCTGTCCCGCTATGAAGTTAACACTTTTTCACCCGACTCAAAATAAAATTTACACTTCTACCGTTTTGTTAGGAAAGAAATATGTGGCTCATAATATTTCACTTCTAAACAAATTTCAACCATACATTTTCAGTTTTCAAAGCGAGTGTAAAGTTCATTTTGGGATGGAGTCAAAAATCAAAATAGAAATGAAATGTGAAAGTGATGAGTTGAGATTGTTGTTATAGTCAAAGTCCCACTACAAGATTAATTTGTAAAATGAACATGGTACGTTGGCACACACGCACACCACCATAAAACTGAAAATAGGAGTTAGTTTCTTACCCATGCAACCAGATTCTGCTCTTCATAAGCTTTTGAATTGTCAATTGCCATTCTTCCGGTTATCATCTCTAGGAGCACAACCCCAAAACTGTAAACATCTGATTTCACTGTGAGCTGCCCAGTCATGGCATATTCGGGTGCACAATATCCATAAGTTCCCATTACTCTTGTTGACACATGGGTGTTGTCACCAACAGGACCCAATTTGGCCAGCCCAAAATCTGATAACTTGGGGTGATAGTCTTCATCAAGCAAAATATTTGAGCATTTCAAGTCTCGGTAAATTACTGGAGGATTTGCTCTATCATGCAAATACTCCAAGCCCTGTGCAGCACCGGTAGCTATTCTCATACGTGTATTCCAGTCAAGTATTTTTTTGTCAGGTGAAAGCTCTGATGGATCATTTTAAAAATATGAAACTAATAAGAAGAATGTAGAGTTATCATGAAGATGCAAAAATCAAAGGGTTTTTAAAATGGGGAAAATGTAGAATTATCATTCACTTTCAAATTTCAATTACTCCCTCCGTTCCACTATTTTTATCCCTTTTTATCTTATTTTTAAGTCACGGTGTCCCACTATTTTCTCACAAACCATATTTGGTCATATTGGTATGGCTCACATTCCTTTTCGCTTTACCTTACCTTTTCTTTACTTTTTTACATCAATATCAACCACACAATCTTACTTTTCTCAATCTTTGTGCCACTCTGTCATGATCCAAAAATAGTGGGACAAAGGGAGTTTTTGTTTACACTCATTTTATCCATATATTTCTAATAGATAGAGATTAAGAAATCTAAACATGCGCAAAGTCTAAGAAAGATTTATCATAATATCTTACATATTCGTTGATTTACTTTGAACATACAACAACAGACCCAGCAAAATCTAGAATCTCCTAAGGAGAGGGTGGGGTTTGGGGAGGGCATGTGTACGTAGACCTTACCCCTACCCAAAAAGTAATCGATTTACTTTGGACATACATCTAAATAAATACTATACTGAACTTGACTCGATCTTTTATTTTCCCCTAAATTTTCTTTCATTTTGCAGGTTCCAAACAGACCTTTAAGCAATATTGCCATGAAACTGGAAGATAACATCAGGATATATGAAATCAAATGCAAGAAATGTAAAATGAATATACCATGGAGATGGTCTTCTAGTGACCCCAAAGGCATGTACTCATATACCAGCAGTCTTTGATCTCCATCAGCACAGTACCCAATCAAGTTGACTAAATTTGGGTGGTGAAGTAGGCTTAACATCAATACCTCGACAAGAAATTCCCGGTTGCCTTGTAATCCATCTCGATCTAGTTGCTTAATAGCCACAATCTATCCAAAGGGATAGGTAGTTTGCACAACAATAATGTCATCATATGAAATATTTGAAGTACTAAGCAACCAAAATACATAATGCCTCTCAGAGAAGCTGCCAAATACATCACCGGATAAAGCGGGATTGAAAAAAAAAACAAAGATTCTATATTTCAAAATTGTTCATGGCTTTCAGGGATAGTAACTAAGGAACAGTTGTGTAGCTTCCTATCATACAAATTTTGGATGATACTCGTACTGGCATTTTAGCTATATGGCATAGGAATCTCATTTTATTATGAGATTTAAATCAACTAATCATGTGCTGAACAAGTAACTACATTCCTAAATATGTATCCTAAAAAATACTAAAACTATAATATATTTTGTCATCATCCTGAAGCACCAAGAAAGAAAAAAGAAACAAAAAGCATATATGGTGTAACATTGAAGAGCCAGAACCCTGCATCTGTTTCCAATTTTCAATGGTTGAAGATCTATGGGCTCAACAAACCTGATTCGTACTCTCTAATTTCCCTCTATATACTCTGCCAAAGCCCCCTTCACCTAAAAGACAGTCTGCCCTAAAATTCTTGGTTGCAGTAGCTAATTCGCGAAATGTGAACGTATGTGCTGCAATATGACCAGGACCTCCTCCTTTTTTGGATGCTTCCTTCTTTTCATCTGAAGTTGAATTTACCTTTTGTTCATCTGAAAGTATAAGAAAAAAATCATATGTTTAAGCTGTACAAGTATGCCAGGATTAAAAGATAAACGAAAGAAGCGATAGAAGTATATACTATGAGTAAGTCCCGGAGCAGAAAAAATGAGACAAAGATAGGTACGCTTGAGGATAGATAATAGATATAAGCTACACAGAACACATGGAAAAAAGCGAAAACCATGTCTCCACTGCGTACCTCACTATTCAACTACCATGACCATCTAAGATCTTTAACACTGAGTCACTGAGAATTCTCAGCTCTAGAGCATCTTTTTATCTTTTGCACATTCATGAGATTGCCCAAATTACAAGGCTTCTAATACTGTATCCTAACAACGTATCTAGTACAGTCTCACAAGTGGGGTCTGGGGGTGTAGGCATACCTTACATCTACCTATAAAAGAATCGTTGTATACCACATACAGAAAAACCTATACAAACATATCCCTATCAATGATATGGTCATCATTACCCACAGTTAAACATTATTACCTTCCAATCATGAAGAAAATTCAAAAACTTGTCATGGCATTACTGGAGAGATAACATTTATGGATGTGGAAGTGTGGAACAATCACAAGTCTGTTAGATTTTGTTATCATCTAGAAGCAGCTAGACCCAGCTAACCAAATCTCATTTGCAAATTAGGTATAACGTAGTATCATACTCAATTAAATCCATTCAATTTAAATTATACTGAATCTCATCCAATTCTCATTGTTAAATCTACATTGAAATTACATGTCAGCTGTATATAACCAAATATACAAAATGAAGATCTAAAAATTCAAAATTTATGTATGAGCGTGAAATCCAGAGAAACCCATTCAGATTCCAGAACAGAAAATTTCATCAGTATAAAGCCCTAGAATTACACCAACCCATGATTGAACATTTGAACAGATCACCAAAACTCACAAGCAAACACATACACATGATTTTTTACGGAATAAAATTTCCTAGACTTGAAATTGCAAGGAATAAGCATAAGGGCCCAGAAATGAAAAGATAAAAGAGACCAATCAGTTTCGATTTTTTAAAATCAATTCCATTACACGAAATGTACACATCAAGCATCAAGCGGTGTATCTTTCTCGTTATGTATTAGAAAACCTAATGTTGATGGGATCTGATAATCGGAGTTCTTGATTTGCTGCTGCTTTGCTTTCTTATTTGATCTTCTGAAACAACCCATGACTGCCCTCAATCACAATCTCTCTCTCTCTCTCGTCTGAGATCCTTGTTTGGTTTCCTTCCCTTGTGTTGATGAAGAGAAAATTAATTCAAATTTGTTGAAGTGTTCTTCGGGTATTGTCAGTGTATGCCTTTTCTGTTCAACTTTTGCATTTATGGTGAATGAATTGTAATAGTAGTAACTAGTAATCCCTCCTAACCACTTTGGTTAGACCGCTGGCCCACCCATCCCACTCTTTCCTATGAGGAGATATAAACACAGTTTTTAAAATCGAACCGGTTACCGAATTGGTAGTTCTGGTTGAATCAGTGGTTTAAACATATGTAAATATGCATGCGTGTGTGTCTATATATATATACTCCGGTATATATATATATATATATATATATATATATATATATAACTTTATATAGTAAACATAATACTCCTTTTGCATGTACATAAAAATTTATGATATTTATTGAAGTTATAATTAATTTAGTTTATTTGATTAGTGGAATTAGATTCAAAAATAAAGGTTATATTTAAATTAAATCTAAAGTACTATAAAATGAGAGATGCTTTCATTTGTTCACATATCTTGTCAAATATATTCCAAAAACATCCGAATGAATTTTTTTTCACCACAAGTACTTCATTTTTTTTAAAGTTTTAACAAAAGAAAAAAACTTTTTAAGTCCGGAATATATACTATTTGCATCAAATATGAAATAAAAAATATTGTTGCTTAGTTGGTGCATAGCTTGACTAATGTCTAAGAGGTTTATGTTTCGAATCTTAGTGAGCTAATACTTTTAGCCATATTTCACAAAAAAAAAAAAAAAAACTGGTTCGACCAATTGAACTAGTTTGTTCTTACTGATTCAAACTGGTTCAAAGCCTAACACGGTAAAAGGGACAAGACCTGACCAGTTCGACCTCCGACTCACCGATTCCTGATTCAAACCAGCCAGTCCAGTCTGGTTTTCAAAACTATGGATATGAAGAACTAGAAGTGGACAAAAATATCGGCCCGACATTGTTACGAATTGAACCGAGTCCACATTGTATCAAGCAGAAAAGTAGGTTTTTAAATGATTCTAGTAAACTATGTTATGAACCAAACAAAATCATTTTCAAAATGGTACAAGATTGTTTCTCAAAAGATAAATACCGAATCAAACTGTTACCTCTAAAATATTAAATTATTAAATTAATTATACATTTACATTTGTTTTTCTTTAGTAAATTAAGATGATATTTATTTGATGTGGCTTTAACATAGTTAAACTTATCTTTTTATAGTATTTTATTATCCCGAAGTACAACTCAAATTATAATATTATTTGTTGAAAATCAAACTATAATAATTGTTTGTCAAAAATTGTAACCAAACAATACACTTGTTAAGTAAGAATGCATAAAACAAGTGGTGCGCCAATTTTTTTAATTACGTCGATTGTTTATACTCCGTAATGAATAAGAATATTTTCAAAGCATCGAAGTATTATAGAATGGTTTGGAATTACTACGGCATGGTACCATCCCGTAACTGAACGACATGGTACCGAATGGGTTTAGGTGTAAAACCGAAATCGCATCGAACCGTTCGAATAGTAATAGTATGGTACGGGTTCTTAAAAATATTGGATCGTCACGGACCGTGCTCACTACTACGAACAACTGTATGAGTTTATGAACACCAGATCAGGCGGCGAACCCACAATACAATATGGACGAGTTTAGATTTTGTGTTTAACATGCATTGGCCAGTAGCCATCCCCGCATCATATACATATACATATACATATACATATATATATATATATATATATATATATATATATATATATATATATGCAAAGACAAACAAAAAAAGTTTGAATGAAAAAGAAAAAATACTAAACCAAAAAAATAAAATAAAAAAGGGTTTGAACAGAGAAAAATAAAACAAAAAATTTAGAAAATAACATTACATAAATTTCATTATTTATTTTAATTAGAAAAGATTTAATATAATTTAATTAGAAATATACAAATAGACTTTACTTGATTTAATTATTATTTTTAAAAAAAATTAATTGATAGACTTTATTTTATTATGATACAATTTCCATTTTCTTTTTGTCGTGCTCAATGAGGACTCCTCTTCAAGTTGAAGTTACTTCGTCAATTCCTTGAGGTAAGGCCATCTAAAGTCTAAACGATCTCAATCAAGAGAGCCATACCGTTGAGGCATAAGCCACACATGTGATCAAGGGGGTCATATCGTCTTAAACAAACAATGAAATTGTTTTGCACCATTGTTGATTAAAGACCTTAATATGTGAATTCTAAAGTTGAACGGTAATTGTCACTTTATTCTTACATATGTCAACGAGTAAACAATGTCAATTAACACATGCATGTGAACAACCCCACTATATATATATAGGATTTTATAGAAGGAGAATAAGGAGGACATTCAATTATACACACACAACATTCAATACATTATGAGATAGAATAAGAATATATTCGGTACAACAAATTTTCTCGATCTAAGTCATAATGTGTTCTGCGTCACACTTAAATTCAATGTTTTCGATTCTAATTTCTAACCGCTCAACTACGACTTTGTCCGGCTTGTCTTTATCAGGTCTACTCAATCAAATTTACACCATCAGACGTGATTCTTAGAATCTTAGAGATGGTGAAATTATATTGGAATTCATTTACTATATGAAATTAAATACCTAATGATCCGACAAAAATATCCTCATAATTAATTTAATAATTTCAATAAAAATGATACCACATGACAAAATCGGACCATCCATGTCATTTTTTATTTTTATCATAAAATGCCACTAAAACCAACACACACTTAAATTTGGATAATAAAATATTGTATTTTTAAAAGTACAAAAAAGAAATATATTCAAAGATAAGTATTTAACATAAAAATGGGAAAAAGAGACAAAAAGAAAGAACTAGAATTTATTAAAATTTTCTCCATGAATACTATCCCGCAAATTATAAGGTACATCGGGCTGTACTGTTTTTTCGGTACATCCGGCAATTAGATCACCGGAAGGGGAGGCGCAACTACGAAGGAGGGAGAAAATTTTCAGCAGTACCCATCGGAAGAGGAAGAGACAGAACTCACAGAAGCGGAAGACGACATGGAGCATCGCATCGCGATTGAAGAGGAAGAAGAGGAGGCCGACAGCAGTGATGAAGGGAAGCTCTGTGGCTGCAATGGACAGGTAGTGAAGGTGGCGGCAGCTACAAGATGCTATGGGATGGACCAGATTTGTAGATTGATGAACAGTAGCTTGGATGGGCAACTACAAGACTATATTATTTTACGAAATGGCTAGCAAAAATGAACAAACAAAGTGAGTAAAGTTTGACCCGATGAATAGTGTCTGGAAAGATCTATGGTGTACAGAGAGAGTATTATTTTATTATTTGTTATTATTATAATCATTATTTGTTATTATTATTTTATATAATTAGTAGTTTGACTAATCTAACTTTTTTTTAGTAGTTTTACTACTCTAAAGCTTTAATTGAAAATTACTTTTAGTAATATATTTATGTATAGTTTATAAAATTAAAATTATTTATTCACTTGGTTATAAATTATACGTCGTAATTCATAATAGTATAAAATCTAGAACTGTTTTTTATTGTATCATACTTCCTCCGTCCCAGTGAATTTGTCTAATTTTACTTTTTTGAGTCAAACTAGACAAATTGCGAGCTTCAATTTGTCAAACTACTAATTAAAAGTAATTTTCAATTTTGTCAAACTAACAATAATTTTAAATTAAAGCTTTAGAGTAGTAAAACTACTAAAAAAGTTAGATTAGTCAAACTACTAATTAAATAAAATAATAATAATAAATAATGATTATAATAATAACAAATAATAAAATAATAATAACTAATAATAATTAATAGTAATAATATAATAATAATAGAAGAAAACGAAGAAGAAAAAAAGGAGAGGGATGGGAGACTGAATTGGATGGGATGGCGTGGAAGTAGAAGAAGATGAAGAAGAAGAAGAAGAAAGAAGAAAAAAAAAGAAGAAGAAAGAAGAAAGGAGGAGCCGAGGAGATCTAAAGAGGATGAAGGAGAACAAGATAAAGGAGAGGGAAATTTGACGGACACATAGAGGGAATGTCACCCGAGAGTAACTTTTTAGATATTTTAAGGTACCCCGGAGTATATTTTGAAAAATAATGGGACCTGTGAGTTCTTATCACAAAAATATGCAATTTTTTGGTAAATCATATTTTAAAACGAACATTTGTAGTTGTATAAGTACCATCCGGTGGTACTATCTCTAGGTACAAACATACTCATACAGTCATACTAATGTTTACCCCGTGCTTCGTACGGGCTCGTATATATTCTAAACTTTTGAGATTTTATAAATATAATTTTAGTTGTTTTAGTTTCTAATAGTGACAAAAAATGTTTTAGACTGATGGAACATACAGAGTATATTGGTATGTTAATTTAAAAAAACAATTTTACAAAATTAATAATCATTGAATTAAGTACTAAATAGAAATGGTTTGAATCAATAAAATATTATAATAAAAAGTGGATCAGTTACATGCATAATGATACATCATTAGAGAATATATATGTGTCATAATGTTATTTGTCAGTTGTCACCCTTTAAATTTATACAATCATTTTTCGAGAAGTAATAAACTAAAATAAGCTGTGGATAGTATAAAAATAATTTTATGTGTGTGTACTCAAAATACGAAGTTTATTTTACAATGATGAAATATATATTCAGAATTATTAAGGAATGAAAAATTTTATACAAATGTATTAAAAGATATTTAAAATAGGTGCAATGCATATATCCACTTCAACATTACAACAACTAAACTCTCTTTTATATTTATATATATATATATATATATATATATATATATATATATATATATATATATATATATATATAGGATATAGGATACTATCCTCCAGGACCTCAACCCCTCAGCTTATCACCAAACACAAAACCCTAAATTAGAACCAGCGGAGTAGCTCCAAGCAGGTCAACGATGAACGCTTCAACACCAAACCTCCTAGAGGAAGCCCTCGCCGGCGACGAAAGCCTTTCCAGTCCCACAAGGCGCGGCCGAGTGGTGGTGATCGAGGACTGCGTGGAGACTAACGGCGGATTCCTGCTCCACCACTTCATCAAACGCGCTCTCTCTCCCACCTCATCCGACGTCGTCGTTTTTCTGGCACTGGCGCAGCCTTTCTCGCACTACGACCGCATTCTCCGCAAAATGGTTGCTTCTTCTTTGCTCTTCTCAATTCTCAATTTGACTCGTGATTATTTATTTCCCAAAGCAATTTCGGAGTTTTTAGAGTATATCACAAACTTGAGTGGTTAAGTTGGTTCCTTAACATGTTAATTTAAACATGGTATCGGAGCTCTTATGTCATGAGTCCAAATCTCACAAAAAATCAATGTTCACTTCAAAAGAAAAACAGTACTCCGTAATAAATTAATGCTCACTGTAAAAAATTAATGTTCTTCTAAGGAGAGGTTAGAGTTTATCAGTGTGAATCAACTCTTGAGAGTTGAGACTCCATCCACAAACTTAACTTTTAGGTTGGCTCCTTTACAGTTGGAAATTAGATTTATTTTTTATTAATCGATTATTTAATGTGTTTGTGTAACAGGGTTGCAACTTAGGTGTACATAGGGATAGTAAAAGATTCATATTTCTGGACGTGCTCATGATGGAGTTTACAGGTGAATTTGTCAAGAAATTTGGCTTATTTGAAGAAACTGGAAAACTTTGCTATAGAGATTTCATTTTGTATTTAAGTTCTAGAAGTGTGTGTTCATCTGATGCATGACATAGAAAGGGATTTGAAAAACTTTATTCCGTATCTTTTACACAATGATCATTATATTTTCTTCTTTCAATTCAAGTGGGACTGAAATACTGAATTTGGAGCGATTAAAAAGTGAAATTGTATCATGGACATGGGAAAAAAGTTGAGTTTGAAATGGTCACATAACTCTTAAAGTAGACAAGTTCCTAAAGAAGATGAAGATTGCATTATCTTTTGTGTATGCCGGCTGTCATATGGCTCATGTCTACACGGTCAAAATACTATTGCATTAAAGGAACCTGAATGGCATCTAAAGCATTAAACTTTTGAAAGTTGCTAAATTGCTAACAGCTGAAATGCTTCATGGAGTATAGTTCTTCACCATAAATGTAAGTCTTCTTTGACTTGGCTAGACAGATGGAGGGGAATCTATTGAAAATGGACTGCTTGCTTTATATGGAAAAATACAGAAAGCAGTGGAAGCTTCTTATACGTCCACAGGCTCTAGAAACATAACCGTCATGATTGATGATGTATCGCAGATTGAAGTAGCTGTCAATGGCTCATCAAATCATGTATTAGATTTTCTGCATTATTGCTACACTTTGACAACAGAGTTTGTAAGGAACTGCATTCATTATTTTACGCATTGCTTGTTTTAAACCTATAGCTCTTAAAGCCAAGCTAATATTTGAAGTTTTTTTTAAAGGGTTGTTCGCTTGTGACCCTTAATCATGAAGACATCTATTTGAGCTCAGATAAGCCCGGACTGATTCTGCAAATGGAACACCTGGCAGATGTGGTGATAAAGACAGAACCTTTGACGACCGGATTGGCAACTGATGTGCATGGACAGGTAGACACTTCTTAGACAGGTCTTGTGAATATAGGTGACTTTAATAATCTTTCAGTGTGAGTTATTCTTATGTAGGCTTCCTCCTACAGTCCTACTCTAACTTTAAGTTAAACCCAACTTTCTGATGGCAAATTGAAATTGTGTGTACCAAAGTAAGACTCAAGGGTGAGGTTTGCGTAGCTTGCCAGTTGTTTCTGCGAATCTACCCTGTAGGCTTAAGCTTGAAATGTGTATTGCTCTCCCCTCCTGACAAAGAAAAACACCTTTTTCAATGATTATTTTGTCCCCAAAAGCTAGATTCATGTTTCAGGTGCCTTCAGCACATGAAGGCTTTTTCATTTAATTTTCAATAAAAGTCCTGAAGTTTAATACAATAAATTTATGTAAAACAATGCTTTCTTTAAACAGTATGAACCGTGACTTACAACCCTTGTACCTTACCAAAATTTAAAACATTTACCTTGGTTGAAAATGAGATTCATCATCATCATTTTGTGGAGGGAGGTAGTATTTGTTAAACATGTACTGTTGTTTCTACCAAAGTTTTCTTAACATTTTAGGAATCACTTAAGTTTCCCTAGAATCAACCTATGCGGCATGGAAATTAAAATCGTGAAACATGAAATGAGAAGGGGATCAATATTTATAGAAGTATAGCAGAAATATTGGAAGAAACATGTAAATATTAAATTTATAATTATAATGGTATGCATGTAAATATAAATAATTAATTATGTATGTGAATTAAACATGGGTTAATCACATTTTAAAGAGTTAAATGTAATGCAGTAATATTAGAATGTGCATGTTACATAAGGATTATAATGTTTAAAGATTCATAATTGTCCCTAAGAACATAATTCATGCTGATATTAGATCATTAATTTTAAAACGTAAGAATACAGTCAGCAATTTATGCGAGAACTCTTTTTTCAATAGAATCCTTTTTTTGTTAGACGCCTTTATAAAACATTCCTTTATTTATTGGGCAATTTTTTTTCTGAATCTAACAAACCTGAAAAAATTTGGTAAGCTTTGTGTAAGTTTTGGAAACATCTATGAAGTGAGGAGACATTTTTCTCCTAAAGTTCCAAGCATTACTCCCCCTAACTGTATGCTTCTTGTAGAACTCTTGGCATTTTATAAATCTGATTAGAATTGTTCTCATAAGGTGGTGTAGTCTATCATGCTTTATTTTGTTAACATGCCATTTTTGTGTGATGTTTTCTGCAGTTGACAGTTATAAATAGGGCAGTAAGTTCTGGCTCAAGAAGCGTTAGGGCCAAAGTCCATAATTTCCACTTCCAAGTTAAGGAAAGTGTTGTAGAGTACTTTTATCCCGGGAGTCGGAATTGAAGTAATGACAAATTTGCCAATTGAGTTTAGTCAGGTTTGTTTTTCTTTGAACACTATATGTGGAGAGTAGACATACATCCATTTTCTTGTTTGGAATTTTTAATAACAAGCATCTCTTGTCGTTACAATTAAGATGGATTAGTCATTGTGTAGTTTAGGTTTTCCGAGTAATATTCACTCAAACTTTGGACAAACAACTATAATTGGCCATGAGAAAAGTATCTTTTGGTCCTTCCACTGAAATTTCAGTTTGATGGGGATGAAATATTTCCTTCTAAAAAAGTATTTAAATATGATCTTGCACATTATGATCAGGAGGATACTAAAGAAGAGTAAGCTGAAATGTGCTACTCTAGATTCAACTTGCGTTCAGTGTCATCCTTATTATGCTCTAAGAAACGTTTCTGAAATTTTTGAAGAGGGAGGCAGCATGTTTGCAAACTTCCAATTTTCAATTAGAAGGGATGACTTTCTTTTTTCTGGCTGATATCAGTTGTTAGTAAAACATGAATTTTCTTGTGTGGTAGAAACGTTGTTTCCTCGTCTCTTTCCTACACCATTCTCTTTGTTTTTGACAACTCTGTGATACATTAATCTGTTTTAAATGCCATTTTACACATGATTGATAGAATCATGCTTTGGGTGTTGAGCTTGGAAACTACTCTAAAAACCAGTGTCCCTTGGAGGTAGACACTAGATATAGGGCCTAGGTGGGTTTAGACGGGATTAACTATTACTTGGTGGGACCAAAGCAATAGGAAGTCTTAGGCAGCTAAGGGAGGTCTAATGTCCAGACGGGGCATAGGTGGAGTTAGGTGAGAGTTTTTAGAAGACTGCTAAAACTAGAGCCAGGGTCTGTTTGGGTCTATCTTTCTTTTCCCCTTTTGACTTCAAATGTCGTCTTGCAATCGTCTGATATTAGATGCTTGTTGTAGATTAGGCATTCTTTATACACAAGCATATTCTTTCATACATGGCTCAAGCTGCCCCAAGTCCAATTCCAAGAGATGTAGGCTATGTTTGGGGTTTTGAAAATGCTAACCACAAACAAAGCCATATGTATTGTCTTTAAATAAAATTAGAGGATTGCACTTTTTTTTTTTTTGCATCCATTATTCTTATATTGATAACTATATACTCATTGTAGGGGGGTCGTCGGTGGCGGGATTCCGATCAATTTACAGTAGGTACTAGGTAATATAACTATCTGTTGTGTTTAACCCAATATTTTATGTATCAAAGTTGGTCCCAGAATTATAAATCCATCATACATATGAAAGATGTTTCCTAGTTTGAATAGTAGTAGTAGGTATGTTTTTTTCTGCAAGCATGCATGTTAGTGTTTCAACATGTAAGATTTTAGTTTTATTACCCGTTTGCTTTGGGAGAACATTTACGGAGATTAATGGACGAATGATGATTGAATTAGAAAAACTCTCCCGTCTAATTAAACAGAAAATTACTTACGGGTGGCGCGAGTTTTGTCGAAATAACTCTCAGGTCCTTCTATTTTCAAGAAAACAACTGAGGTTCTTATATTTTGTTGTAATGATTGGGAGGGGACATTTCATCCAATATTTCATTCATAAATGTTAATAAATGTATTTTTTTCTTATTTTTCCATTGCCATTTTTTCCTATTTTGTCATTACTCGATTTTTTTCTTTTTTAGAAAATATTTTATTTCATTTATTTTAATATAATACAAACAATTTTGAATTTTTATCCGATTTTATACAAGAAATTCTAAAATAACACTTTAAAAAAGAGTAACAAAAAAAAGAAAAATAAAAAAAATAAAAAAAGGAGCGACTTAAAATTTATTATCTTAAAATATTTAGAAAAAAAAGGAAAAAAATACATTTATTTACGTTTATGGATGAAATATTGGGTGGAATGTCTCCTTTCAGTCATTACAATAAAATATAAGGACTTCCGTTGTCTTCTTGAAAATAGAGGGACCTAAGAGTTATTTCGACAAAACTTGCGTCACTCGTGAGTAATTTTCTGCTAATTAAATTGTTTGTTTACTATTTGCATAGTCGAGATTTATTTCTTTCTTTTCATTAGTTATTTGATAAAATAATAGTCTTTTCATCACTAATTTTGTAGATCTCTTAATATAGTTTTAAAAAATGTAATTTTTTTGTGAGACAGAAGAAATATAATACTCCGTATTATTGTCTCTTGTTCTATATAACTTTTTATATACATTTTTTATACATAAATTTTATTTTTACAAATTTTTTAAATTGAGTTAGAAAAAAATATAAGTATTATAAATCACATTGTTTTGGGACAAAGGAAGGCCAGATGGCAAAAGGATCCAACATGGATCGGATTGATATTCATATACTCAATTTGGTATTAATACTTATATATTGGCCTTTGACTCTTTGTTTGTTTTATTAAGTCAAAACAATCTATATATGTGACATGTGTGAATTAAGTAAATCCACGTCTATTGCATCTTTCTTAGGGGCTGTTTGTTTCAGCCTCTTAATAGTTCAGATGTCTGAATAGTTCAGCACTTAATGGTTCAGACTGTTTGTTTCAGCCTCTTAATGGTTCAGATGTCTGAATGGTTAAGAGATTTGTCTCTGAATGGTTAAGTATTATACAGAGTCTGAATGGTTAAGACCTCTTATCTGAATTGATCAGACATTTGCCTCTGAATAGTTAAGCAATATACTAGCTCTTAATGGTTCAGACCTCTTACTGGTTCAGCACTTAATGGTTCAGACTGTTTGTTTCAGCCTCTTAATGGTTCAGATGTCTGAATGGTTAAGAGATTTGTCTCTGAATGGTTAAGTATTATACAGAGTCTGAATGGTTAAGACCTCTTATCTGAATTGATCAGACATTTGCCTCTGAATAGTTAAGCAATATACTAGCTCTTAATGGTTCAGACCTCTTACTGGTTCAGCACTTAATGGTTTAGACCTCTTACTGGTTCAGTACTTACCGATTCAGAAGTTATCAAACAACTCCTTAGTCTTCTTATTTTCATTTAAAACAACAATTCTTTCCGTTCTTGAAAGATTACTACTACTCCGTACAATTTAATTTTTTTGTCAAACTATAACATCCTTTTATGGTAAATTATGGTTTTGTCAAACTAATGTAAATTTAGTTAAATTAGGTTTATTTTAAAATATTTAATTTTATAATACTTCATATTTAATTATTTTAAATTATATTTAATTCGTGATGAAAAGATGTCACAGTTTGACCAAAAAGTCAAACTGTCGTAATCTTTTGGAGATGAAGTGAGTATTTAATTAATTTCTTCTTATTTGACTTTTCATGATTTCTAATGTGGTAACATGTTGATCATTAATATTGATATTTATACATAGATATAATTTCAAAACTATTTTTTAAAAAGAAAACTATTGATATTACATTTATATTGAAACACAATATAATTTTTTTTGCATATTAAACCAAAATTAACAAATTTTAACCAACAAAAATCAAACGGAAAGATTAAATCTAGACATACAGAGTATTAATTTTCTAAACCATGTAGGTTGCTCCTTTTTTTTTGGTTTGGGTGAGGTTTCAATCCTTGGTGGGGAAATTGCTCCAATTCAAAACAATAATTTCATTCAAACCATCTAAAATACCCAACTGGTGTTCAAATTCAAACCATAACACTATGTTTGGTTTGTGGAATTTGAAATGAAAAGAGAGAGAGAGATGTTTTTTCTCTTTTTATTCTCCAAATTTAAAGTAATATTCCGTATTGTTTTCTTTCTTTTTAGTTCATTTCTTCTCTTTTTTTCACTCTTATTTTACTTTTCTTTTCCCTTTTAAATTTGTTAAATCAAACATAGTGTAAAATTTTCACATCACTAAGTACTTTTTTCTTGAAATTATGTTAAATGCAATCGAGCTAATTTGGTTAGCGGGTCTAGGCTTCCAATTTTTTTTGCTAATTATGCCCAGTGAGGCGTGCTATTCTTGACCACGTGAATTGGACGCACAATTTAAGAAAAATGAAATAGTACAATTAATATTAATATTATTATATACAAACATAGTACTTTTCTTGTCCGAAAATAAACAAAAATGGCATGAATTTTAAGATAAAAGTGAAAAGTGTTAAAAATGTGTAATTTTATCATTCCTTAAAAAAGAATGTGTTCCTTTGTTGGAAGATGCTCTTTTTCACTATTTAAGTTTTCAAGTATTGCGGTTAACAATAGAGGGCTGAATGAGAATAACATTAGCGTATTGGATAAAATTTTAATGGTACAGATTACTTTGAAAACACTAACGCTAAACATTATCCGTCTATAGCCTTTTCGAAACGCTAACACTATTCCCAAACAGGTCTAGAAAAAAATATTCCTTAGATGAGATTAATTCTAATGGATCAAAACCACCCAATATTACGGAGTACTATTAAAATGCTCTTGTAAAAAAAAATATGTGATAAACAGATTTTATAAATTTCATAAGCTGATATAGATTTCGAATGAGGTTATAATAACCACAATTTAATACTCTCTCCGGTCCTTAAAACTTTTCCTATTTTGACTTTTTTGGGATTAAACAGTGGCACACTTTGACCACAAATTGAACATAATCTAAACAAATTAATGATATAAAACTTTGATATATCAAAATTATATCTTTAGATGAACCCAATTATATTCAATTTAATTTGTAATTAAATTTACTTTTTTCACAATTTATGGTCATATAGTATTACTGTTTGACTAAAAAAATTAAAACAAGAATGATTTTTAAGAATCATTTTTTTTTTCATTTTGAATTTTATTAATTGTCGGTCTTGTTCTCAGGTTATAACAAGTTGTTTTGTCAAGAAAATGTCATGTCCTTCAATAGCTCTTTCAAATACTAGTAAAAATATCACACCCTCCAAACCTAATCACCCACAAACATAAGAGCTTTATCAGTCATTTTATTTTCCCTCCCCTCCCCATATCTAACAGCAGCTAAAAACAAACAAAAATACTACGGAGTACATTTTACATTCCCTAATTTTAACAGATCCACTCATTCCCCGCCTAAGAAAAACAATTCTCAGAATATTCCCACAACGTACCAGAGTTATGGCATGAATCAAGCAGAACACGACCAAAGCTTGGGAAAGTTTGGCACAAAGATTTCTTTCGACTGCTGCCTGGGAAAGTTCGGGAGAAGCTCCACCAAATGGAGTGCTTCAGGTGTGTCACTAAGGTATCTTAAGATAGTAGAAGTGATTTTGGAGTCTAAAACAATTCCCTTATCCGACATTTCGTGGAGCAACCGAAGTATTTCATCTGATTTGCCCTCCTTCAGACTCAAGCCCTTGAGCAAAGAATCATAAACAAGGATGTCGGGGGTGAAGCCAGATGCGACCATTTTGTCAAACAGATTCTTTGCCACCTCGGTCTGCCCTAGATTCGAAAACCTACTTATTAGTATGGAGAAAGTGAAAGCGTCGGGTTTCAACCCCTCTTGAAGCATATGGGTTAGCAGTTGTTCAGCAAGTTGCAGGTCTCCGGCTTTCAAAGCTGCGTCAATGATGATATTATATGTGACTGAATCGGGTTTACACTCTCTGTCATTTAACATCTCTTGAAACAATCCTTTTGCTTGTCCTATGCTGCTTTCCTTGCATAAAGCTGCCATGACCGAGTTGTAGTCGAACACCCTACGGTTTCTCATGGTTAGAAAAATTCCCTTTGCGATGTTTAGCATATTTAACTTGCAAAACCCGTCGATTAAGGTCCCATAGGACAAGGAGTCTGGAATAAAGCCAAGTTCGGTCATCTTCTTCCACGTACACATAGCTTTCCCAACATCACCTTCCTCCTTTAGATGAGCTCCTATGAGCACAGTGAAAGTTTGGACATCGACAAGATGCTTGTTCTTAATCATCATCTTTTCATGAATCTCTGCAGCTTGACATGTGCGCTTTTTTTGACACAATGCATGAACCAGAAGAGTGACCGTTCGGACATCTGGTTCAGCATAATCCTTTTCTGTACACATTGAGTTAAAAAGTGACAAGGCATCATCTACCTTCCCATGGTCACAAAGCCCCATCATGATTGTATTGAAGGTCACCACATTTGGCTTCTCACCCTTCTCTATCATTACTTGTAAAATATTATAAGCATCGGTTAGTAATCCTTTAGTACACAGTCCACGGATCAGAACATTGTAAGTTGTGTTTCCAAGTCCTAGACCTTTCCCCAGCATCAGATTAAACACCTGCAGTGCTTTATCTACCTTCCCGTCTTTGCAAAGCCCATCGATTATGCTTGTAAATGTGACAGTATCAGGTTTGACTCCACACTCCAGCATAGAATTGAATATCACCATGGTTTCTTTAAGTTGACCCTTCTTGCAAAAGCCATTTATCAAAGATGTATATGTGACTACGTTCGGAGATACCCCTTGCACTAGCATTTCATCAAACAGCTCTTTGCCTCTGTCCACCATACCTTTACCACAAAGCCCATTTACCAGTGTGCTATAGGTAAACACGTCCGGTTCCAACCCCTTGATCTTCATCTCCTCCAGCAATCCCATTGCTTCGTCCACCTTGTCGTCCCTGAAAAATCCATCCATCAATATAGTATATGTGAGCAAATCGGGAGTAAGATTTGCAGTTTCCATACCAGCCCTCAACTCCAAAGCCTCCAGCAATCTGTTTGCATTGCAGAGTCCTTTAATAAGAGTGTTATAACTAACTCTGTCAGGGGACACCATGGGGTTCCCCTCTGATTCACATAAAAGTTCCACCCCCTTGTCAACCATGCCATTTTCACAGAAACCTTTCAACAACATATTGAGAAGGTACACATTGATAACAAAACCTCGCTTCAGAATTATTCCAAACACAGAAAAGGCCAAATCAGGCTTGTGGGTATGCACGAAAATCTCAACCAAGGCAGCTAAAGTTAAAAAACGTGGGGTAAACTGAGCACGATTAAGGGTGCAGGTAATTTTACCATACACGTCAAATGCAAGTCCATATGCCTTGTTCTTAACCAGAGTTTCAATGAGAAAATTGCAAGTAGATGCGAAGGGAACTTGCATCAAATCAACAACTGCATGCTCAAAGAGGTGCACCGCCTCTACTATCACTGAATTAGGGCAATGCTTTGAAGAAAGAGATGACTTCAACTGAGAGTCCAGTTTCTGGGCGAGCATATCACTAGGAGCTACCGAAGGATCAGAAGAGAAAGAAATGTGTTTGATGGGGTTTCCGGTAGCCAACAAGGTAGTAAGCTGAAACTGAAAACGGAGGTCCAACTGTTTCTTAAAAACCATCATAGTTCTCGAGAAGGAGCATAGCCAGGATTCTTTTCACCTGGGCTATATGCCTGGGTGTAAAATACAAATGAAGAAATAAGTTGTCAAAAATATAAAAGGATGTATCTTATATTTGATTATTTGTCACTTTCAAAAACAAGGGAAAACATACATTAATGGTGTTGTGCTTAGATTCTTCTTAAGCTCAAAATATATAATCACTCCATTTCATTACTACCTAGCATAATTTTTTCAGCAAATTATCGTTTAACATGAAAAGCCATTTAATTAACCTGCTCCTTTGCTTCAAAAAGAAGTGATAGTTTTCCTTTTCTTCATCCTTGATGTTCCATTATAACTAAATAAAATATTAGATGGTAAGAAGCACACATTCACTAATTGACCAAACAAATAACTGAGCTAATATATGAGAACAAATTCAAACTTGTGTTGAAAACAATTTTCTTTTTATAATGGATGTAAATAGGCAAAATATTACGCCTTTATGAGAATTTTTTTAACCAGTTCTGGGAAAAAAAAGATAAAGGCTTAATACAATTAGAACATAAGACAGATTTAAGATCTGAAGAATAGGGCAAAATAATACTATGAACGCAAAGTAAGTGCGAATATACCTCCTGAAAACCTGAAATTGGTTTCAAGTTCCAATATATGGAAACTGGAAGATGGAGTTCGCCGGCCTCCTGTTTGGATTCTGGGGTCTCAATGATACGACCTTCTACCCTTCTGTATGCTACGGTGCGTTTGGTAGGAGGTAGGCACAGTAAGGCAAGCATTCTTGCCTTGTGGTTCGGCTATGCCCATCATTCTTAGCTTTCTGTTTACACCACGGCGGAGAGCAGGGAATAGGGGCGGCGAAGAGATGAAAGGGGCGAAGGGAAGGAAAGGGTAAGATTAGGACTGACTTGGCGGGGCTGTTTGGGCAACTTAATGTTAGAATCAAATGTTGAATCAGTAAGAGGTCTGAATCTAAGTGCTGAACCACTAAGAGATCTAAACCATTAAGAGATAGTATATTGCTTAACTATTCAGAGGTAAATGTCTGATCAATTCAGATAAGAGATATTAACCATTCAGATTTTGTATAATACTTAATCATTCATAGGCAAATCTCTTAACCATTTAGACTTCTGAACCATTAAGAGGTTGAAACAAACAGTCTGAATCATTAAGTGCTAAACCATTCAGACATCTGAACCATTAAGAGGCTGAAACAAACAGCCCCTAAATCTGGGAAGGGAAGAGGACGAGTTGGTATATGGTACTCATTTCGTAGTACTCGTTCTCGGGAGGTAGTACTCATTTTAAAATAAAGAAGTACTCATTTTTACATTGTCTAATATAATTATATTAAATAGCGTAGTGTTCATTCTTTAAAAAACAATACTCATTCTCAAATAAGAAAATGTTCATTCTGAAATAAAGTATTGTTCAATTTTTTTACAATTAAAAAGTTCAGTACCATCATCAACTTCTTCCTCTATTCGATTCGTTCTTACTCATTTATATTCTCGGAGAACTTAAAACTCAGATTTATTCATGTTTGCATTGAATAAGAATATAATAATTCTCATAAGTGCTGGTACTCCTTCTCAAATGTGCTGGTACTCATTGTCATATATAATAGTTCTCATATATGTTTTGGGCATTGGATAAAAAGTTTTCAAAACTTACAAAAATACCAGAATGTACCTAAAGGAAGGTACAGCTGGATGTACCATATAATTTGCCGAAGAGGACCCGTTACTATATTTTTTTAAGTAATGTTAACTCTTGTTCCAGTCTTCCAGGAATAAAAACATAAAAGTCATATTCTGATATATTTTTAATGTTAGTCTTACTTTAGTCTTTCTTTAGTAGAAAATTGGAAAGAAATGAAAAAGGAGAGAAATTTCACCTAAAAATAAATATTTGAATAAATTCTGAAAATAATACTCTATAACTATTTTTCAAATTAATTCTCAAGATTAAGTAATTATCGAATGATATTCATTAATTGATAATAATACTTAATTTAGTCATCTGATTAACGAATACCAAAACATCATGAATGAAATCAATGTTAAAACTTATAATTCCTCCGTCACAACAAAAACTCTTTGTTACAATTCAAAAGTCAAACTAATTTTACTTTTTAATACATTTTATTGATCATTTGATAAAATAATATAACTTTTTCATTACAAGTCTAATAAAATACACCAAATTACGAACACGTGTCTTTTAATGTGGAACTCCAATTGAGTGAAAAATACAGGCCTTGTTGCGGTACCTTGTCAACGAGAAATTTTTATTAACGCCGAAAGTGTAAACGATACAAAATTAAGACTTAGAAAACCATTAATGAAAGCTTTCAAGCCTCTTGAAAAAGAATATACCAATGGGGGGTGTACATGGGAGTGGTGAGAGGAGAGAGGCATTCACTCTCTTTGTGAAATAGCTCCCATCTCATAGGAGGAGCTAGAGCGTCTTTGTGAGGATATTCTCCTATTCTTTCATTTTATTTAATACGCTTGATCTGACTGCTCTTTATAAATAATCAAGAAATCTAAATTGAGTCAAATATTATTTCGCATCAAGTAGTCTTCCGATGTCTTAAGTTATGAGAATCATCAACTTAAGAAAGTAAATAAGTACTCTAGGTGATATATTAAGTCTTCATATTTTGCGTTCTTGATCGGTTGATATTGTTAGTCCTTTGAGTTCTTCATTAATTCTCTGATTTTGAATCAGATTCTTTTTCTGCAAAAATAATATGTACATCATTTTTGACAGACCTATGTCGTGCTCAAACATAATAATTAATGTTTTGGAGGAGCTCAGTGCTAGAACATAAAATACACGCTAGAATAGATACAACTCCTCATTTTCTGACTTTTATACCAATATGTTTATTTTTATCTACATAGATATGTTATTGTTTTATTTTTATATTATTTAAGTCTTATAATTTTTCAAAAACAAAAGAGTATATTACTTTTTATTATTAATGATTTATTTCTTTTTTTATGCATTTCACAAACAGATATTTATAAAAAAATATTTATATAAAATTATATGCATACACATTATTATTAAAGTTATTTTCTATTCGAAAAGATATTATTTTCTATTTTTAGTACACATGTTTTTCTATTTTATTATTCAAAAAAATTATTCTTTTATTTATAAGTGAGAGGAAGTATATAAAATAGGCAATACTCTGAATTTAGTTGTAGTGTTTAAATATATAGTTTTGTAATACCTTAGATATAACATTGTGTAATTGACCATATAAATATCACATATATAGAGTTTATTTATATTAAAAACAAAAAATAAAGAATAATAATATAATTAAATAAGTGTGCGGTATAGAGTAATTGAAATAGAACTTTAGATCTTCAAGAATTACATCTATGAAAACGAATAATTATTTTCAAAAATTAGTAAATACGGAGTAAATTTATAAGATAAATAACTATTTTTTAAACTCATTTTTCTTATTGCATTCACAGTAGTTTGAAAACTTTGTACCCACACTCCCCGATCATTTTCCGATCATTTTTCGGTAAAGATGAGACATTGGTGCATATTTTCTAAACCATAAGGGGCACACATGCTCATTATTTTTCGTTTATTACTTTCTTTTTCCCATTTTTAACTTTTTATCTCTTTGTTTCCTCTTCCTAGAAAAGTTTTAAAAATTTCTTTTAAATTTTTAATGATTTTTTTTAAAATCAAAATTCTTGGTGTTTGAAATAAAAAAAACATATACTTCATCTATCTCAAATTAAAAATTTTAACTTTTTATTATCTAGAGTAATAGTTTTGGCAAGTTCAAAAAGAAAATCAGAAATAAAAATTAAAAACAAAAATATAGAAAAATGAAATAAAAAATTGAAATGTCTAAAAAAGAATTTTATACAAAAAGGAATTTTCTGAAGTTTAAAAGAGTCTTTAGAACTGGGATGTCCAACAAGGATATTCATTTTTTGTTTTATTTTATTTCTTATTTTTTTCATCATTTTTTGAAGTTCTTAAATTTTTTTACCTTTTTATTTTAGAAAATAAAAAATAAAAATTGTTTATTTGAGACGTATAGATGTAGTATATATTAAATTTTTTCCAAACAGAAATAATTTTAAAACTAATTTTAAAAAGAAATTAAAAAAACCTTGATTAATAAAAGATACAAATAAAAGGAAAAGAATAAAAATAAACAAAAATAAGAAATGAGCAATTGAGCACCAATGACTCTTATAGTTTGAAAATAAGCACCAATAACTCCTTCTTCAATGGTCTGAAAATAATCAAAAGGTATAAGTACAATGTTTTGGAACCACTAAAAATTTAAAAATAAACTTTGAAAACATGAAGAGTATCAGTGTCTATTTTGTAAAGTGAAATTTGCACTAAATAGGACGAAAACATAATGACTTTCCTAATGTAGGACTTAAACTTTTTAATTCCCTAAATAGGACTTAATAATTACCTAGTGGGAGGAATAATGTCCAGTAATGATGGACATTTACTTGAATAATGACTACTTCATAATGACCAAAGGTCCTACATTGGGAAATAAAAACATATGGTCATATATTGGGAAAGCCATTATATTTTAGTCATATTTAAGTAAATTTCTATTTTGTAAAACACGGGGTAGTGGTACTATTTGGGCTACAAAAAAACATTTATTACAAATGTCTTGTTAACGGAATGGAATAGCTAATAGAGAAACCTCTAGTCCTCTCCACTGCCTGCTCAATCTCTTTTGGCAATGGCGCCCATTGATCCCCATTCCTTCACCGACTCCGCCCACCCTCTCACCACTCACGTCTCCCTTACTCTCTACTTCGACTTCCCGTCCTCCACCATCTCCGCCGCCACGCTTCTCTCTCTCGCCGCCCCTTATTCCGGACCCCTCACCCTCGACACCCGCTCCCTTTCCGTCTCCGCCGTCCTCGACCCGCTCTCCCTTTCTCGGATTCCATTCTCCCTCTCCCCTTCGCCGCCTGACTCTGTCCTCGGCCAATCTCTCAACTTCTCGCTCTCCAACCAATCGCAGGTTCTGATTCTCTCGGAAACCGCCCCCTCCAGCTCCGCCCTTCAGTGGCTGTCTCCTCCCCAGACGTTTAACAAATCCCACCCTTTTGTTTACACGCAATGCCAGTCCATCCACGCCAGGTCCATTTTCCCTTGCCAGGACACTCCGGCCGCGAGAATCAAATACTCCGCGAAATTGAACATCCCGCGCCAGCTGTCCGCCGTGATGTCCGCGAAGCACGTGGAGAGACGGCCGCCCTCACCGGCAGAGGCAGGAGGAGTGTGTGAGGACGCGATTTGGTGCGCAGATGATCGGGTCGTGGAGGAATTTGTGATGGAGCAGCCCATTCCACCATATTTGTTTGCTTTCGCAGTTGGGGAATTAGGGTTCAGGGAGGTTGGGCCAAGAACTAGGGTATACTCAGAGGCAGCAAGTGAGTTGCTGGATGCTGCCGCCAAAGAGTTCTCCCACACTGAGGAGATGATCAGGGTGGGAGAGAGGCTTTTCGGGCCGTATGATTGGGAGAGGTTTGATTTGTTGGTGTTGCCTCCGAGTTTTCCGTACGGAGGAATGGAGAATCCGAGGATGGTCTTCTTGACACCCACTGTTATCAAGGGAGATGCTAGTGGGGCACAGGTGGTGGCTCATGAACTTGCCCATAGCTGGACTGGAAATTTGATCACTAATAAGAACAACAATCACTTTTGGCTGAATGAGGTATCATGTATTACACTATTACAATTAAAGATTCACAGATGTATCATTTCACATATTCCCAGTACTTTGATAGAATGTAGTCATATCTATAATCTAATAAATGTGTATATAAGGGAATTACATTGTACACTAGTAGCTAGGATTTAGCATTCAACTTTGTAGTTATGAGACTCAAACTTAAGAAGAATATTGTGGGCAACCTCTTGTTTTAATAATGGAATTTTATAGCCATAGCAAACATATACTGCCTCATATATCTCAATAAAAAAGAAAGATAGAAAGAAAAAAGAGTAATTGTATTAGAATATAGAAAAGGGACTTGTAAAAATAATTATAAGGATATAAGACTGATAATGTGAACTCTTTCTTTTAAGATAAAACCACACTTTTAGTCTCCAATTGCTTGAAATTTTGCAAATTGGGATCGATGATCGATCGTTGATTTTTTTTGGTGAACTAAAGCCCGCTAAGAGCTAGTTGGCTGAAGTGGCTGAACTTGTTGAATTATAGAAAGGGGAAACAATTGGTAAAATCATTTTCAGCCAAATAAGCAAGTCAAAAGCTACCAATTCCACTTATTACTCCCCTTCTTAACTTACAAGCTGAAGCAGCATAAGCTTATTAATGATAAGAAATATGGCCTTAGCTGCTATGAATTACATACAAGCGGACCTGTCCCTCTCCCTCCCTGGATACCAAACTACTTATCTCTTTATTTTTTTCTTATGGTTTTGTAATTTAGAATGTTCTGTTGTTCTCCTAGGGGTTTACAACATATGCAGAGCGGAGGATTGTGGAGGTAGTTCAAGGAGATGACAAGGCAGCACTAAATATCGGTATTGGGTGGAGGGGACTCATCGAGGAAATGGAAAGGTTTAAGGATAACTTGGAGTTCACAAAGCTGAAAACCAACCAGGCAGGAGTTGACCCTGATACAATATATTCTCAAGTCCCATACGAGAAAGGCTTCCAGTTCTTGTGGCGGATTGAGAGACAGGTATAAGACCCACGATGTACCATATGTTAATTAAGAGCCTTTTGGTGAAGTCTCAATGCATCTTATCAGCCTTATTAGCGAGTTTTTTCAACAAAAACTAACATATTTCACTGCACTTGTTACGTTGGCCGATAATGGAAAAATTCTTTGCAATAGTTACATTTTTTTGCTGAAATTAAAGAAAACAACATTTCTACAACAATATTTAGCCATTGTGTACTAATTTACGTTAGAATTACTCCCTTCGTTCCGTAATAGTGTTCCACAATTGACGGGACACACAGATTAAGAAAAGTATAATTGTGTGCTTGAAAGTGGTGCAAAGGGGAGAGAAATAATAATAACCACAAAACTTTTCAAAAAGTGGAACCTTTGTTTGGGACGGATAAAAAAGGAATTGTGGAACATTATTGCAGGAAAAGTGGAACCTTTGTTGTTGTTGTTGTATTGCAAGAAGGAGGGAGTATATTTTAAATGAATGTAGAATAATTTAGCCATAACTCCCACAAGTTCAACGTATTCTTCTCATGGGTTATTTGTTTACCAAAGGCAAAGGCCCAAACCATTGTATTAACAAATCCTATTTGGTTTATGGCTGTTGTCATACCCCTAGTTAATTTATAATTACTAGTCCATTTACGATTATTTGTGTTAGCTGTATTTAGTTTAGTATTACTAGTCCTAGTCGGTTTAGGAATATCATAGTTTAGCTTGAGCCTGTATAAATAAGGTGTTACTTTTTACTTTTTGGAATATAGAATTTCATGTTTTGCCTGAATTGAAACCTAGTTTACTTGCTAAACGAATTAATGGTTATTTTCTTAACAATATCCACTTCAACTAACCATTTAGGCATCACCAAATGGGCATTAAGAGTGTGTTTGTGTCCTCAGAGAAAAAGAATAACATGTGGCTCTCTTTCCATTTTTAAATATGCTCAGGTTGGAAGACCTGCTTTTGATGAATTCCTTAAAAAGTACATTGCCACCTTCAAGTTTCAGTCAATAGACACTGATATGTTTCTTGATTTCCTGAAAGCAAATATCTCTGGAATAGAGGATGTGATTGATTTGAAGATGTGGACTGAGGGTACGGGCATACCCCCGGATGCTATGGAACCAGTCTCCGAGATATACTCGAAGATTGTTTCTCTGGCTAATGAATTCAAACTAGGTAGGTTGCCAAGGGAGGATGAAGTTGCTGACTGGCAGGGACAGGAATGGGAGCTTTACCTCGACAACTTACCAAAATCTGTTGAAGCTTCACAGGTTAGGGGTGTTCTTTTTTCAAGTAGTAACTTATTTTATTTAATAAGTGTTTGTTTCAGGCATTCAGCTTTGGTTACTGCAATAAAATATGCAAGCGTCAGTTTTAGGGCTTTTAAAAAAAAAATCCTTGAAGTGATTCTGATGTCCGGAAACTGATTTGTTTCAGGGTTAATACTGAATTTAGTACCATTGACTATACATCATTACACATTTTGGTCCCTAACTTTCTATTTGACCTAATTTGGTACTCGACTATAAAATTTGGACCCAGTTTCAGTATTCATGCATATTTGGTAAATACAAGACATCAGTGTTCACCAAAATTACACTCAATTTCAGAATCAGTTTGGATCTGTACTATGTAATTTGGACCCGATTTACTCCTCACCATAAGAATGTACATGTCTTAATGAGAGAAAGAACTATGCATAGAGAGTAGAGATGGAGTTTAAATTGCATTGTCAAGTGCCAAATGAGTCCAAAAGAAAGTCACGTACCAAATTCAGTAAACCCATTCAAACTATTTACATTTCTGGTGTTTTAGTGAGCATTGCAAGGTTCCTGTGGCCCCTCGCCATAAAAAACTACTTTTGAATTGATCAATATCTTCCTGCAAACCACACATTTATCTCGTAATATTTTTTTGCCAAACATTTTTACTCCGTATTATTGTATGGCTCTTGAGATGGTTGTGTATTCTTTATCCTCTCCATCAATCAGGTGAGGGCTTTGGATGCTAGTTATCGGCTTTCAGAATCAAGAAACCATGATGTGAGGGTTGGGTTTCTTAAGCTGGCAATCTCAGCAAGGTGCAGAGAATATTACGGCAAGGTGGAGAAGACTCTGAAGGAAGTAGGGAGGATGTTGTACCTTCGCCCGCTCTACACTGCATTGGTGCAATGCGGGGGAAAGGGAGACGAAGAAGATAAGGTTTTTGCCACAAGGGTGTTTTCAGAGGCCTGTGATAGTTATCATCCCATAGCTAAGGGAGTTGTTGAGGCAATTCTTGCTAAGTTTGTGGTATGATTTCTCATCTGTGGATTATTGTTTCTTGTAATACTCTTTCCCTCTGCCCCAATTGAAAATGTGTCCGGTTTGATCAGGCGCATTTTTTTATATTGAAGTTAACATCTTATGTTTGTGGGATAGAGGAATTAATATATATAACTTCTGCAGTTTTATGGTTATGGATTTTATCATGTGGTTGTGTTAATTATCATCATCCCATAGATACTACTCTTCATTACTGTGGCAGTGCATTTTTTACGTGGTCTTAAAAATGAGTGTGATCTTAAAATGAGTGTCAACCTTAGATTTTAAATTAGTGAATTTTGGGTCGCCGTTAAGTTACTAACGACGAGTTAATAGCAACGGCCTGTTTTGCGCAACAAAATAAAAATTAGAATTATTTTTGATGATTTTTTTTTAATTTTTTTGAAATTTTAATTTTAATTTTTAAAATGACTTGCTACCTCCATCATTTTTATTCTTTTTTTAAAGATTAGTCTAACTTTGGATAAAAATAAAAAATAGATATAAAAAATTATGAAAAGAGAAAATAACTAAAATCATACAAGATTAATGACAAATAAAGGAATCAATAGAAATGAACCTGAAACCGGTAAGAAGTAAAATAAAAATATATGAAGTGGTGAGTTTTAACATTTTACACACTATACAGAGCATTAACATATCACTTTTTCTAATTTTAAGAAAAATTATTTTAACTTTACCCGTTGTTTCAAAAAATAAATAGTACATTAATACTCTGTATAATGCGTAAAATGTTAGAGTACTTAACTCATTATTTTTTTATTTTGTTTCTTTTCAATTTCAGTTTAATTTTTATTGATTACCTTATTTATTTTATTAATTGTGTGTAGTTTTAGTTATTTTTTTCATTTTTGATGTTTTTATATCTATTTTTTTATAAGATAAGACTAATCTTTAAAAAAGGAAAAAGAAATTGAAATGGAAAGTCATTTCAAAAATTTAAATAGAAATTTCAAATATAAAAAATAAAAATGAATATTCATAAAAAATAATCCAAACCTTCATTTTGTTGCGCAAAACAAGCCGTCCCGTTAACCCGCTATTAGCTACTTAACGGTGGCCCGAAAATTGTAAATTTCAGTAAGGTCGAGATTATTATGCATCACAGTGAAAGGTGAAATTATTTTTGAAAGACATGGTAAAGGTTGGATTATTTTGAATAATTTTTTCATAATTTTTTTAAAAGGAAGAAACTCGAAAAAGTTGAAAGGAACTAGAAGGAGTTGGAAAATGTTGGAAATTAAGAATTAACGCTTTGAACATCACTTTAGTGGCTAATCTTGGATAATCTCTTTGATGACTTCTCTCATACATATAAGGTCATGGGGTATGCCTACAGGAAGGCCAACGGGAACACTGACTGGGCGTGTGGGAAGGAATGGGAAGTGGGAACATCGATCCCCCTATGCGGGAATAGGAAAGGTGGGATCCCCCCGTTTTCCCTTGCGTCTCCCTTCTCCAAAAATGACCATTCAACGGCCAAAACTTTTTTTAATTTTTTATCCGATTCTAACCGTTAAGATGAAATAAAAAAACCAAAATTAAAAAAATTTTACTATTTAAACACATCACTCCACTCATCATTTTCACATTTTCATCTATCTCTTTGAATTGTAGTACGAGTAGTTTTTTGTTTAATATTTTTCACATTTCTGAGTACAGTGGATCCATTCCGACCACGCGTGTCCTCCCTTTTTCTGAATTTTTATTGGTAGTGTGTATTGTTTTACGCACTTTTACTTACGTATTTGTTAGACACACAATTATTGTTTTCCTTATTTTAATTTTAATGAAATGTTCAATTTCACTTTTGATTTAGTAAATTTTTATTGTATTTTATACTTTTAGTTTAATTATTTTAATTAAAATAAGTGTAAAAGAATAATATTAAAATTGGAAGGGGAAGGGGAAGGAAAGAGGATGCACCCTCCTGAAAAAGAGAAGGAAAGGAGAAGGGAAAGCTGATACTGACGTGATGCTGAGTTGCGGAAGGAGAAGATGGGATGCATACCACAAAGCCTATGGTCATGCATGGAGATTTGAATATGCCAAATTGGCGATTTAGGGTGAGGGGGCAAGGGTAAGGGTGAAATTGCAGAAAATTATTCACGGGTGACGCGAGTTTTGTTGAAATAACTCTCAGGTCCCTCTATTTTTATAAAGACAGCAGAGGTCCTTACATTTTGTGGTAATGACTGGAAGGGGACATTTCATCCAATATTTCATCTATAAATGTTAATAAATGCATTTTTTCCTATTCTTTTCTAAATGTTTTAAGGTAATAAATCTTAGGTCGCTCCTTTTTTTATTTCTTTGTTTTTCTTTCATTTTGTTACTATTTTTTAAAGTGTTATTTTAGAATTTCTTCTAAAAAATCGTATAAAAATTCAAAATTGTTTGCATTATATTGCAACAAATGAAATAAAAAAATTTTAAAAAAAGAAAAAACAAGGTAATGACAAAATAGAAAAAAACAGTATTGGAAAAATAGGAAAAAATGCATTTATTAACGTTTATAAATGAAATATTGGATGAAATGTCCCCTTCCAGTCATTACAACAAAATGTAAGGACCTCTGCTGTCTTCTTCAAAATAGAGGGATCTGAGAGTTATTTCAACAAAACTCGCGTCACCCGCGAGTAATTTTCTGGTGAAATTGTTGTGGGAGTTTAGGAGGAGAGAAATTTAGAAAATGTATGAACCGTCAATTTCAAGAATAAAATACTGTGTGTGCCCTAATTAGAATAGGGTCACGATGGTGTCATATGAGGATAGTGTAGCTTTAGACTTCCTCTTTTAAGATATGGTCATCAAAAAGTAAAAAAATGCAACTTGTAAGTTGTAATTAAGTCATTTATCAAATGCACAAATTTTTGAAATAAAGATGTTGTACAAAAAGTGTTATTTATCAAATGAACAGTTTTTTGAAGAGCAAAGACAAAATTTTATTTAAAAATTCAGATAAAAACGAACAATTAAAGCACAACAAAGAAAACTGGAAATGATTTAGTACTATTGGATTTGAGTATCATCCGATGACATTGAATTTATTTAGAACATCTATGGTGTATTATTTACGAAAATTATGATTTCTACTCCTTAAGTTCCACCTTATCCCCCATCCTCCATTACCCTTCCCCATTGGATTACCAATGGGCAACAATTTATGTTCTTGTCAATTTCATAAACAAAGTATTCTAAATATTCTAGTGACACACCATAGTGTCAACAAAATCATACAAGGATACGCAAGCAGTATTGCAACAGAATATGATTCATTAGAGCATTACCACTCATCATCCTCATAAGCTTGTGATTTGTGACAATGGAGGCCTCAACCGAAACCAAACCTTCTCCGGCTGTGTGGAGGCTGAACCCCGTCGAAGCTACTCCGGAGACCTTCCGGGACTTCGGACAGGTTATTGAGGCGGCGCCTGACGGCGGAGAGTTCGGTCCCGGCGATGCTCAGCTCGACCTCAGCCGCGGCGTTCCTAGGTCTTTCGTTTTCTCTCAACCTCACTTGCTGTGATTAACTTGACCTCATTTTACCAGTTCGATTTCTATCTTGTTCATTATGAATTTATGACTCTCGAACCTTCATCCTCAGAAGCACTTTATGAAATTTAAATCAGATCAGAAATCGATTTGTGGAATTGAACATTATTATCGAGCATATCACCACATGTAGAGAGTAGGGACGAGGTGAAACTGTCTTTAATCTATGATGAAGATTCATTCACTAAGTAATTCTGGTACTGATTACTACCAGCAAAAAAGGGAAAATCTAAAATTGTATGGTTGTAATTTATCCTGAAAAAGATATAAATAATGTGAGCCAATCATTTTTCTATTGAATTTGGGACGTCCCAAGAAGGAAAATGAGAAATTACTTGAGAAATGGGAGGGAGTATTGAATTTTTGTTTGTCAAAAACTGGAAAATTGATTGAAGGAAGTTGATAGTTATGATCGTAACAGGTTCTCGAGACATAAGATATTACTCTGTATCAGTTTACAATAACCTTGGCTTTCTAATGTCTAGATCATAAGACAGATGATGAGATGATAATTCTGAGTTACAAAGGGAAAATGCACCAAATGTTTGGGTCTATTTGCGTCTATGCTCTTGTTTTTCAAGAATGCAAATTACAACCATTCTTGCTTTGTTTGTTAGCCATCCAAGTTAGCCTGTGAATAATCACACAGATAATGCAAAATTTTCAGGTTTTACATCATGCAGCTGAAAAACCGGTCGCTGAAATTTTCGACCATCACACACCATGCCAATGTAACACAGTGTCTTGGATCAATTGGGGGCCGTGTTTGGTATCTTGGAGTTGCTAAGCCATCTATCGTAGGTACAAGTGGGCTTAAGGAGGAGGAGGGCACACTGGTTGCTAATGATGTCCGGCGATCAGATTCTGGGCATTTCTATGTGCCTCCTGCTGTCGATGAAGTGCGTGCATTTAAAATTACAGGCTCAAAGTTTATAAAGCTAAATATAGGTACATGGCATGCCGGACCATTGTTTACAGATGACGTAATGGACTTCTACAATCTGGAGCTAAGCAATACAAATGTAAAGCCTCAGTTCAACACTCAAAACCGTAATCTTTCTCTCCAAATATTGTGATATCTATGCTTTGGTATAGTTTTTTTTATTGAGAAGTTATCAGTTACTCACACTATCCCATAAATCTCATTACGCGCAGCTTGTTGATCACACAACACACAGCTTTGTGAAGGAGGATAAGGTGGTGTTTCATTTGGAGGAGTAACGGTTTCTATCGCGCAAAGGAGTCATGTAAGCCGAACAGGTAGGCAGGAATGGTGGTCGTGCAATTCTGCTTGCTCGGATTGGGATTGGCTTCTGCTTTTTTTCTCAAGTTACCTTTGCTCTACAAAAGATTAGTACATCAAAATCCATATGTGTAATTTGTAATAAAACATTGACACTTGGTTTATAATGTGCACCTCCTTCATGGCTGATGTTACACACTTACACTTTTGATTCCCTATGTGTGCTGATTTGGTGATTTTGAATTGGTCACTCAGTTTTAATGTGTAAAATTCTATTTTTGATACCATACGACTATAAATCGGTATGAATATCATTTTCGAACTAAACATGATGTTTTAATAAATTCGAGAACCTTATTCGATGCATGACGGAAGCTTCTCCTTAGTATATTACACTTAAAAAAAGAGAACAGAAAAAAAAGAAAAGGATAGGAAGCAACTACTCATTGGAACGTACGAATGTCAATATCTCACATTTAGTAACATTTACTTTGTATCATCTCACCTGTAAACCTTTGGTTATTGAGTGAAGTTAATATGTAGTAGGTGAATCATGGAATCAAACAGACCCAGTTGTACTTAACTAGGAGAACCTTTGGTTATTGAGTGAAGTTAATATGTAGCTTTATGTGTTTTTTTTACAAATTTTTTACAATTTTTTCAAATTTTTTACAAATTTTTTAGAATTCTATTGAAACCCTCAAGTTTTTGTTCAAATTTGCTGCCAAATTTTTTTTTTCATGGAAGTTGTTGCCACCAGTTTGGTCCTTTAATCATAGTTGTGTAAAAAAAATTTGATTCCGCTGTTTTGAACCAAACAGGAATAAAGGGAATTCTATTCCCTTTCCTGTACTGGACCAGACAAACAGAATAATTCAGGGGTAATCATTCTCTTTCCCTCTGATTCCTTTTCCTATTTCCTTTCCCTTTCCTCAGCAGGAACCAAACACTCCCTAAAACCTCAAACTCTGAATCCTCTTATTCCTCTTATTACATACACCCACCCCGATCTTCTCCATGTCCCCCTAGATTGTCGATTTGGCATCCTAAACTCAGCAATGTAGAATACTGGGGTGTGGTGCATGGGAGAGTTAGGGGCAGAAATCATCAATTTTATCAATGAAACACACTAGGTAAGCCGTGTCATAAAATAACATTAATTTCAAATGTCAAAACATCCCAGATACGATATGATGGGGAATAACCCCACACCAGCCTAGGGCTGACATCAGCATAAATTTCCAAAGGATCGGGCTTGGACGTTTCTGCCCAGCCCTACGCTCCGCTCGTCCTTCCTGCCCGGCTCTGCGCTCCGCTCGTCCTTCCTGCCCGGCTCTGCGCTCCGCTCGTCCTCCCTGCTCGGCTCGGCCGACCAAGTCGAGCCCGAGCCCCACGACAATGACATGCGGAAAGCGACGTTCAACGGAGACTTGAGGAAAGCGATAGGATGAAAGGGACAAGACGTGCGGAAAACGACGTTCAACGAAGACTTGGTGAAAGCGATAGGATGAAAGGGACAAGACCTAAGGACAGGTGACGTCCGCTAAACGACGGGCCTCGATCAGAGGGCTTTGACTTAGTATATTTTACCCCCTATAAAAGGGGTGGCACCCCTCATTGTAATGGATCCGAATTTGGAATCAATATACTCCTACTTTGCATTCTCTCTCTCTAAAACTTATATTATTTCATACTCTCGGTGGTTAGCCATCAAATTGGTGCTTTCATTGAGAGAAGAGGAACATACTCGTAGGTTAACTCCCGAACGCGAGAATGGTGCAAACAAGGAGCAACGTCCCCACCACCAGCCACGTAGTTGGCGAGGAGAACGCACCGGGCAGCGGAAACGGTACAGGAGGTATCGGCTCGACTCCGGACGCGGTCCAGGCGCTGTTCGGCTTGGGGGTGACCGCAGAGCAGCTCCAGGCGGCCGTTGCGGCACTTTCCGCCTTGGGTGGAAACGTGCCCGGCGCCGGGGCTGGCAAAGCTCCGCTCGGCTCCCACGCCGAACACGCTGCCACTTCCCAACACAAGGGGAAGAAGACCCGGAGGAGCAGAAGGAGGCCTGGCAAGGCCTTGGCGATCGAGGAGGTGGTTGTGGAGGACGTCCCGGAGGAGGAGGATGATGAGTCCAGTGAGTGCCGAGTGTCGGCCTTCAAGCGCTTAGGAGGTGAAGAGACCCGGGCGTCGGCCTTCGACAGGCTCGACCACGGACCGGGAGGTCACCCGGGCGACCTCCGCCGACAAATAACCGAAGGTAGGTGGAGGCATGCTGAGGAGTCCGCGACCTCGGATGCACGCTCGGCGAGGCCCGAGCGGAGCGGAGAAAGACGGGACGAGCGCACCCAGCGTCGCCATAGTCCAACCAGAACTGAGAAGACAAAGGCCTCTGACCAAGGGGTATCTCGGCTCGCTCGTGAGATTGCCGAGCTCAAGCGCCGAGTGGAGACCAGGGCTCCCTACAGCCAGCCCATCTTGCAGACGGTAACCCCGTTCACTCCGAGGGTTATGTCGGTTCCGCTGCCGGCAAACTTCCGGCCCTGGATGATCAAGGCCTACAACGGAACGACGGACCCCCAAGATCATTTGTCCAAGTTCTATGCTTCTATGGAAGCGGCGGCAGCCCCGGACGAGGTCAAATGCCGATGCTTCCTCGCGACGCTAGAGGGCTCCGCGTGCGATTGGTTCAACCGGCTCCCGAAGGGAACTATTGACGATTGGGATACGCTAGCGGAGAAGTTCTTGACGCATTTCGCAGCCAACCGGAGGCAGAGGCTACCTTACTCCCACCTGCTCAACATTTGCATCCGCAAAGGAGAGAAGATCCGCGACTTCATAACCCGGTGGGAGAAGGAAGCAAGAGACGTGCACGGGGCGGATGACCAAGCATTGGTGGCCATGTTCCAAGCAGCCCTTCCCCGCGGTGAGGTAAGGAAGGAGCTCCGCAAGAATCCTCCCCCCACGTACCAAGAAACCTTGGCGCGCGCTAAGTTCTTGGCCTCGGAGGAATTCGATGATGCCCCTGACTCCGAGGCCGCGTCGACCAAGCGAGCTCCCGCAGACTCAGAGGAGATAGCGAAGAAGAGGAAGAAGAAGAAAGACCACACTGTGGGCCCGAGGACGCCCTCGGCGGGTGTGTACTCCGTGGGTGCGCCCGCGGGGACGGGTCGAGAGCTGGCCCTCTCCCCGCTCCCGCACGTGGAGACCTATGCGGTGTCCAGCGGCGCCAAGTACTGCGAGTATCACCGCAACAACACTCACAACACTAAGGAATGCTTCACTCTTCAGAAGGAGATGCAGCGACTCATCGCCTGAGGGCCGGCTCCGCGAGACGATGGAGCCGCCCCTTCCCGAGGTCCACCGGAAGGGAGAACGTGGAGGAAGCCGACCGAGCCGGTCGCGGTGGCCACACAAGCGAGGAACCCCGAGAAGAGGCACATTGGGCGAGAGTGTGATGATCTAGACGAGGACGAAGCCCAAGGATATCCGGTGGGGTTCATCCATGGAGGAAATATCGGCGGGGACTCCGCCGCTCAAAGAAAGAGGTGGAAGCACATGGCCTTCGTCGCCAAGGTCCAACAGGCACCGACGCCCAAGCTCGGAAGACGAGAGCAAATCCAATTCACGGAGAAGGATCTTCCGGACACGCCGAGCCCCCACCGGGACGCCTTGGTCGTGAGGATGGAGATCAACAACGCCATAGTGCACCGCACCTTGGTGGACACGGGAAGCTCGGTCAACATAATGTATGAGAAGACCTTTGAGGACCTCGGCTTGGACCGCAAAGATTTAAGGCCCGTGCGCACTCCTCTCTCCGGGTTCACGGGGGACTCCATCGAGGCCGAAGGAGTCGTCACCGTTCCCGTGATAGTAGGGGATGGTGCGCACAAGGCCATGTTGAGGATGGAGTTCATGGTTGTGAGCATCAGCTGCGCGCACAACATGATCTTAGGACGGCCCGGCCTTGAGGACTTGGAATGTGTGATCTCCCCATACTACTTGTGCATGAAGTTCCCCACTCCTTCGGGAATCGGGGTGGCAAGGGGAGACCAAAAGTTAGCTCGATCGTGCTATGTCCGAATCACAAAGAAGTTGCCAAGAGATGAGACGTTGGTCGTGCACGCACAAGAAGAAATGCGGAAGCTGGAAGCACGGCCAAAGGCCGAGCCCGCTGAGGAGGTCGAGGAAGTGCCGCTCGACCCTCGGGCACCCGAGCGGAATGTGAAGGTCGGGGTGAGCCTGACCGGGGGCCAGCGGAAGCGCTTGGTGGACGTGCTCTCCGCCTACCGCGTGATCTTTGCATGGGGACCCGGGGATATGCCGGGGGTAGACCCCAAGGTCATGTCACCACTTGGCAGTCAACCCGGAGGCTAGGCCGGTGAAGCAGAAGAAGCAGTTCCTCTCATCCGAGCGGTGAAGAAGTCCCGAGGGTTCGTGTGGACGGAAGAATGCCAACAATCCTTTGAATCCCTCAAGTCCTACCTCCTCTCTCCTCCGGTTCTCGCGAAACCCGAAGCGGGGGAGACCTTGTACTTATACTTGGGAGTTTCACCCAAAGCTTTGAGCTCGGTCCTAGTCCGAGACGAGGGTGGAGCTCAGCACCCGGTGCATTATACGGCGAAGACGCTGAGGGGTGCCGAGCTCAGATACTCAGTAGCCGAAAAGACAGTCCTCGCCGTGGTTTCAACCGTGCAGCGTCTAACACCCTACTTCCAAGCTCACCCGGTTCAAGTGCTCTCCCAACAGCCCATTGGCGCGCTGCTCAGGAGCCCGAACGCGGCCTCGCGCATGTTCAAGTGGGCGGTGTTCCTTGGAGCTTTCTAGATCGAATCCAAGCCAAGGCCAGCGATCAAGGGCCAAGCGCTAGCTGATTTCGTGGTGGAGTGCACCGCTCGGGAGGAGCCGAGCCCGGAAGAGCCGGAAGCCGAGGACTGGTGGATAGTTTTTACCGACGGCTCCTCCGCCGCCAAAAACTCGGGGGGTGGAGTGGTAGTCATCGCTCCTGAAGGCTTCAGAGCATACTACTCAATTCGATTCAGTTTCAAGGCATCAAACAATGAAGCGGAATATGAAGCGCTCCTGTGCGGACTACGCCTAGCAGCCGGGATGAACGTAACAAAGCTAAGGATAAAGTGTGATTCAAAGCTGGTGGTTGACCACGTCTCGGGAGAGTTTGAGGTGAAGGACGAAAGAATGAAGAAGTACAGAGATACCGCTCTAGAGTTGCTGAAGAGTTTCACCGCATATAGTGTGGAGCAGATCCCTCGGGCGGAGAATGCCGAGGCAGATACCTTGTCGAAGCTGAGCTCGGACACGCCCGAGCATATCAGGCGGATGGCGAACATGGAAGAGTTGTCCGAGCCGAGCATCCACGCCTTCCCCGTGGCGATGATCTGTGCTCGGCCGAGAGATTGGATGGACGACATAGTTGCCTTCTCGAAGGGTGGCGCCTCCCGGACGATGCAGTAAAGGCCAAGTTGGTCCGCACTAGGGCACCGGGGTACACTTTGGAGGGCCGAAACTATACAAGTGACCAGAAATCTTTTTGGTTGAACTCAATGGAATGAAGTTTTTGCGAAAAGAGCTCGCTTGAACACCCGTGCTCAGCGCTCCTCCGCAGGAGGAAGACCGAATGCAGACCATACCCGGATGTTCTTCCCGGATGAAGGTCAAACACTCGTGCTTGGCGCTCCTCTTCAAGAGGAAGGCCGAGCGCAGACCATACCCGGATGTTCTTCCCGGATGAAGGTCAAACCCTTGTGCTTGGCGTTCCTCCTCAGGAGGAAGGCCAAGCACAGACCATACCCGGATGTTCTTCCCGGATGAAGGTCAAACCCTTGTGCTTGGCGTTCCTCCTCAGGAGGAAGGCCGAGCGCAGACCATACCCGGATGTTCTTCCCGGATGGAGGTCAAACACTCGTGCTCGGCATTCCTCCTCAGGAGGGAGGCCGAGCGCAGGCCATACCCGGATGTTCTTCCCGGATGAAGGCCAAACCCTTGTGCTCGGCATTCCTCCTCAAGAGGGAGGCCGAGCGCAGACCATACCCGGATGTTCTTCCCGGATG